CTTTCAAAAGCATCTCCAATATGTATCCTAGTGTTTCTACATCTTTGAGCTTATTAGAGAAAAAGCTTGGGATTGTTAGGTCGGGTATGTGAACTAGTCCGATTGCCCACTTCCACTTTGCTGCAACACGGTTTCAGTTTGCCTGGCAAACAGAGAGGCGCTGAGCCTTAAAACCGCTTTCTTCTCGGGTCAAAACAAAAAACAAAACCATTCGGTAATCAAAACTTATTAGGAGAACATACTGGCTTCTGCGTTGTTGACAGAAAAGACAGCACTTTAACATTTCATTTTTTTTTAATGTCTGATGATATAGTAAGGTCATTGTATGATTTAATTCAGTAGATATTTTACATATTGAACCTTTAAGAAGCTAAAAATAGAGTTGTCCAACCAATTGTAATTAAATATTTAGTAGTAGTTACTCCTCCACACTGCAATATTGTAGAATAACTAGTTTAATAGTTTTTTATGGTTAATGTTCATTTATGGCTAATAAATAATGCAGACCAAACACGTGGCAAGTTAAAAGTGCAACTGAGATGAAAAAGTATTTATCTGAGCGATCTGTTGTCTGACTGCCCTTTATTCTGCAGCATCACTCCACTATTAAAGCTGCAGGTCATATTCAGGAGGTTACACAGTGACATGATATGTTCTCATGGTTTGTTGATTTGTTTCTGGCAATACTTTTGTCCCTATCTTTGAAGAGATTATAAATAAGGAAATCGTTTTTTAACCACGTTTACGGTAAATCCTACAGCTACATGTCAATTCCAACCATTTGGGATGTATCCCTGAGAGAGAGCAATGACTGTATAGAGCTTTTTTCCTTGTGAAAGTGATATGATGAGAGCTCTGCTCAAAGCGTTGCTTAAGGCTGTTAGTCCACTATTATTTCTAAAATAGAAATTCAGAATCATATTGATCAATGGAAATCAGATTATTTCTGCTGCCACTATTTGTAAGCCTAGTTTCATGTTATCTGATGGGAAACCTGACAAATAGATTTTTATATGAAACAGAATGAACAGCTTTACAATTTGCATAACCCAATTTAATGAACAGTAACACTTGCATTTTTTTTGCTATTTTTTTCTAAAATGTGGGACTTTAGCACAGCAGTTAACTTACAATATCTGCATATATCTCTTATATATATATATAAATTTATATTTATAACATCATGGGCATTTACATGAACCTTTATTTTGAAGGCACAGCCCAACTCTGACAAAGTGTGCATATTCATATTCCATTAGGCTTCTAAAGAAATAATACAATTTGTAATAACATGCTGACAAATTTGAACCCAGATCCATGAAGTCAAACTAACCTGGGAACAAATGTAAACACTTTTTTTGTTGTTGCTACAAATAGGGATTTCTTATTTATTTTCAATGCAAAGATTCTGATTTTAATTTGTGAGCTCTGTAAATAAATCCCAGCAGAGGAGTGATTGGGGCACATTATATAGCTGAGCTGTCCACAGGCACAGTGAAAAAATAAACGAGGTAATACAAACAAATCAATAAAACATAGCAGCAAGCGTCCTTGCTTATTATTCACCAGTACTGATGATCAGTCAGCCATTAAATCATTAAAGCTCGTCCTCCTCTTTGTGATAACTGACACTAAAATGTTAACTGTGGCCCAGGTTCAAATCCGGCCTGTGGATCCTTTCCTGCATGTCATTCCCCACTCTCTCTCTCTCGCCCTGATTTCCAACTCTATCCACTGTCCTATTTCTCCATTAAAGGCACAAAAAGCCCAAAAAAACAACAACAAAAAAAACATTAACTGCTCCTCTGTGCTCTTTGTGCAGACTGAAACATGAGGCATTTTCCACATTTTCAACTGTCACAATGAAACATTAGGCTACATGTTATGCAGAATCTGTTTGCTATGCTTTAACAGATGTGAAAATAGTCTAATTCACAAAGCACCAGCAAAGGTTAAAGATGTACCCCTTATGTGGCTGCTAAACAAATAGTGTGTAAGGGCTCCTGCATCTTGTTAGCGTGATAATAGATAAGGTGATATACATTCACATGAGCCTCATCATAAAGAAGAAGTCAAACTGAAACAACCACAGTGCTCACATCCACATTCAGTGAGTGAAGAGTTAATCAACCTCAGGAAGTTGATCCGACTGAAGTGCAGAATAAGCAGGTTTAGCCCATAGACTAGAACATGGATATAGTCTAAGTGACATCAACCATTGGTTTATGAAGTGCAGTTTTGACACCCAACCATAGCAATTGCTATATTGGAAATGCTGTCTCATACTAGACAGAGACAGAGAGCTGAAGCTGAGGCTGAAGTCTGTCAGATCAGCAACTCCCCTCAATGCACAGATTTTAATTTCATCAAATCAAAATGGATAAGTTAAAAAATTGTCCCCCTTTAATGTGTGCAACAATAAAGACCTAATTTTTTGTGTGTGATCTTTTAGTGAAATTAAACTGACCACCAATCATTGGTTCATCTGTTCACACACATTCCTCAATGATTTATGTTTGGGCTTTGCTAAGTTACTTGAGGAAGCTGATAGCCTATCTTGTTCAATGTTTGAATTTTGATGGTTATATTTACAATTGTCTCAAATATTGTTGTAGGACTAGTGTTTCAGTCACATTTAACTCCAAGACATAATGTTAATGATAGATGAAGAATAAATACTGATGGACACAGCCTACTTTGACAAATATGAAGATTCAAGAGAGACTTTCTTTGAACCAGTCAATCCTATATAACCAGATTTTATTCATCTTCCATCATCACAATTTGCCCCATCTATGTGGGGAGAAAAGTCAATGTGCAGTATGAGCTGCTAAATATATTCACTGTTGTCACACATTAAGACATATTAGTATAAAATCAATGTTTTCTATAATTACACCTGTTAAGTGATTAATAGTTATTGTGAATCTCCTCTATCATATTTGATCTCTTTATATTTGTATATTGTTTATATTGAACTAATCATTTGTTAATCTTCATACTTTCCTGTTCTACTTTGGCAACATAGATTGTTGATCTGTCATGCCAATAAAGATGATTTTAATAGAAATTGAAGATGTTGCGCTTTCCTGGTCTACTCCTCCACTCAGCATTCTACATTATTGTTTCACAAATAATGATAATAATAATAATAATAATAACTTTATTTATATATCACCTTTTAAAAACACAGGTTTACAAAGTGCTTTGACAAACAACAAAAACAAACTAAACCAAACACAGAAGAACATAAACAACAGCAAGAACAAACAAATGCAAAATACTAAGAATAATTAAATACAATTCAACAGAAAAGAACCCATAGTGCACGATACACAACCAGACATATATAACCCGACCATCACAAGAACCATCACAAGAACCATCACAAGAACCATCCAAAGAACCATCACAAGAACCATCACAAGAACCATCACAAGAACCATCATAAGAACCATCCAAAGAACCATCCAAAGAACCATCACAAGAACCATCACAAGAACCATCCAAAGAACCATCACAAGAACCATCACAAGAACCATCCAAAGAACCATCACAAGAACCGTCACAAGAACCATCCAAAGAACCATCATAAGAACCATCCAAAGAACCATCACAAGAACCGTCACAAGAACCATCCAAAGAACCATCATAAGAACCATCATAAGAACCATCATAACAACCATCATAAGAACCCAGGCAACACAAGAACCATCCAAAGAACCATCATAAGAACCATCATAAGAACCATCATAAGAACCATCATAAGAACCATCATAAGAACCATCATAAGAACCCAGGCAACACAAGAATCCAACAACACGAGCTGAGACCAAGAGGACCAGAGATTTAAAAGGATGTTAGAAACTAAAACAGATAAAAGCAAATAAAAAGATATCAGCAATAAGAAGGTAAGAGCAGTAAAAAAAATAGAAACAAGTGGTTAAAGGATCAAAAAACTAAAAACTCTAATATTAATAAAAATACAAAGTAAATATAAATATGAAACATGAATAGACAAAGTAAGCAAGATAAGAAATTACCAAGTTAAAACACAAGAGGAGATTAAGATATGAGCATAAATACGAGATAGGACCATAAATAAAAGGACAGTAAGAAGTAAAAGAAGATAAAAATAGTAAAACCAGTAAGAGAAGACATTAAGAAGATGACATCACATAAAAGCAAGTCTGTAAAAGTTTTAAGAAGGGATTTAAAAGAATTGAGGGAATCAAATTCATCCTTTCACACACTTATGGATCCTTAATTGGTGGCAGTAGTATGCTCCCGAGACATTGGACTAAGCCAGTGGTGTCCAAACTTTTTTTCTTGCGGGCCAAAATTGTTGTGTTAGAATCGCTCGCGGGCCACAGGTTTCGTTTTTAAAATATAGTTGAAAAAATAGTAAGGCTTTGCAGATCAGAATCAAAGGGCTCGCTAAAGAAACCCTTTAATAAAAGGAAATCAAATATTTTGATTTCTTTGTTCTACTTTATTTGTTTTTTTCTCAGAATCAAGCCTGTAATGTGGTTCATGTTTTTGGAAAAGCTTTCTGCATGTAGCTCAGGTCATTAAATGGTTAAACAACAGTCTGCTTGTTTGCAAAAACAGCAGTTTTTTTACATAGTTTACAAAAAAATGTGGAAAATAGTAAAAGCTGTAAAAAAAACAACAACAACATACATGTTACTGAACATTTTCTATTTTAGAAATATTGTTCAGCCCTTGTTAACATGAACAAGAAAAATAAGATAATGTGGCAATCTTAATCAAGGCCTCCGGCCAAAATCTTTGATTCTTCATCTGAAGTCACGGGCCGCAAAAAATCCCCTCAAGGGCCGCAAATGGCCCTCGGGCCGCACTTTTGACACCCCTGGACTAAGCTCTTTCATTTAGTTTTTATAAACCTGAGTTAAATGGAGAAAACAACAAACTTCACATTAAGCATTGTGATGTTAGTGGAACAGTGGCCACGCCTCTCCTCTGCTGTTTGCAGCAGAGAGTTCAGACAGACCGTGAACGCAGCATTAATGTGAGTCACATGACAGGCCAGCCTCTCCGACTGACCAGATACACATCTAATAATCATGGTAAGCGTTTTTCTCTATAAACTTAAGATGTTATACATTAACACGTTTCCTTACGATACGTCTTTATCTTTGAATAAAGGAGCATATGATCTCTGGAGTCTAACGTAACCGCAAACTAGACAAAATGAGACGTGTTTGTGTGTGTGTGTGTGTGTGGCCTAACGAAACGTCAGACAGCTGCTAGCTAGGAGAACAAGATACCAGCTGACAACAAGCCAGGAGAAAGACTACTAAAACCACCAACATGTTGCTTTATTCACCTTCTTGATTAAACATAATACCCAGTGTTAAGTGTCGGGTCAGATGTTTAATTACCTTAAGAGGTGACTGACAACTAAACGCTAGCTGTTGTTAGCATGCTGTTCCGCTTTGCTGTGTCATTTACACTTTAATCTATATGTTTTATTCCTGACATCGTTTCAACATCAGCCAGAAGAAATAAGCAACATTGATATACGTATTTTGCTCAGGCAGTAATGACACCACCCGGGAACAAAGTGCTACATGTGATTTAAAGGCTTCAAATAGAAACTGTAACTGGGCTGCGAAGTTGAGCACTCAAGTGCTTATGATGCATTCAAGTGCAATCCGGATGTTTAGGTTTTAGAAGTTGTCTTTTAGAAGTTGTTTTTTTTTTAGCTTAAAATGTATTGATAAGTATAAGTATAAGTACATGTATATGTTGCTGTTGAAACACTTTGTAAATGTGTTGACATTGTTCCAAACGTGTTGTTGCACCTCGTAAAAAAAAAAATAACTTAAAGGCCTACTACTGCATCACCTGGGTTTGGAAGGGTTTATTGCAGGGATTGGCAACTTTGGTCACAGCAAGGGCCACATTCATTTAACTGTCACTGCCAGAGGGCCAAATTGTAGTATACAAAAACGATTGCAGTCAATTATGTCTCAAATTTAACTCAACATATACCAGTGATCAAATATTATTATGGACATATTTCTGGTTTTCATGATTTCATGGCAGATTTTGTCATGTTTTCTTCATGTTTTGATATATAAAAATTGACCTGAGGGCCACTTTGAGGGTTGACGAGTGCCGCATGTGGCCCCCGGGCCGCCAGTTACCCACCCCTGGTTTATGGTAATTAAAAAAGTTTCTGTGCCACATTAAAAAAGATATCACATCACAGCCTCAGCAAACTTAGATATATTGCAATAACCACATCTGCATTTTGAAAATGACCCATTAAAAATGTTAATTAAAGTGGTTAAAATGTATACTTAAATCCTTTTCAATATCATACATTTTGAAATGATAGTCTTTTTTTTTTTACCATAGACACTTTCGAAAAGTACTGAAGCTTTGAACAAAACTGTACTTCATGAGAAAGGTGTGTAAAAGAAGAGCTAGTCCATCAAAACTTGGACAAATACATGGGCGACTTTTTCTAACAGAAATGATGCCAACATATTTGTCATTTTTAGACAGCATTCAGGTGCTTGCCTGAACTATAACTTTGTTTACACCCTGAAAAACTACTGCAGTTTAATGAAACAACAACAACAAATTAGGCTATGTAATAAATGCATCTTTTAGCATTTGAACAGTTTCAAAGTGTCTGAAAGGTTTTTATAACTTTTTTATTTTAAACAGTTAAGAGGTAAGATTCATGTTCAATTTTTATGCCAATTTTCCCTTTACTATGATAGATATGCCTTTGAGAGAAACCCAAATCCAAACAGGTCACATGACTGACATCACATGTTCTGCGATATAACTATTACACATGAGAAAATCGCAATTGCAATAGTGAAATGATACATCGTTATTTCTATCTGTGCAGGTCACTATTCGTGATAAGTAATTACAGCATGTTTCTTATTTTGTGTGTGTATGCAAAATTTGAATTGGTCAGACATTTCACATCCTCAAACAAAAGTGTACCCATGCTCGCCATTTTTCTTTCCACATTCTGATTTGAACTGGGCTAGACGTGCAAAAAAATGTAGAAAAAAAGAATTGACACCATGACTGCATGGTTATTTTCAAGAAACGGGGATGTGACGATTGTTGGAAACAAAAGGTGAAGTTGTCACAGTTTGGATGAAGTGATGCGAAACATCAGCCCTGTCACAAATCTTTGGAAATAATCTCAAGTCCTTATCATTTTAAAATCATAAAGGGGTTTTAAAAGTGTTTTTCAAACTTATTTAGTTTCTCCATAAATGTAGCTAAATAATAAATTGCCATCATTTCAGACAGTCTGTTGATAAAGTCAACTGCTACTTAACTTATGCCTGAAGATAAATCAGTTTATCATTTAAAAGTGATAACAATAAAGTTGATTAACTCTAAAAAATGATGGTAGACAAAGCAAAGAATTCAATGTGTTTTTTTTTCTTGTTGTATTACAGCCAACCACTCAGCAGTCTCCCCACGACGAGCAAGAGAAGCTTCTAGATGAAGCTGTCCAGGCTGTCAAGGTCCAGTCCTTCCAGATGAAGCGATGCCTGGTAGGATCATTTAAGTTCTTTCTAAATGTCTTTTTGTGGACAGCAGCTTTACCAGCTCAAAGGCAGAACACCGGCATCTCCAGCACACATTTTGGACCTTAGACATTTTCCTTTGGAACTTACCAATCACATCATGATTACCTATCAGACATTACAAGTCAATTGTTTATCTCATGCATTTGTGTTTATTTTCTTCCCATGGGTGAAGGCCATGTTCCAGACCTTTGAATCTCTGCTAACATTTCAGTTTTTCAGTGATCAAATATTCATCTGATATGAATTGAAGTGGAACATCACTTTTGCATGTTGGCTTCAGAGTCGGTGTAGGTATGAGTACATCACAAAGAGTAATCACATTTTATACAAAACAACCTGTTCTATTTAAACGTGTACATTTATGGAGAGGATGCAGTGTGTGCGTGTGTGTTTGTCTGAAAACAGACGGTGCGATGTGCCCTCGGTTTCACACACACACACACACCTCTGCACCATTTGCATAGAAATTAATTCCTCCTCCTCTGCAGCACTGCTGTGTGTATATAAATATATATATATATGTATAGTACATCGGGTTTCCTTCCTTCATTAGCAAAAGTTCACTTGCTCACTGTGTTTTAGGAGTAAGGGTTACCAAATACTGTTGTGATGCCATTGTGTCAAAACTGGTATAAAGTATTGTTGTTTTTTCTTTTCAAATGTCATGGTTTTGATTCTGTTTCTGTGTGGCCTGTAGGACAAGAACAAGCTGATGGATGCTCTGAAGCATGCTTCTAATATGCTGGGTGAGCTGAGGACCTCCATGCTGTCTCCAAAGAGCTACTATGAGCTCTGTATCCTTTTCACTTACTCTTTATGCATCGCACCTTTTTCAACCTGTGGATTACTGAAACGTGACCTTTATCTTCTTTAAACCTGTCTGACTGTCTAAATGTTAGGGCGTACTCACACTAGGCAATCCATACTACTCTAAAGCCCTTTGAGTAGAACTTTGTTAAATCCCTCAGTGGAAAGAAAACAAGCCTTTTTAGTGGAAACACTTTAATCGGCTCATTTGTTCATAAAGATTACATTTGCAGCCCGTACAGCTGAAGGCTGAGGAAAAAATCACCAACTAATATAAACCTCTTTTCCATTTGAAAAACCAAAGCATCTCAAACTCGGTTCTAGATTTACAAATACCAGATCCTTTTGTGAAAAGAGACGTATGTGCTTGCTCATGATGTAGTAACATCCATCAGATTTAACAAAGACTTCTTCTAGATGACTGATCATTCCTCCATTTGTTTTAAAACCCTTCTGCACCAATCCAGAATTAAAACACTCATTAAACAGACAATCTCTTGCAGTTGGACTGTCCTTTTGTCTGTGTACATTTAGAGGAATGAAAGAGAAAAGAGATGTACTACTGAGGAAAACACAGTTCATGTTTGAACAAGATTTTTGACTCGCATATATCTGCATTGAAGTTTGAGCACAACATTTGACCAGCATATATATAAATAATTTGTTTAACCGAAAAGTAATTCTGGTGCTGAGTAGCGAGGGGGATGACGCTTAAGTCGACAGAATGTGCATGTCCCTAAACCTGACCCCGCCTTAAAGAAAAACTTGCTCATGTAAATGACTTCAAAACAAAGGTGTTCAAGGTAAGAAATCATTTGCAGACTCAAAAGTGCAGAAATAATTATCACTTTATATCAGGGGTCACCGACCTGAGAGCTACCTGAAGGGTCATATGGAGGGATACTTGTTCTGTTTAATATTCCTAAGTAATTACATTTTACACAGTTTAAAAAATGAATAATAATCATTTAATAGGATACATATGAGACTGTTCACTTTTGACTGTAAATTATGCTCCACATTCACTAATGAGGATTTACCAATCATAGGTAAAACATATATCTATTTAACAGGTAACTTCAATTATTTCTGTGAAACTCAATCAACTTTCTTTATTTTTCTTTATTCTTTATTTAACCAGGAAAGAGACTCATTGAGATTAAATATCATATCACACCTGTGACATTTTATGTTACAAATGACATTTTAAACACATCACAAATCCTTCCATCTGTCGACTTTCTGCTGCTCAAAAGTCAACTGTAACCAGGGGTATACTTTGATACTGTAACTCTAACCCTTTTCACACATACAGAAATGTCCTGAAAAACTCTGGAGATTAGTCTACCCAGAGGTTCTTCAGTCTGTGTGTGAACACAAACAGACACATTTTTTGTGCAGACTTTACCCAGAGTTTCTCCTCCAGACTCTGAGTATTTTATCCACAGAATATCAGAGTGAGCTGATGTCTGAACGCGGCAGCATATACTCTGGAGATTTCAATTTGAGCCAATGAAAAGAGAATGACCTTTATAAACAGTGACTGCCTAAAGTGTCTGCACACGATCTCTGTGCACTTAATTAAACGTCTGCATTGTGTTTTCTGTTGGTCAGTATGTTGTTCTCCTCTCTTTTGTGGATGTTGTCATTCCATTGGATTACACATAGCATTGATATAAAGACAAATATTCTCATTATAACGTCGTGTAGTGGACTCTGTTGCTTCGGCCGCTACTTCCACGTTGTTTATTTACATCACACCTTACCTCAGGAAATCCCCCGCCCCCCCTCCCCCTCTGACAGGGATAGTCCCCCGCTGTGAGGAGCATATGTGAACGGCTAGGTCAGGAGAACCTCTGGAGAAGTCCTCCTGTAAATATCTAGATATTATCTGGAGTGCATATGTGAAAACGGCTTCTGATTGAGTCTTGCAGATGTGCATCAGTTAGTTATGTTCTGTGTTCTTAATAAAGTTTATATCAGAAAACGCTGATTCACACAGATGGGTTGAACCAAACAGAACCTTTAGACTCTTTGTTGTTGTGTTAAGGGTCTTTAGTAAACAAGATCTGCACACTGAGAAGCTCCCGTTTGAAAGATATATTAAATGACCTTTACTTTGACCTCAGACAGGTCAAGTTTATAAAAAAAAAAATAGTTTTAAAATGTTACATGCATGTTAGTAATTTTTGTATTGACGCAAGTGTGATTTAATAAATAAACAAGCTCTGTCATGATGATGTATGGGATTTAGATAGAGTGTGTGTGCTGTCAGAAGTTGGAGAGTTTATCCAGTGATGTTCCTGAAAACATGAGGACAGAGGCTGCTGTACCATTTTAAATGTAGCACAGCGATGGATTATTGTGTGTAGATGGTTCTGCAGTCCCTAACGGTCTTTTCAGATATGGCTATCTCTGATGAACTTCACTACCTGGAAGTTTATCTGACTGATGAGTTTGCCAAGGGACGTAAAGTGGCAGATCTCTATGAGTTGGTCCAGTATGCAGGCAACATCATTCCCAGACTGTGAGTTTCAACCATCTTTCCTTCCAACTGTCATAAACACTTTGAATAGACTCCCTCCATGCACATACAGTGGACCTGTGGTTCAGAACAAGTAGTGGGAAGAGACCTTCAAATAGTCAATCTGAATAATCTCACATGCTTCTTATCACATAGTTAGTTATATAACATATATAACACCAAGGTTAATAACAAGGTTATGTAAATCCATTGACCTGGTTTCTTACCTCATGAATCTCTGAAAATGAGCTCTCCACTTGTCCACTTTATATAGCTCATGTTAGTGATCAGCAGGGGTACCTGTGTGTTTAAGAAGGAAAAAAAAGTTCATGTCTTATGTTAAATGCATGTGTTGTGCCACTGGGATAATATATACACTTCTCAAAGGCATCACTTAGTGGGCACAGTATAACACCAAGTCAGTTAAACTTCAGGGATATTAGTCTGTCCATTAAAAGAAAAAGTGATGGGGAATCAGTTTCACTTGCTTTGGTGCAAATGAAATTGACAACAGGTGCAATGGAGAGGCTTAAGCAAGACAAGCACCAACAGCTCCTCCAGGATGGCACATCTATACATGCAGACTTTGCTGTGTCTCCCAGCATGGTCTCAACAGCATGGAGGAGAAATCAAGAGGCTGGACATCAATCCAGAAACAGGAACAGTATCTGCCTCTTGTGCTAGGAGGAACAGGAAGAGCACTAACAGTGCAGAGCCCTACCAAACAAATATGATACAGGCATAGTGACCTAAATCCAAATGGCAGCCTTTGGGGGCGCCATGTATCTGTGCATTGAACACCACCATGCACCGCCAACAGACTCATTCCAACAAGCTCAGTCCAGGAACGTAGTCTCATAGTCTGATGCTATGATCCTGGTCTGGGAGGAGATACCTCAGGACACCATCCACAGACTAATAAGGAGCAGGCAATGTTGGGAGTGCATAAAGTCACATAGGAGCCATACACACTAAATTATGACTGTTGGATCGGACTGTGATTTTAATTTTTTACTTGAATATTTGGTGTGATTTTTAAATCCAGCCCTTAATGGGATGATGATTTTGGTTTCCATTGAACGCTATGTTCTCAACAAATTATACAATGTACATCAGTAAATATTTTCAACTTTAATAATTGGTTCAGAGTGTGTAGATGGTCACACATTTAAGTCACACAACATGTGTTGTGTGACTTAAATGTTCCCTTAAATATCTATTTATCGTTTTTGGCTGTGACACGGTGGCACACCTGCGCTGAGTCAAGAATGAAGAAAGCTCCTATGCTCGTCTCTTTACATGGTCTAAATATTCTTTCTTGAAACAGTATTTTGTTCAATACCTGTTTAGTAATTCCACTTCATAGCCAGTAGGGGGGGGTCAGTCCCTGTCTGTCTGATAAATGATGATAAAGTGCCGTTTTTCCCTTTCCTGTCCCCTCCAGCTACCTGCTAATCACGGTGGGTGTGGTGTACGTCCGCTCCTTCCCCCAGTCTCGTAAGGACATCCTGAAGGACCTTGTTGAGATGTGTCGTGGTGTCCAGCATCCGCTCAGGGGTCTCTTCCTCAGAAACTACCTGCTGCAGTGCACCCGCAACATACTGCCAGATGATGGAGAGCAGCCAGAGTAAGTCCAGCTTTGTGTGTCTCTTCATCTGGACTTACACATAGCATGCTGTGTAGACTCATAAGAATCCAATGCTCGTCTACTAAAGTGAGAAATGCCACCAGAATGAATGTGGCCATTACCAAATGTCCTCAAATAGTTACCTGTGGCTTTATTAAGATAGAATACCCAGCCTTAATTAGAACTTTAAGCTGAGCTAACCACATTCTGGTCAGATTCCTGGCACGGGAGCTAGGCTAGACTTCGCTGCAGAGCCATATTGTACTATGTAATTTAGCTGTTTTTAACAAGCTAAAAAAAAAAGATTTAAATGAATGCTATATTTTAGAACAGTTTCAGGGCTCGACTTTACAGTCAGCAAACCAAGTGAGTGAAACTTTCAAGACAAAGTTCCTTTGGCTCTTCTGGTTTTTAAATTTAAATTTGAACAATTTTAAGAAGGTCTGTGAAACATCAGCTGTTCAGTACGTCAGGGAACTCTGGGTGGTGAGTGAAGAAGACTGCAGGCATATGTTAGTCACTGGTATCCCCTGATCCAGAAAGGTCTTTTTACCAATTCCCACTTGCAGACACGGGCTGACAGTTTATACTCATGCACCACCAAGTAACGTTAGATCCCTTCTCTCCTCCAGTTTCCACAGAGGTTTCCCCCTGTCTTTTTCAGACCTGTTGAATCTTCATCAGCAGAAGTGTTTAATTAAAGTATCCTCTTATATCCACAGCAAGTCATGGTCGCTTAAAAATGACTTAAAAAAAAAAAACTATAATATCGTCATTTCATTTCTATTTCTGTGGTACTAATGGCCCTGTAAAACCTCCACCTTGTACAAACAGTTTGATGGATATTGAGCTTCTCATTTCATCTGGAAAAGGAAGAGAATGCTTCTTTTAGACATTTCTACATGAATCCCTGTATTTAAATGTTTTTTTCTTTACTCCACAGGGGAACAGAGGAGATGACCGGTGATATCAATGACTCCATTGACTTTGTCCTCCTGAACTTTGCGGAGATGAACAAGTTGTGGGTAAGAATGCAGCATCAGGGTCACAGCCGAGACCGAGAGAAGAGGGAAAAGGAACGACAAGAACTTCGGATTCTGGTTGGCACTAACCTGGTTCGCCTCAGCCAGCTGGAGGGGGTCAATGTGGACAAGTACAAACAGGTGTGTGTGTGTGTGTGTGTGTGTGTGTGTGTGTGTGTGTGTGTGTGTGTGTGTGTGTGTGTGTGTGTGTGTGTGTGTGTGTGTGTGTGTGTGTGTGTGTGTGTGTGTGTGTGTGTGTGTGTGTGTGTGTGTGTGTGTGTGTGTGTGTGTGTGTGTGTGTGTGTGTGTGTGTGTGTGTGTGTGTGTGTGTGTGTAAAGTCATTTCCATATTAGCGACTTACAGCATTAGGCAGAATGTGCGACATCTTACACATAAATCAAGTATCATCTGTACATGTCTCTCTGAGTCATGACTGTCTGCAGCCCGCCCAGTTGTTCTGACTTGGACTTTTGAGATTCCTATAGTTTTTGCGGTTTTTTTGCAGTAATATATGAACCCATTAGTAATACGTCTTTATAAAGGGAAGAAATGTGGTGGAATACAAATGGATCTTTTCTATGTTGATTGCATTGTTAATTAGTAAAATAATCAGACATCATCATTTGCTCTGCTTAAGGAGCTGCAGTCAGTGCTGAGAGGAAAGTCAGAAAGCCCTCTGCTGGTTAGACAATGTAATGGCATCAGGCTTAATTGCCCCGAGAATTCTTTCCTTTATTCTGTAAAAAAGTTTTCATGACAAGACATTTTCGGACACATATAAATATATTTGTGATAGGCACATATCTGTGCAACAATATCAGTTGATAGTATATTGGTTGGGCTTTTATTGTTATAAAATAATCAAATTGATAAGAAGGCTCAAAGTTTAATTGATTTAAGTTCACTGTGGACTGTTGTCAAGTGTGCTCTCTAACATTAGACAAGGGTCCAAAGGGACTGAAATGGTGTTTCACTTTCTAATAAATGGTGATGCTGAGCCAGAGCAGTGTGCAGGATTTTAAAAAAAAAAAGAAGAAAAGAAAATAGAATTTAAAGTCACAAATTAGAAAAGTATGATGGTTTGTCATTTTGAATTATAAGTATATACATTTTTTATGTATAATTTTATATTTTCTTTATTTTGCCATCCATCTTGCAGAAAGAAAAGGTATCACAATGTCAGTTTCCCAGCATCTGCTGCCTTAGTCAATATTCTGCTTTTATCATTTTCAATGTTTTTTTTTCATGACACATTAATTAAAATGAACCCAATTTTAACACAGCCCTAAATACTTCAATCATTTTCAATATTTTGGAGCTTGAGACCTGTCGACTTCACACCTTTTGTTTTTCCCTCCCACAGATTGTTCTGGCTGGAGTGTTGGAGCAGGTTGTGAACTGCAGGGACTCGTTGGCTCAGGAGTATTTAATGGAGTGTATCATTCAGGTAGACATCGGGGGTTCATTCAGCCAAATGTAAATCATGTTTAAACTCGTGCAGTGATTTTCCAAAGTGTTCTCACCTCCTTAAGCGTAAAAGTTATTTCTTCATCTGACATGAGATGAAATCAGCTGTAAAGAGGTGCTGTTGATCCAACTTGTCATCAGCCAACCCTTCACTGATTATTTGGACAGGTTTTGACTGCAGCAAACGGCTTTTTCTAATAATGTACTGGTACTGACATTTAAATATGATTGACTTCTGCAAATAGAGGTCAAGTGAGGAAGAAAGAGAAATGGAACAGTCTTCATGGGAGAGTTGAAAATGTAATTCTATGGTTTATTTAGTTCACTAGTGTGGATCAGAAATATGAAAAGCACTCCTTTATCGACTTTAAACACTAAGAAAGTTTTTGGTTTGAAAAGTTTTAAACGTCTGCCAGCAGCTGCATTTGTCAAAGTGTATTATGAGATGGCTCTTCACTATCATGATGAAGCTGATGGCTGCAGCAAAAGAGTAGACTAGTCTGCATCATTGCACTGGATCCAATTTTAGTGTCAGAACAGTAGAAGAAGAGAAAGAAGTAGCAAACATAACATTTTAAAGTTTTTTTTAAAGGATTTTTAAAGTTAGATTTAAAGTTTTGATTTAAAAATGAAAATATATATTCAAACAATATTGCAATAACATTTGAAGACAGATTCCCTTTGTTGTCTATGATGTTATTTTTGGCAGACTGTGAATAAAAAAAGAACAGTTTTGGGTTTGTTCTATAGATAAATTGACAATATGAAGTATAAGCACATGTGTACACTCCTGACATGAATGAGTCTGTCTTGATAGGTTTTCCCAGACGAGTTCCACCTTCAGACCCTGAACCCTTTCCTCCGCTCCTGTGCCGAGCTCCATCAACATGTCAACGTCAAGAACATCATCATTGCCCTGATTGACAGGTACAGTTTGACACACTAGTGTCCATTTGAAATGAAGCCAGGAAGCGCTACATAATCTTAAGCTTGGAGTGAATTTACAGACACTCCAGAAAATGTGATCACAAAAAGCAGAAGCAACAATGTAGGCAGTGGTGGACTATTTCTGTCTGAGAGTCATCAGGGTAAACGTTGGTTTGTTTTTCAGACTGGCTCTGTTTGCTCATCGAGAAGACGGCCCTGGAATCCCAGCTGAGATCAAACTGTTTGACATCTTCTCTCAGCAGGTGGCCACAGTCATCCAGGTAAGAACATCAGCTTTACCTGCTCGCTAAGACGAGTCAGGCTTTACAAGAGTCAGGCAAACTGTGCTCTGTGTAAGATGGGTTCATTGTAATGAGATACAACTTAATCTTTTGTTTCAATCCCATCACCATTGAAGGTCTATTATTTCTTCTTCTACATCACTTGTTTTTAAAGCGTGTTTATGTGGCTAATACTGACTTGAATGCAGTCACAGTATGTACCTATTTGCTCTCTCTCTTACTTTTTACAGTTGACAGGGAAGAATGATAGTTGCATGTTACAGAAGAATTATTTATTAGAGCCTGGCTGATTAATCCTGATATTAACATATCCAGTGACTATTGGTAAAGGCTAATTTTAACGCAGATATGTGCCGATATTACTAGATTTATTCACCAAATAGCATTTCATTTCAGTTTCATTGTATTACACTAGTAGTTCTCTTTCACCAGCAGAGGGCATTGTATGGATTTCAACAAGCATTATCACGCTTCAGTGTCAAGCGGTGACGCACGTACATGCAGTTACTTTCTAGTTGAGTGACCATCTTGTTGTCTTTAGTGTAAATCTTTTCCACAGGTGACGATGTTAGATGTACACAAAAAATGTGTACATCTATATCTATCTATCTCTACAGATCGAACATAGATCTAAGAAAGATATCGGTCAATATATCGGTATCTGATTTAAAAAAAAAAGAAAAATTGTGTCAAATATTGTGCTGACACAGCAAATGTTTTGATTCTGTTATTCCTGCTTCAGTCTCGCCAGGACATGCCATCAGAAGACGTGGTCTCCCTTCAGGTCTCGCTCATCAACTTGGCCATGAAATGCTACCCTGACCGGGTCGACTATGTGGATAAAGTACTGGAGGGAACTGTGGAGATATTCAACAAGCTCAACTTGGAACAGTAAGTCCTCAAAGTCCTGACACACTACAGATAAAACAACAGTATGGATAAGTTCTGTTTGCTGCACCTTGGGGCCCATTCAAGGTCTCTGAGTGCAGCTGCAATGTCGTAAAACGCCCGTAGTACATAGCCAGCTTGATCTGCAGCCTTCTGTTTCACTCTCTCTAAGTGTTAAAGCATGTCCACTATATAGTCTAGTTGGGCTTCTTGCTCACTCACTCTTATTCTCTTATGTGCTTCATCTGTCACATCCTCTTGTGTCTCTTAGAATAGAATAGATGTTTATTGCCATTTGTACAGGACAGTACAGGTACATTTGAATTCTTGTGAGTCAGCTTCTACAAAAAAGTTAAAATGATATTTAAAATAGAATAACATTATAAAAGTACAAATAAAAAATAAACTGTACAGAAGCTATACACTGTATTAAAGCAAAGATATAATACAAAACAATAACAAAGGGGAACACTGTACAATGAAATGAAAATATCAATATGTTTTCTTGTCTCTACTTTCTACATCTCTTATTGCACCTGAGGTTATTGCACACATATTTTTCACATTATATAATTGCACTGTTTTTTGTTTTTAAGGTTAATATTGCACACTTGTATTGCACTGTGAGGTGGTCAACTGTCCATTTAGTCTGTGAGGTGTGGGGTGAAGTACTTCCTTCACATCTTAATGTCCTGTGCTACAAGTCTCACAGCAGCAGGGAAAAAGCTGTTGTGGTAGCCTCAGACATTGTATCAAACAGTACAGAGACCTTGTTCTTTTTAACTGAAGGCTGCTGTGTGAGCTAGTACCGTAAAGCTGTACTCACTTCATGCTAGAGAACCGTGTTCCGCTGCCATATTTTGGGTCTATATGACAAATTGTGACATAGCAAAATACAAAGACTATTAATCCTAAAGTCCCCAGAACCTGTTGATTTAAACGCATCATAATTACCCCTAACCCCCCTCCAACCCAACCCCTGTCGTCCAGATTTCAGGGTCTAGAACTGTTCAGGTGCACAAGTGAAAACGGCTTGAAATAATCAAAACAGCTGTATGTGATGAACTAAACCATCACACTCATTTCACATTTTGACTCGTACAGAATATGTTTACTCACTTGACTAGGTGTATGACTTTGACCCTTTCCATCTTTTCCCTCCTACAGCATAGCAACAAGCAGCGCAGTGTCAAAGGAGCTAACCCGACTGTTGAAGATCCCAGTGGATACCTACAACAACATCCTGACCGTGCTGCAGCTCAAGCACTTCCCACCACTCTTTGAGTACTTTGACTATGAGTCACGCAAGAGCATGAGCTGCTATGTGCTGAGCAACACGCTGGAGTACAACACCACCATCGTGGCACAGGAACAGGTCAGATTTCTAGAAAAACTAAAGAGTGAGGTCATTTTGGGATTGTGACAGGACGGGCAGTCACTTAAAACAGACATTTTGTACCACTTTGACTTCCATGCCTTCTTCTGTTATTTAGTTATCCACAAACATCCCTGTTTATACATGGCAGCCATCATGCACACACGCATTTAACAATATTTTTATTGAAATTTGTACATATATTTTTACACATATAACTGAACTACAATAAACACATCTAACACACACAAATACAAGACCTACATAAACATTACAAAAAAATAAATAAAGAAACACAAGCACTCAACACACAGCGATCTTAAAAGGATCATGTGCTCTGGTTTCCACATATTTTCAAATTCTTTTGTCCTTCCTTTAGTTATGTAAGTCAGTCTCTCCAGTGTTATACTAGATGCCATCTCCTTCATCCATACGCTTATCAAAGGCACATCAGTTTTCACGCATGCAGAGTTAAAAGCAAATATATCTCTAGCCTTAATTGCCACTTAATGAAGAGCTTTGTCAAACCAAGTGTAACACTGAACCTACCAACAGCTGGTTAGAACAGCCTGAAACTCATGAAAGCATCTGGCTTTGGCAGGGCAAAGTACAAGAGATGTATCAAGTTAGCTTTTCTGTATGATAATGGGAAAAAGGAAGGCTCTGTCTATTCATGAGTGTGTCCCTGTGCAGGATATTTGACTTGTATGTGATTAGCTCATTGTTAACTTTTATTCTTTGCACTCCCTCACTGGTCTTTTCTAGGTGGACGCCATCTTGAACTTGGTATCAACACTGATCCAGGACCAGCCTGACCAACCGGCCGATGACCCCGACCCAGAGGACTTTGCTGAGGAGCAGAGCCTTGTGGGTCGTTTCATCCACCTGCTCCACTCCGATGATCCTGATCAGCAATACCTTGTGAGTGTTTTCTTCCACAGTTTGTACCTCATGTACCAAATAAAAAGATAGAATGATAAACTACAGCATGCTTTAGAAAACTTTAAAAGATTCAAACCTTTCAAGTTGCTCCTAATTTTACAACTTTCTTATTCCAAAGTGTAACTTTAAGATTAGTTGTCTGTTGTTCATTGAAGTCATTATTCTTATTTGTTGGCAGATTTTGAACACGGCCAGGAAACATTTTGGTGCAGGTGGAAACCAAAGGATTCGCTACACACTCCCTCCTTTGGTGTTTGCTGCCTACCAGCTGGCCTTCAGATACAAAGAAAACTCCTCATCGGTGTGCACACATTCTCTTTGACTGCATTTGTGATGCTGCCTATTTTTACTTGACATTGTTTCAAACTTTTCTCACATCAGGATGACAAGTGGGAAAAAAAGTGCCAGAAGATCTTTTCCTTCGCCCACCAGACCATCAGTGCACTTATCAAGGCTGAGCTTGCTGAGCTGCCTCTTCGACTCTTCCTGCAGGGGGCGCTGGCTGCAGGGGAGATTGGCTTTGAGAACCATGAGACTGTAGCTTATGAGTTCATGTCACAGGTAAACCATTTACTATTTTACAAACTCTGTGTTGTTTGAATCACTTAAGGCCTCAGACTTGCAGAAAGTTCAGACAGGTGTCCGATTGGTTTGTCCTACTTTGACATGTTTTAGAAAATGATACAAAATCTTTTGAAGTTGCTTCAGTAGATTGCATGACCTCACAGGTATAAGATGGGCTGCAGTGTAACATTTGTGTAACACAACAAACTGAGGCAGCAGCTCCTGTGATCTGTAAAATGACTGTTTCTGTAAATAGCCTTGTTTCTCAGAATAGAGCGATGGTACAGCTGTGCCTGGTTAATAAAAATGTTACTAAAGGAGCAACTTCAGAACTTGACGTATATATTAGTCGGGATATGCGCGATAACTCAACTTCATCATCCTCACTATGTTGCACTAAAATGACTTGACCTTTAAAGTAGGCCAGCATTTCCTAGCGGGTGCTGTAGCTGCGATTAATGGGCCTGTTCTCCCCGCTCTACATCCCAAATGTAAACCAGCACAGTGGATGGACGGTATCTAATAGAAGCAGCTGTGTCAGGTTAATGTGGCATATCAACCAGGCAGTCCACGATGAGCACATGCAGCACAGGCATGTTGACATTAACCTGAAAATCCAAGGACTAACAGATACCCAAAAAGAAATAAAAAAAATATATTAAGCGGTCAACCCGAGGGATACCTTTCTATCAGTCTTACATATTTGTCCCACCCTTTGTCTCATTTCTGTTCATCCTCTAACCCAGCCTGTCCTTTGTCTCCTCTCCAGGCCTTTTCGCTGTATGAGGATGAGATCAGTGACTCTAAAGCCCAGTTGGCAGCCATCACACTGATCATCGGTACCTTTGAGCGGATGCGGTGTTTCAGTGAAGAAAACCACGAGCCGCTGAGGACCCAGTGTGCCCTGGCTGCCTCGAAGCTGCTGAAGAAGCCCGATCAGTGCCGAGCCGTCAGTATCTGTGCTCACCTCTTTTGGTCAGGCCGCAGTACTGACAAAAATGGTGAAGAGGTGTGTATGATTAGTTTTGTTAATGAACACTTGACATGTTGATAATGTCCATGGAGTTAATGAATCGAGCGTCATGAAGCACATCTCTTGGTTATTGATGCAGTAAGCTGCTGTGAACATGACAGCTTTAGTCATGTTTGTGTTTCTGTCCTTATCTGAAATAAAGCAGTGACAGGAAAACAAAATCAATATTTTGAAATAGCTGGCTTCCTGTTGGGCTTATGGAGGCTTCCAGCTGCTTTTATTACAAGTGTGGACATGACATGCATGCTTACCAAATCTTTCTCAACTTCTACATAGAAATGATGTAGGGCTAACTAACACTTCTGATATATATTATAAATGCAATTGATTTTAAACAATGAAGAAAGTAACCATCTTTCTGTGTCTGTGCCCTGATAATATTTAATAAGTATAATATATAATATTTCAGTAGGTTTCTGACATCACTGTATTCACATATTTTGATGCACGAATCATTCCTAACAACTGATGATGCATCTGCAGATCCGCGATGGTAAGCGGGTGATGGAATGTCTAAAGAAAGCTCTGAAGATTGCAAACCAGTGCATGGACCCATCGCTGCAAGTCCAGCTGTTCATTGAAATCCTCAACAGATACGTTTGCTTCTACGAGAGGGAAAACGATGCGGTAAGACAAAAACAAATGTTACAGAGTCTCCTTTTACAAGCTTTGCTGTGAGCAGCTATGAGTTAGTTTTACTGTAGTTACTCTGCTTTGATCTGGTTTCATGTAAATAAGATACCATGGTGCTGTCACATTGTAGAGGAAAATAATGAAGTTCAACAGATTTCTTATTGATAACCGTTACATACTAATAATGTCTGAAAGAGACCTACCCCCAAAAGTAATCTTTAAAGAGAGAGAGTAAGCAAAGTCTGACTCATGGGTATGGGTATTTAGAGACAGGGGAAATTGCAGAGCAGACAGGTGAGATGGTGAATTTAAAGCCTTATGATATGCTTATGATAGAGCCATGTTAGAAATGTTCACAGCAACAGTTTTGGTTGTATTCATGCTTGTGGTAAGCCACAACTATCCCTCAAGAACTTTCTAACATGAAGAGAGCAAATAGTAGCTCAGCCACTTTTCATTTGAGTTCCTGTCTGACCTTTCACCCCACAGACACAGAGAAGAGGGCCAGACTGTATGGTGACTGCCCAGTTAATCCCCAAAACAGCTGTGCATATGTCATGTTTATGATGCATTGTGTGTGTTTTTGAACGTGTTGACACATTATATCATCACTTGACATTTGCAAAGCCTGTGTGTCTTTGCTATACTGCCACCCACTGTCTCTGAGCAGAACAGCAAACAAGTAGAAGTACAGGGACCTGCCTGAAAAGCTCTGTGACATGTCATCAGGATACGTTTCATTCAGTTTTACAGGCTCGGTGTTCTGGGAACAAAAGTCATTTAATAAAATAAACTGTTGGAACCCACATGCTGTGTCTCTATTGAAAATATGTTTAGAAATACATAGGGACATTATGCTAGTTATATTAGGTTAATTATGACTTATTCTTTAACTTAATTTGAAGTTTGCTCACGATTGACATAAATTCACTTAACCTAGTTTCCCTGAAGTTCTCATATCGACACACACCTGCACCTCTCGTCTCTTTAATAAACAAACTAACCCTCTGTGTGTCCGCTCCTTTGACAATGTTCATCAGCAGAAAAACACAACTACCTTCTTAAAACGTTTCACAAACCATTCTGCTGCTCCACACTTGACTCTCTCTCTTTGTCTCTGGTTTCCTAAACCTGCAGAGCATGTGTCTGCAGGGTAGAGAGCGGATGCAGATCGTCCACTAGTTTATCAATTTTCAGATGGGGATCTTGAACGGAAAAATTGCTGCATTGATAATCATTATCTTAAAAAATCACCATCCCCCCCTCATCTGTTGGTTAACTTAACCTACTTTTGAGCTAGCTTGTTCTCTTGTCTCCCCCTCGTACTGCAGCTGAGAGTGACAGCTGGCCTCAGTCAAACTGGTGCAAGGCTAAGTTTGCATATTTTCAGTTCTGAACTCAGCTTAAATATGTTGATTTTTACAGCTAACTGTCAGATTTGGTTGAGTGGCTTAAAAGGAGCAAGTGCTCTGAAATCATTATTAACCTTCAGAACAACCAGAAATGTCCTTTATGATGTTTAAAACAATGTAAATACCAAACTTACACCGTTTCTCATTCTCCACATGTCCAGGTGACCGTCCAGGTATTAAACCAGCTGATCCAGAAGATCAGGGAAGATCTCCCCAACCTGGAGGCCAGCGAAGAAACGGAGCAGATCAACAAACACTTCCACAACACACTGGAGCATCTTCGTCTGCAGAGAGAATCCCCCGAGTCCGAGGGCCCCGCCTATGAGGGCCTGGTCCTTTAAAACTCTTTCAGATGTTTCACAATGTTATGAATATAAAACTGTAGGCCAGGATTCAAAATAAATGTCAAGAAGAGCTAAAAGAAGTCACTCATTTCCTCCTCATTATCTTTCACTGGCACAACATTTATGACGCAGCTCGGAGGTATTTGAGGCGAGTCTTAGGCACCAATCCTTTATGAATTCTTTTTTGACCAACTTTGTGTTAACCTATACCATTGTATTTTTTAGAATTATAATCAGATTTTTGTTTCTCCCTGCTCGCTTTGTTCACATCATTCCATAAGGAGAGTGACTGTATTAACAACATGTATAAAGTCTGCAGAAAGTGCTGTTCAGTATGTGTGAAACAGGTTAGGACCGCACATGCAAACATTGAAGGTCCCATTTAAAATGTGCCCATAGTTCAAGAGCAGCATCTTTTCACCTTTTTAAACTTTGTTGAATTTTAAGTTAATAATCGTGAAGCATTTTGCATGATCCTCAAGTCTTCTGTTAGCCAGGCTGAGATGAAAAGAAAATACAAACAACCCCATGACTCAAATAACCAAGATAGGGTTCATATTTTTAAGAAGATCCTATCCTTTCATACTCACGCAGTAACACGAGATTAGTCTCTGTTGGCTCCATATTTCATGTGCTGGTTCATTTATGGACTCCTCCTCAGTGCGTCGACATGTTCAGAACTGCAGCATGTGTTTGTATGCTTTAGTGTGCATAAGGTTAGGGTTTACTCTTAAGAGTCCAACCACCCACAATGTCAGACTTAGTCAATAAGTAAAACAATGTTTTCTTGGTGATGCTGTCCTTTCAGATCCATCTCTCATGTAGGGGTTGCAACAGTTCCTCAGGATTTGCTCACTAGTTGACAGTTGCTTTAATGATGTAAAAGTTTGTGTGTAAAGTTTTGAAATGGTTTGCTGCAGCCTGACAGTTCCTGCTGATCTATCTTTCTAAACTCTTTTGTTGATTTGTTGAAGGCAGTATGGAGCACTTTCTCTCCCCTAATGAAACCTATGTAAACCCACTTGTGAATCAGATCAAGAAAACAACCGATTATAAAAATTATTGTTGTCACTTGCTGAAATAAAATTAAAATTAACAATACCAAGTTTGTATTTTGTGGAATGTACGCACAATATTTGAATAAAATCAAATCATTGTATTATTTTGGGTTCCTAGACAGAACAGAATCAAATATGTGTAGTTTACGGGTGTGGAAAGTGTGGAGAACGATTAATTCCCAGACTATTACAGAAGATAAACGCTCTGTCATAATAAATCAATCATAATAGGCTGACTGCTTTTGTTGGGATTTGGGATATAAGATCTATCAATATTGATACATCAATTTGAAAAGAAATGACCAAATACAGTATGTGTATGCTGCCCATACCATATACTTATATATAACTTTTATATAACTATATATAATATATATAACTGTTATAAAAACTGTATAAAACTATAAAAGTCTAAACCAAAAGCCACTGATGTAGGATTGGTAAAAACATGAGTTATCCCAGAGGCACAAAGATTTTATAAATCGCTGTTTCAGATTCTTGAGACCATTATTCATTTATTAAATTGAAACTTATTTCATATTTCAACAGAAATATTGGATAAATCCTTGAATGCCTCGCTCTGTAACTTCAGAAACAGGGTGTGGGGGGGGGGCTTTGCAGCTATCTGCCATTTTTCCCATGAAATTTGAATGCAACACAGCAGCAAAAGGACTTGCTTTGCGCATGCTCACAGCGATTGCATTTTTTTTCCTACAGTAAGTGTTTAGCCTGCCGAAGGTACGTCGGCGTTAAGCTACACCGATAAAAGTTTCTTTGCGGATGAAGGTGGTTGTGGGAGTGAGTCGGTAGTCGTCCATGTTTTACAGAGAAAAGTTGTAGTTCCGTTCAGCCATTTGGCCTGTCGCTGGAAGAAACGGACTATGTCGGCAAATAAAACAAAGAAAGTCAAAATGGCTACTAAATCTTGTCCTGAATGCGACCAACAGGTGAGGAAATATGTTAATATTTTAATTGTATGTGTTGTGAATATTTTGTGTCGCTAAATCAGTTTTCAGATATTTCACTGATGACTGTCATGGCAGCTCACACTGAGCTGCTCTCACTGAGCCACAAGCAACCCCACAATATATTCAGCCCCACTGCATGCTCTCTGTAAATATATTCAGCCCCACTGCATGCTCTCTGTAAATATATTCAGCTCTCTGTAAATATATCCAGCCCACTGCATGCTCTCTGTAAATATATTCAGCTCCACTGCATGTCTCTGTAAATATATCCAGCTCCACTGCATGCTCTCTGTAAATATATTCAGCTCCACTGCATGCTCTCTGTAAATATATCAGCCCACTGCATGCTCTCTGTAAATATATTCAGCTCCACTGCATGCTCTCTGTAAATAATATATCCAGCCCACTGCATGCTCTCTGTAAATATATTCAGCTCCACTGCATGCTCTCTGTAAATATATCAGCTCCACTGCATGCTCTCTGTAAATAATATATTCAGCCCACTGCATGCTCTCTGTAAATATATTCAGCTCCACTGCATGCTCTCTGTAAATATATTCAGCTCCACTGCATGCTCTCTGTAAATGAATATATTCAGCTCCACTGCATGCTCTCTGTAAATATATTCAGCTCCACTGCATGCTCTCTGTAAATATATCAGCTCCACTGCATGCTCTCTGTAAATATATATCAGCTCCACTGCATGCTCTCTGTAAATATATATCCAGCTCCACTGCATGCTCTCTGTAAATGAATATATCAGCTCCACTGCATGCTCTCTGTAAATATATTCAGCTCCACTGCATGCTCTCTGTAAATATATTCAGCTCCACTGCATGCTCTCTGTAAATGAATATATTCAGCCCCACTGCATGCTCTCTGTAAAAAATTATCTCCCTAAATATACATATTCGTACTTATTTACACCATGTTTGTGCTGTTTACTGTTTGTTGTTGTTGTTTGTTGTGTTGTTGTTGTTAAGGCTGTTTTATTAAGAACAAACATGCTGGGGCTTCGTTAAAAGACGATTCTACAGAAAAAACAATCGTTGTTGAGGGATTTTAGGAGAGTTGCACATTTAATCAAAAACAATGCTTTTTTCTTCTGTCAGCATGTTAACTTGTCCTTAAACTGAGATGTGTTATTGGCATGGGTTCAGTAGGCCTTAGACTGAGAAATAGCCCATTGTGAAAGTGTAAGCATGGTAATGCATAGAAACTTATTAGTAACTTACAGTATAAAAAACTACCACCATACCTATAAAATCTGATGAGAAAATGTTTTTTCAATCGAAATCTGCATTTGTAGATCACATCATTTCTTGTACTATACAACATGCAATTAGAGCAAAAGAGCATCTTCATTTGTCCCTTTTTCAATTAATATATCATTACAATGTTACAGCTTACAACAAACCAATCAGTTACTGTCCAAAACTATAACAATCAAAAAACATTTGTACTATTTCTTCACACAAAATGCAGTTTTAGCTCGCAAACGAAAGTACAAACTCATTTCCTACCAACAAGCACTGTTTTGTCTTCTGGGTGAGAAAGTGAAAGAAAGAAACACAGTGTCAGTGATGAGGTGGTAAACATTAACTCTATTGCCCTTAGCTGAGAAAACAGTTCAAACAGGGGTATCACTATGCCAATAAAATGGAAGGTGTTTGTATATCTCAGCAGTCACAAAATGTAATGCAAAATGAATTCTTTCTCATAATACTGTAAATACTGACGCCTCCTTGTTACTGGGGATTCAGATATCTCTCCTTCATCCTCAGAGCAGAATTAAGAGCTGTGGGACATCCTGCAGGCAACTGACTCAAACAATCAATATGTATTACGCTTTGTTATATTATTTACAAAGACACAACATCAATCCACCGTGAGCACAGCACTAAGTAACATTTAGCAAAGTTAGCGTGTGACAATCTATGAGAAAAAATCAAATCCATACTAGGCTTGAATGTTTACTTACTTACTGTATTGATCAATATTTATATTATTCACCATATTTAGTTTGATTTGTATAATATCAACTAAAAGTTTCATCCCCGTTCCAGTTATTGCAACATAAAGATCTAAAAAGCAGTTCAGTCTTTCTCTTGTGCTGTCAGAGGAGTTTACCACAAAGCAAGCTCAACGTGTCCGGGCTTTTTTTTTGTTGTTGTTGGGCGAGCTCGACTAAGCCTGAAGCTCCACAGATATCAGGTATCACAAAGCTGATTGGTCAGCTGTTTCCACTAACTCTGGCTTTTAGTGCTTCAGGCTTTGAGCGTGCTCACAGAAATGGAGGTATCGCACACGTTATTAACACGTCATCAGGTAAATAAAATATCTACTTCAGTCAGAGTGATATCATGGGAGGTGATGATACACAGTGTGTGTTCAGGTTATTAGAGTGAAATAATACTGCTTCCTTATATCACTGCCTCTTGTCATCGCTCGCTGTGTAAAAATAATGTGAGGTATCTGACACCAGTGTTGTCAGCTTCCATCAATTGTAGCGCATAGTGATTGGATATTTATTCATGGAGAGGAGCTTCCTGATCCCTGCACGGGGACTTACAGGCACACACAAAGAGAGAGAAAAAAAGAATGGAAGCTAGTTGTAGCAAAACCAGAAATACTGCAATTTACAAGTTGTATACTGGTTTACCTTCCACCCCCCCAATCCATCATCCTGGGATACTGTGCCCTCATCGCTCTATGACTCTAGGGATGATCTGCCGAAATCTGAAATATAAATCTTACCTCAAACAAATGGGAAATAAAGAGGATGGAGACTGAAGAGGTGATTGGATTATCTTCATCTCTAAAGGCCTGTTTCCACCAAGCAGTATTTTTTAGTTCAGTACAGTTTGGTACGGTTAACCCTCATCTTGCTTGCGTTTCCACAGCCAACGTACCCTTTCATAGCAAACTGAGTTATAGCTATGTAACAATAGCGGCGTCAGCTACATCATAGCGTGACATCATAGCGGTCCACTAATAAATGTAACAAAGAAGAAGAATACCACAGCGTAAACAATGAGGGCTGTCCAGCAGAGGTCCTGCACCTCTGAGGTCTAGAACTGTGTTAAAAATAATCAATATGGCAATATATGGTCTCGTACTTCCTGCCGATTCGTGCATCGATGCAGATTTTACAGTCCTGTGTTGGTATAGTAATTAGATTAGATTAGAAAACTTTATTGATTGAAACTCATTTGTCACCTGGTCAGTTCATACACACAACAAACAATATTGACAATACATCACAGTACACAACAAGTAAACAAATAACAAACGCCACTGAAACCATTTGAATAATCATGTACAGCCATGAGTCAGAAACACAACTACAAATGTTTATTAAAATATCGGACTGCTGCAGGAACAAAGGACCTCCTGAGCCATTCAGTGGAACATTAAGGCATCACTAAAGAGTCCGTTAAAAACACCATGTAGAGGATCGCCTTCAAAGATCAAAACAGTTTTAAGTTTGGTCCTCATTCTCTTAAAAAAGCTGTGTAAAGCTGTGATGGAAGGTTTGAAAGACACATCTCCAATGGTGAGGTTCACAATAAAGCCAATAGGCAGCGGTAGAAGCCTAAATGATTCAAAGCATGTTCCAAATGAACACAAACAAGCAAGGAGGAGAAACTCTTGCAAGGATTAAGGGAGACTTTGTAAAGTCTTTGGGAAGTCCAGGGCGGCTGTGGCTCAGTTGGTAGAGTCGTCGCCTCTCAACCGGAGGGTTCGATTCCCAGCGGATCAACATGTCCGATGTGTCCTTGGTCCCTGAATTGCTCCCTCTGCTTCAGTGGTGGTGTATAAATGGGATTAATTACTTCTGATGGATGATATTACATAGCGATCACTACCATCAGTGTGTGAATGTGTAGGTTTGACATGTGGTGTAAAAGAGCTTTGAGTAGTTGGAAGACTAGAAAAGCGCTATATAAGCTCAAGTCCATTTACCATTTACGATTTGTGGATTTGTGTGCCATCCCGGCCGCCCGATATTGTGTGATGATTTCAAGTTAGACATTTCCACCAACTTCTAAACAACTCAGAAGAAGCTTTACTTGTTGAGACTTTTGCCTGTCTCAACACTTTTGCCAGTGTGTCAGCCATCTGTCAACTGGAAGCTTGGGGGGTTCGATCCCCCAGCTCCTGCAGCAACATGTCCAATGTGTCCTTGGGTAAGACACTTAACCCCAGAGTGCTCCTGCTGCTTCCCACGCGGTGTATGCATATGTATGAATGGGATTAGGTACTTCTGATGGTCACTTACATAGCAGCCTCTACCATCAGTGTATAAATGGGTGTGAATGTGTAGGTGTGACATGTTGGGTAAAAGCACTTTGAGTAGTCAGAAGACTTGAAAAGCACTGTGTAAACTCAAGTCCATTTACCATTTAAACAGGGCCAGTTCCACCACACAGAAATTTCTGACCTGGATCACCATCTCACTTTGTAGTAAATCACAGAACACAGATTATATCCACCTGCTTGAGCCGCTCATGCAGATACTTTTGTGTGAACGAAAACACAACTGTTCAATCTTCTGTATGATTTCTGTCTCTGTCTCTAGATCCCGGTCGCGTGCAAGTCTTGTCCATGTGGTTATGTGTTTATTAGCAGAAAGCTGCTAAATGCCAAATTAAACGAGCGCTCCTCTCCAGCAATAGCAGGTAAGACTCCGCTTGCCTGAACCTAAATGATTTATGCCTAAAAAAAAAAAAAAAAAAAAAAGTTAGCTTTTCAGCATGTCTTAAAGGGAGAAATTTTCCAATATCTCTCCTCTGTAACACCTATATGTCTGAGAGCAGCTTTACTGTTTTTACATTGATCCTAAAAACACAATGTAAAGACATTTAAAGTCGACTTAGATGCATGTCATTTTCTCACTTGTTTTTCTAAACACAGCGGTCGATGAGCTCGGTACCAGACCGTCAGTCGAGAGAAAGGCTGCTGATGTTCTGTTTTTTATGCTGCAGACAAACTGGACTTTAAGCGGAGGAGGACGGAGCGCATTCGCAGAGAGAGGATAGACCCTTCTTTAACGAATGACATGGAGAACAGGAAAAGACCTCGGGCCAACAGCCAATCAGATCCCATACGGAGGGGACGTGGAAGACCAAAAACAGTGGGGCTGAAGAAGCATGAAGAGGAAAAGGGTAAAAAAAAAAAAAAAACACTTGAATTTATACTGTTCACAAAATGTGGAAATCCGGTTGAGTTTTTGTACGACCGACATTTATAAAAACACTAGTGTGAATCCGATAACGTGAGCTCTCTTTTTTTCTTAAGTTTTTGATTTTTACTTCCCTATTATAACAGATTTTACTTGTGGAACGTAAAGTTTCAAGCGACCAAATTGGTCAGAACCCTTCCAAATTAGTTTTTCTGTCACAGTTTTCTGTCTCTCTACCAAAAAGGTTGTAACTAAGTATTTCAGGATTTTTTCACATTAACTGATAGAAAAATACATTTTCTGAGGTAAATGGACTTGAGCTTGTAGAGCTCTTTTCTAGTCTTGACTACTCAAAGCGCTTTTTACACCGCAGGTCACACTTACCCATTCACACACTGATGGTAGAGGCTAATTTGGAAAGTGTCCATCAGTAAGAACGAATCCATTCATACATATTCAAGGTGTACGAGGCTCTGTGTTTATCTGCAGTGGGAAAGTGTGTTCCCAGTATTCTGGAGACACGTTTGTAGATGCAGTGATCTGGGCCTGGCCAGGTGTGAACAGCTTAGAGCAGTGCTTCCCAAAGTGTGGGCCGCGCCCCTGGTGGGTCGTGTGGGTACTGCAGGAGGGCCGCAAAAAGCCCTCCACCAATTATAAGAATTAAATTAAAAAAAACACAACAATGATGATTTACCATGAGTTAACCCTTTCAGTGATTAGTAAGGCCTGTCATGACTATTCATAGACATAATGTTCAGTAAACTTTTGTGTCTATCTTGCCATAATATCATGTTTTAATGTCCAATAATTTACCCTTACTGAAAGTGATAGATGTAGTCATGACTTTTATTTTATAACGGGCCCCGGAGTCATTTTGTATTTCAAAGTGGGCCGCAGCAGTGTTAAGTTTGGGAAAGGCTGGTATAGAGCTTTACAGTTACAATAACCCATAATATTGATAATACCAGGATTTCAACCCAACTCTCTTTGACCTATATCACAAGCTATTTATTATTGTTTTTATTCAATATCACTGCAAGATACCAGTAAGATCAACATGTCTTAGTGTTCCTTTAAAAATGAAATGTCTCAAAATATACAAAAGAAAAGGTTCCTCCCTGGATTTTTAAGTGCTGTACTGCCACTGGACATTCAGTGATCGACTGTGTTTGATTTTGTTTACAGAGAAACAAGAGAAGGAAGTGGATATTTATGCAAGTCTGTCCGATGAAAAGGCTTTCGTGTTCTCCGTGGCGTTGGCTGAAATCAATCGCAAGATCCTGGGTCAAAGGCTCATCTTATAACTCAGCGCCTGGAGAACTGAGGACTCATTGTAGAAAAAAAACTGTCAAAAGGCAAGAGGAAGACCAAAGAGATGAAAGTGGCTCAAGCTGAACTTTGACCTCAGTGCTACTTGGACGATGGTACAGGACCCTGAAAGCTCCACACTGAAGTGGATGCAGATTTCAGCTCTTCAGCACCAAACAGACATTCAGATACAGAGTTTTGTATGGGTGCTTCAATGACAAAATAGTTGTTTTAAAAGCAGGGGAAACACGGGTTGATGACATCCATCTAGTGCTACATTGGAGAGAATAAATCCAAAATGGTCAGAGTAATACTGAAGGCCTTGAAGTATGAATTAAATTAATGAAAAGAAGCGACTAAAGAAATACATTTACCTTTTGAAATGTTACCTCATGCATATCTTTGGTTGACTTCATATTAGTTGAAGGGACCAAGACATATAGGCGCCTGTGTGTTTTTTCTTAAAAGTGAAAATGATTAAAGTCTATCAAAACCTAATCGTCTACAAATAAATACTTTTTTAAAAAAATGACTGTTGACAATTATGGCAACCATCACCGTGTAAAAGGTTTTGGATCCACTTGTGTCCCTGAGCAAGACCAACACTTGTGGCTCCTAGACTAGAACAGCTGATGCACTCTAAACTATTGTTGTTGTTTGTCAATAATTATTAGTATGTACGCTCAATTTGACATCTGTTTAGTTTACAAAGTGGTCAGTGGGAAAAAGGTCCATTAAGAGGAGAACTGATTCATCTAAATCTTGCTTAGTGTGACTACATTCTCTTTAGTCACAGTATTTAATAAGACGATTAAGAGCACTGATGCTGTGTAAGAAGTGGAAGTGACCAGAGGGGAGAATTTAAATTGCAATGTCAACTTTGATCCCAATGTTGCAGCAGAAACAGACTTTAGATCCACTGGACTTACTGGAACATGACAGCTGATCCTAAGACTTTGCTTTGGTACAGATAAACTCAAACAGCTAAATCTGTTTCAATAAAAGATCCATGAATGTTACAGGAAATATATTTTCAATATAAAGACCTATAGATAACATCATTTAATCACTGATCATCATTTATTATACATGTTTTCATGTCAGGTTACCTCTTCATAACCCTCACCATATATTGGGATCCAGTATGTAAGGCCCATAACAGTAGCCCTTATATATAGTTTAGTAGTAGCTTGTTGAAGTGAAGTGTGAAGTGATTCCTCACAGGATCAGCCTGGTCATGTGATCACTTGAAAAGACATTAAAAGCTAAACTGGAAAAATCTTTTTTTTTCACTTTAATAACTTCAGACACTTTTATCCACACAAAAAACACATAACTGTGATACTCATCTTAAATTATATCTTTAAAAAAGTAGTTTCTTCATATGTTTTTTTGTTGAACTTTTTTTTAAACTAATAGAAACCATATCTTAGCAAACAATAATAATACAAAAAGGCTACAAAGACCTGAAAAAGAAAACATTATATGATGAAGTATATATGTGATTAATGGAAGCCATATTCATTATATTCTGAGTCGTTTCCCTCTGATATTGATTACATTTGGTTGTGTAACTTGAGATCTGAACTTATTTATGTCTTATTTTTAGGATAACAACGCTTAAATATCAGATCTCCAGAAATCAACTCAGTATGTGTTGTTACTCTAAGATATAGACCTAAGTAAATTGAGATCTTACAACTAAACTGACTCAATTTCACGGGAAAATGGAGTTAAATAAAATGTATGGATGTTTTGTTCGCCTGCATTGTATTTTTATGTTTTGTTATTCCTGTGTTATGACTGATGTTGTTTCTTGTTTGAACACAGGATATTATAGCAGTAATCTTTCGATGCCGTTAATTTAAATGTCATGTGAAACATCTTTATAATTTTACGTAACCCACGAAGAACAAAACATCCTTTGACTTCCGTGAGTGTCCAGCAGGTGGCACTGAACTAATCCGAATAGCACAAATTCCCGCCAATCATCCACGAAGAAGAAGTAGGAACGGAAGTGTTATTCGGAAAACATGGCGGCGCCTGTTGGGGACACATTACTGGCTAACCAACAACAGTGACTGTGCTGTGTAACAGTCACAGACAATAATAATTGTATTAATTTAATAATAATAATAATAATTATTATTATTGAGCCAAAGCGCACAGCTGGAGTCAATATGTGGACGAACAACAGGACAGCAGGTGTCTGTCTGAGAGTCCTTCACTGTTTACAGACAGGCTGCAGGACGTGGGGGGGAGTGAGGGGGGCTCACCTGTCTTCATCAGGACCCCCGTGGAGACTTCTCTTCTTCGGCTCTGACAATTTCGCTGTGGAATCTCTCAAACTTCTCACAGTCAGCAGGTAAACTAGAAGTCTACAGCACACACCTGAGATATCGGCAGGTAAACTAGAAGTCTACAGCACACACCTGAGATATCAGCAGGTAAACTAGAAGTCTACAGCGCACACCTGAGATATCAGCAGGTAAACTAGAAGTCTACAGCACACACCTGAGATATCAGCAGGTCAACTAGAAGTCTAGTTTTAAATCCAATTGAAATAATCATTTGGTATTTTTTTTGCACATGATCTTGCAGCTCATGAAATGACTCTAACATCGTCTTGGAGTAAGCAAAGGGAGTGCAGGATGGCTTAACCTCTGTGTTCTGTTTGCAGGAGCTCCACTGATGGATTAGTGGAGTCCCTTGAAGTTGTTACTCTGTCTGGTCACGTACCAGTGAAGAGGTTCGCTCTAGAGAACCAGCTCCCAACCCACAGCTGGCCCCCTGACAATGTGGATGGACGCTTTGATATCGGGGTGGTGGTGTCGTTTGGCTGTTTACTCCCAGAGAGACTAATCAACAAGTTTCCATAGTGAGTATCTTTGTTTATTAATCTTGGGCTAAAACCTGCGATACTCGATATATATCGATATGTATTTTATTAACAGTGAAAACACATAAAATAAACTACCTGTTTGTGAATTTAAAAAGTAATATTTTAAAATAGAAATGTTCCTTAAATACAGTAAAAGAGAGAGAGAGGAGGAGCAGGGTGAAGAGGGACAGACAGTCAGTCATCATCAGAGAAAAAGGTGAATTGGCACCTCTGTAACGTTATTTTAATGCAACATAAACTATATCCATATTAACCATGTTGTCTTACCCTATATCTTGTTTGAAAATATATCCATATATCTTAAAAACTCTGGTCACATGATCCAGAGCAGGTTACGTTGTCTTGAATGTGAGGACGCTGCCCTCAACACCTCATGAAACTAGAAATGTTTAAAGTTGTCTTCAGATAATAAGGGAAGCTTATCCCTGCATTACTCACAAGGGGTTGACCTTAGAATTATTTCTCTTGTTTTGTGCAGTTTACTGATTTAAACATCATTTTCTTTTTTATAAAGTCAGTAAATATTTCATTCAATCAGTCTTTATTTGTAAAGCGTCAATTCATACCAAGTGTTATCTCGAGGCACTTTACAAAACAGCATATGGAATAATATGCAGGCAGGATTTCTATTCCTGGCGTTCCTGTTGTCCACACTTCACAGAGCCTTCACTGTCAGAAGCAGACATCACACACACACACACACACACACACACACACACACACACACACACACACACACACACACACACACACACACACACACACACACACAGAAAATAAGAGGGAGCAGAAACTTCAGGGGAAGGTAGTCGCTTGTGTAATGCAAATGTTAAAAACCCTGTTTCACTGCTGAAATAACTGCTGAAAACCTCCATAAACCTTTGGGGTGGTAATATTCAGTAAATTTCACGACCAGATAAATGAGGTGGTTAGCAAGAGGGAGTGATGACATGCATGTCCTGGACCTGTTTGGGAATCCATTTACTGTATTGTGTGACTGTGCGGTTACTGTGCATGTTGTGAAACTGCTTCATGATATCCGTTCGACCAGGACTCCTGTACAGTGTTTTTATAGATATGGGGAAAATGTTGATCTACACACTGTATCGGTATAAAAGCAGAAATTGTCATCATAGTCATGGACTTTATTGCGTTGAGACAAAATGAACCGGCCAAAGCAAACATTTTGGAACAACAAATAAATGAATAGAATAGAATAGATGTTTATTGCCATTTGTACAGGACAGTACAGGTACATTTGAATTTTGTGAGTCAGCTTCTACAAAAAAGTTAAAATGATATTTAAAATAGAATAACATTATAAAAGTACAAATAAAAAATAAACTGTACAGAAGCTATACACTGTATTAAAGCAAAGATATAATACAAAACAATAACAAAGGGGAACACTGTACAATGAAATGAAAATATCAATATTTTTTCTTGTCTCTACTTTCTACATCTCTTATTGCACCTGAGGTTATTGCACACATATTTTTCACATTATATAATTGCACTGTTTTTTGTTTTTAAGGTTAATATTGCACACTTGTATTGCACTGTGAGGTGGTCAACTGTCCATTTAGTCTGTGAGGTGTGGGGTGAAGTACTTCCTTCACATCTTAATGTCCTGTGCTACAAGTCTCACAGCAGATGAGTGCTAATGATGTGTAAAGCCAATGAGATAGCTGCAAAACACATGAATTGATTTTGATGAACTTGTAACACAAATAGTAACAGGAGAGTGCTTTAATCATTCAGCAGAACATTGTGAGTAGCACGCTAGTCTTTTTTTTTCAAGCTTTTTATTTCATCAATTTGTCAGAGGTGTTGGCAGAGCGCCTCTGGGCTCAGACAGTAACACAGTGTGTTATTGATGCTCTGTTCTCATCAAGCATTAACTTAAGGATGTTGAACAATGGAAGATGTTACACAAGTCAAGATAGTGTCTCGCCTCTTATTTCACATTCCCTGTTCAACCTAACAAAAGCCCAAGACAGAGGCATTTACGCCTTTACATACAAAGTGAAGCGTTCATGAAAAGTCAAATGTTTAGCTGCATTTTGGGTCCAAAAATGTCAATAAAGGTCATGTTGTTCTGAGATTTATATGACTACAATTTGATGATGAAACACATTAGGCTATGTACCAACCATGCTGTTTTTAAAGAGAGCGCCTCCAATATATCCAGTGTTTGTTTTTAGATATATCTACATGTATCCCTGGCCAAACTGTGAATTGACTTTAAGGTTAATACTAACCTCACTAAACTGTGTGTCTGTGCTCACTCTCTTTCAGTGGGATTTTAAATGTTCACCCTAGCCTTCTGCCCAGGTGGCGAGGACCAGCACCCATCTTCCACACCATCCTGCATGGTGATACTGTGACAGGAGTCACAATCATGCAGATCCGTCCTAAAAGGTATGCAGAGACAGGGGCATCGTAGTGTTCTTCCTGTTTTTATTTTCTTACTTAAATATAAAAAAAGTAAAAATAAATAAATGTCCTCCAATCCAGGTTTGATGTGGGCCCCATTCTCAACCAGGAGGGCCATCAGGTCCCTGAGGACTGCACTGCTGATGAGCTTGGATCTGCCCTTGCCACGAAGGGAGCACATCTGGTGAGTGTTTTGTTGTTTTGACACATGCCTGTTGTCATTATCTTATTGTCTCACTCACAGGACGGGGACTCAGTGACTCTCTTTTTGTGCTCTCACTCTTAAAGCTTCCAGCCGGTGCGATCTCAGTGCACGTAATGAAACCGCACCATTATGTTTTCTGTTCAGCAGTATATTCTTCTCTGCTCTTTTTGTTCATATTGTCAATGTGTCGAAAATCTTATCACACTGATATAAAGACAAATCTGTAATTTTAACATCAGACTCTTGTGTTGTTCTTTCAACATCACATCCTGCCTCCTCAGACCCCCTCCCATCTAACAGTGATCGACTCAAGCTTTGAGGGACATGTGTGAATAAGCAAATCAGAAAGATTTAAAGGCCAGTCTGCCTAAAATTGTCAATAAATTCTCAGTAATGCTAGCCTGAAAAGAACTTTTGTGTTTGTTCTCTGGACTGCAGCTGATTGATACCTTGATGACACTGCCTGAGCGGATGGGGAATAAGAAGGAGCAAGGACAGACAGGTGCAACCTTTGGTATGTTGCTCCAGATAACATAGTCATACTAAATATAAAAACAAGAGGAACTCTTAAAACTGACATTTTAACTTCATCCAACAGCCCCAAAAATCAACACATCCATGAGCTGGATGGTGTGGGAGGAGCAGACTTGTGACCAAATCAGTCGTCTGTATCGTGCCATCGGATCTCTGGTAATGGAGGCTGATCTGAAATAAAATAAGTTTTGCTGATTATCAGTAAAATGATGATTATTTTTTCTATCATCAGACACATTTGAGGACCATATGGATGGGCAGGACTGTTAAACTTCTGAATTTTGTAGGAAAATGTCACATTTCATTGTCGGGTAAGTTTGTAGATTAATTCCACCTTATACAGAGTATCCACATGTTTGTAAATGTGATTCTGGTTTCACTGCTATATGGTGTCCACATAATGGAAACAATCTTTCTTAGTCATGTACTTTGATGGCGCTAACCTTATTGTGTCGGCATAGCAACAGTGAGCAGCAAAGTAAAAACGATGAGGATTTGATTCAGAAAAGGATTGCATGGATTTTGCACCAACTTTCAAAGTCAAAAAGGCATCGTCTAAATCACAAAACACAAGCCAAGGGTTACACGCTGGTGCTGTTTGCGTTTATTAAAACGAGCCATTATGCTGTCATTTGGGGGAAGTCTGCCCCTTTATGAAAAATGTGCCTCTTTGTAAAGTGTCTGATTCACAAACAGCAGCATTAACAGGTGGAGCGGAGCATCAGGAAAACTAGAAGACTTTAAAATAAAACAACTTTAAATAAAGTCTAGAACATAAATTGGAGCCGTTACGCATGACAAGGATGAGAGTGTTATTTTCTTTGAGTGAGGAAGCTTTGTTTTAAACTCATCTTACATTTTTCAAGTCTGGCTTCAGTCTAATTGAGAATATAAACAATATTTACAAATATGAATACATACTGATGGATTAACAGCATAGATATTGCACGGTTCATGTATAGATTGCACGTTTGATGTATAAATATTGTCCAGTTGTCAACAGATTGCACAGTTTTAGTAGAGAAATAAGTTCTGTACCTGAAGTCAAGAGTTCATACCCAGACCAAAGAGGGAAACATTGTGTTCAGCATTAAAATGAAAACTTTTGATTGGGTAATTGTTCAGGAGCAGAGTCAGAGTCCAGAGGATTGGAGCTCTGATTTGCATATGGGGTTTTTGTCTATTTGCTAGGGCACTATTTCACTGTTGAGCTGTCGTAAATAACTGGCATGTTGTTTGCAGATGAAAGGAGGAAACCCCTCCCTGGTTCAGTGAGCTATCAGAGGGAGTCCAACACTTTGGCTGTCTGTTGTAAGGTTAGTCTAAGATAACACATATAACACTGCAAAATCTTTCAAACCTTAACAGTCAAAACTCAACAACAAATAAATCAATTTAAAACATTTATTATGACCAAAAAAATCTGTTTGTGTGTTTGTATCTTGCATTAATTTTCCCTTCAAAATGATTCAATTCTTTTGATGCTGAAACATTCACATTGATGTTCTCTTTTCCAGGATGGCTGGGTGGGGTTTAAGGAAGTGCTTCTTAAAAAGCGTCTGACAGCAGCTGACTTCTATAACGGCTACCTGCATCAGACAGACAGAGGACTTTTTGTTAGTAAAACAACATCTGAAGCTCGCCAGATGAGAGAAAACTCCAGTTTGTGACCCGACCACATGGCAGCTCTCACTCTTATTTATATTCCATGTGTCTGTTTTAAGACATGCGCAGTTCATGCATTTAGAGAATTTATTTGTACTGTATATTTATATTCAAATAAAGTCTCTTTGATGGATAGATGCCAGAAATAAAGAGAGTGATGAACATGTTTTTTTACCAAAAGGAACATTACTGTGGCTCATAATGTTAGAAATACATTCTCAGATGACATTTAGCGTTTAAGATATTTTTGACATAACTGCGAACTGTAGAGCACATAAACTTTAAACTCAATAGAGAATACATAAAGAGGGTATTCAGGCATTTTGCTCTCGCTTATTTGTTTCTCATTTATGTCAATTCAAGACGATTCAATCAACTTTCTAATTTTGGTTCTGGCTGCTATACCTACAGCTTTACACAATAACCTGCAGCACAAACTGAATGCATATAGATTCAGACAAAAAATAAATAATAAAACCTCTAATTATTACTCACAGAGAGTCATCAGGAATACAATAAGTGAAAGGTAGTCCTTCAAAGCTTAGGAAATCCACTCTGATGACTTATGAGCACTGAAACATCCCAGGATTTCAGAAGTTATTTTGTTAATCCTGGGATTTTGTAACTCATTATTTAATCCTTTTCTGGTTCATCATCTAATAATGTGAACTCTAATCAGGTTGGAAATTATTTGGCCCCTTTCATACATGAAGCACACAGTGGAAAACAGTCAGAAATGTCTACTGTTTTACATAGGTAGCCATCAAGCATATCTGCATTAAACAGAGGGTTTTAAACCATAGACTATAAGATAGATAGATAGATAGATAGATCCTTTAATGATCCTTTATAGGAAATTACAGTGCCACAACAGCTTCAAGACAGATATAACACCACACATTTCATCAGATAGCTTCCATAAGTTATAATACAATAAAAAATACTTTAAAAAGTGCAAAGTAATTTTTGTGCATTGTAAAACCTTAAAGCAGCTGGTATACAAGACTTCCTGTATCGCTCAGTTTTGCACATTGGTGCAATCAGTCTCTGACTGAAGGTGCTGCTCTTGATCACCTTCAGGGCGTGGAGTGGGTGAGTGGGGTTGGTCATGAACCCAGTTTGTTCAGAGTTCTGGCCTCTGCCACCTGCTGGACCATTAGTTGCTCAGCCCCGACCACTGAGCCGGCCTTCCTGATCAGCTTGTCAAGTCTGTTTTTGTCCGCTGTACGGGCACATTCTCCCCAACAAGCCACAGCAAAAAAAAGAGCACTGGCCACCACTGAATGGTAGACACTGCACAGCAGGGGTTGGCAGATGTTGAATGACCTTAGACTCCTTAAGAAATACAGTGTACTTTGTCCAATCATGAAGCCTCCTAGCAAACAGCTACAATGAGCCCAATTGCAATCCTATCAGTCATGCTCATTGCGATGGAGCTCAGTTTTAGTTTGGAGTACCAAGAGGTCTTTCTATGATGATGTCATACTTGGTGCTATGCAAATTCATATTTTATTGATTCATTTGAATGTTCAGGATTATTAATATGTAACTAAATAAACTTGAAAAGGCAACAATCTGAACTGAAAGTTCACACAGATGTGGGATATGACCAGTTAATAGTTAAAAAAAAACAGCAGTGAAGGTAACGTACACACACACACACACACACACACATCGATGTGCACTCTTTAGCTGACAGCATCAGTGTGTTAACAGAGACTGCAGTCTGCAGTGTTGTTCACACACTTCAATGGTTCTGAGTTATATTAGATCATATGATCGATTGACGTTATGCCAATCATCTTTAATTTTTTTGGATTGTGTTTAAAACCTCTCTGAAACACCTCAATGTATGAGCAGCGACAGAAAGCTCCAACCTGCTGTGAGTTCACTCTGCAGGAAGTAGACTATTGTAAGCAACTTACAGACTACTATAGCAAACAGACAACAAAAATCACTCACACATATCGATGCATCTAAAGCCTATAAACTGGTTAAACAAAAGTTTAGATGTTTTAGATGAGGAGGTGCTGCAGCCGGTAAACACTCTTACTTCCCACGTCAGTGAACATGCCCCTAATTATGCATAACCCTTTTCCTCATAAGATCAAAATGTATTAGTTGTAGAAAAAAAATTAGGAATAGAATGCTCACTTTTCTTTCAATTCCTATCATATTTGAGGTTGAAAATATCAAAATTTAAATTGATTACCATTTCACTGAAATGTTTAGGCTGATAAATAGGCTAGGTGAATAAAAGACACCATAATTGTAATGGTAAAGTCATACGCCGCAGACGAAGCAGCAGGAGCAATTCGGTGGTTAAGTGTCTTGCCCAAGGACACATCGGACATGTTGCTGCAGGAGCTGAGGATCGAACCCCCAACAATGTGGGTGACCAAGAACTGAAAAGCAAAATATCAATTAACACAGACTCAGATCCAAAACTGAATACCTTGTCAATTATCATTTTATGATGGCTGTTGATATAAGAGCTGTCATCACATAAACAGACATTGCTTCCTATGAATGAATAAGAGATGAAAGACTTTCATTATAACCAAAAAAAGTTACCGGAGTAGGTAGAAGTAAAACGTTGTTCTTCTATTAATTCATATATTATTCCAACAATTTCTAAAATGTATTTACAACTAATATAAGCTACAAACAAGCCTCCCCAGTTTATTTGCCAACCAAAATAAATAAACAACAATCCCGTGACGCTTTGGGAAAAAAGTATTTATCTCTGGGAACATTCCCTCTATAGAGGACGAGATCTGACAGAAGTATAAATAAATAAATGTACAAATAAATACTGGAATAAAGAAATAAATGAATGAATAAATAAATAAATAAATAATTAAATGCATGAATAAATAAATAAAAACTGGTAAATAAATGGGACATAAATAATTGAATGTCTTAAATTTATTTCTACATTTATTTATTTCCACATTTATTTATTTCTACATGTATTTATTTCCACATTTATTCATTTCTACATTTATTTATTTCCATATTTATTTATTTCCACATTTACTAATTTATACATTTATTTAATTTTACATTTCTGTGTATGTGTTTATTTATTTATTTATGCCTCTGTCAGATCTCGTACTCCATATCCCTCTGTCTTCAATAATTGGATGGACAAAAAAAACAGAGCAATTAAAGAAAAACGTGGATGCACTTTAAGGACTGTCATCCAGAGGCTCCTCTTCTCTGGACTGTACCACATCACAGTGTAACTGAGGGGACTATCACTTTCACTTTGAATACATTCCCAAAGAGCACTTCATACTAAAAGATTGCTTTTGGAAGACGTTCCGTAGTTAAAATATAAAACTCCTCTTACAGCTTTAAAATGACAGAAGAAGAAGAAAATCCCACACATCATGTTGGCTTTCATCAGACCCCCCCCTCTCCCCCCCCTGCAGCTGTCGAGTGGTAACGCTTCAGCTGGAAAGACTGCCATTTTACTCTGTAATTGCTAACATTAGCTAACTGTGTGAAGTGACAGACCATTATATTATGTAGTGCTCAGTTAGTTTCTACCAGTACAGTATTGAATTACATCACAGGGCAAGTAAACATCCAACCCGACTTTCTGTTGCAAGCACAAGTGGAATAAAGAGTACCGTGAAGAAGAAGTGTAAGTTTGTTGAAGTTATCCAAAAGCTATTGCAGCTAGCTTCTGTTACCATAACATACCCCAGCAGCTGTAGTGTTCATGGACTTGTCAGCCTGCTACTTGTTAGACATTACGACAGATGACAGTTCACGTCATGACAGTGAGGTTGGTTGCATATCTTGCTGAAGATGTATCTTATCTTTTACATGTCGTAAACCTGCAGCAGTAGGGGGTTTCCTATGATTTTGAAAGGTTTAATACTTTACGCAATAATTAACGTTATCCCAAAACAGGTTGTGCACTGTTTATTTATTTTTTTTAACTTAATTGCCACCATCACATACATCAACTTCATATTTTTCTATGTCTATAATACTTATACACATAAAGGACCACTGATCATATAACAAAGAGGACAAGTCGTACAGTAATATTTATTTATTAAAATGTTTTAAAGCTTACAGAATTCTTTGTCAAAATAGGAAGCATTGAATTATATAGAGATGCAAACAGAAATGTCAGTCTAATTAATCTAAATACATTTTCCCTAATCTACGGAAGCCCTAAGCAGACATACATCCATACATTTTATTTTGCTCCAATTTCCCATGATAAGGAAGACATTTTGGTTGTTAACTGGAGATCTCAACTTGTTAATCTTGATATCTCATAATTCTGGTTTTCCCGTGATACATTAATTTCTACAGGTCTCGAAAAAAAAAAACAACATTTTGAATTTCCACACGTTTATTCAAGAACAGAACATTAGTTCAATGACAGTGCAAAAACAACAGGTTACTGCTTGGACGTCTCCATGAGCTTCGTGAAATGGGTCCTTGAGGGAAGAGTGTAGCCAGGGTTCAAGGTGGAGATCATTGTAGTGAAGTTACATCTTCATTTTCAACCGTCGTCAGAGGCCTCATGTCAGCAACGAGCATGTTGAGGATCTGTCAAGACGGATGCTTGCTGTGGTGTACATGATGTTTTCTGCAATGACAAAGATAGTATTATTATGTAAAACAGCACAATTTACATCAAATCAGTATGCCTTGTTGTTTTAGTTATGAATTAAAGGCAAGTAAGTAACCCAGAGAGCACTTACAGAGACAACACACATTTTTATAATTTATTTACACTCATACAGGTACCCCAAAAAACGACTTATTTACACAAATTGAATTAAGTATCTAAATGCAATTTGTCCTACCTCACTACCTCACTAAGACTGGACGCTTAATCATTAAATTATACCATCATTGTAGTAAGTAAACTAATTTTTAATTATTCATTTATTAACGGCTTAAGCTGACCAAGTGCTTTAAAAAAACACTGAGCTAAAATAAAATGTAAAACACACACCAACACAAATATATTCCAACGTCAACAGAAAATAAGATGTGAAAAAAGCAAAGAATATATCTGACAACGTATTGAAAGTGGGCCTAAAAGGCAAAATAATAAAACGTTTTCTTTAGTCTAAGCTTGTTTGGCGTTGGCAAAGTAAAAAGTCATCATTAACCAGCTAACGCTACCGTTACTTTAATGAACTTTTCATGCTTGTCAAGCTGGATAAAAGTAAGCACAAGCACCAGCCGAGCAACCAGAGAGGCTAACGTTACATTTTCTTACTTGAAAACTGAACAAACATGGGATTTTGTAGTGACTTAACCTGCTGTCGAGCTCCCTTCCTAGTCAGCGATGATTCTGACATGTTTACTTTTCAGGTGCTGCATCATCACTGTGGTGCTACCGTGCTGCGCCATATCTCTATTGCAAAGCTTGAAACTAACTCATGTTTTTATGCATTGTGAAGTGCTCCCACACTTTACAAGATTTCGGTTGAACCGCTCTCCGCTCTCCTATGTTTAATATCTGAAATACCAGCACCGCTCTCTCACGCTCTAGCTCCGCCACACTGTGCCGTCAGCATGTAAACAGTTCGGCGTGTACGTCACCACAGACTGTGACATAGGGAGTGACGCATTAATCGCAGACGCAACGAATCGATAATAAAATTTGTTGCCAACACTTTTATTAATCGATTTTTATCGCTTCTATCGATTCTTTGTTGCAGCACTAGAGACGACAGTCAATATTTACTCTCATGGGAAAACAGAGCAAACCTAAATGTATGGGTGCATGTCCACTCAGGGCTTCCGTACATAGCAAGCCAATGTCATATGAGGGCAAGAAGAAGATTAAGCATGTCTGAGTTCTCCACAAAAAAATAATCAACCAATCAATCAATCTTCATTTGTGTAGCTCCAATTCATAACAAATGTTATCTCATGACACTTGACAAAAAAACTATATTTAAAAAAAGCCAAGACCCAACATTAATCCATCACGAGTGCAGCACTAAGCAGGGTTGTAATGCTACCTGAATTTTAGACTTCAAAAGGATCTTAATACCTGTTTTGATACCACAGCAACGAAATAGAACTCATAAGCTTCCAAAATGTGGTTATATCTTGTTTCCAATGATCAAAACATGCAAATTAGCTCTTGCTTACTGTCTGAATTGCACAAAAACATTGGCATGGTTTGATACTCAAATGGACAATTCCTCTTTTATGCACATTTCTAATAAAGGGTTGTTGTTTTTTAAAAAGCTTCAGTACTTTTCAATACACTAGATCTTTAAAATGACAGATTATCCATCCATCCTTCCATTATCTCTACCGCTTTTCCTGTTAGGGGTCAACTGCCAGTCCGCCCTGGCAGCTGCTGCAGCCGAGACAGGAGGCGGCAGCCGCCTCGCCGCTATATTGCAGCTCGTAGAGATAGCCACAAACATCCGATTCAAGCACAAGACCTTCAAAATCCCCTTCCCTTTTCGCCATTGTCGGTTCTTATCAGCTTTCTCCATAGAGCCTGTTAGCATAGCTTCCAAGCAATATGGCGGACGTTATGTTTCGATTCTGGGAGTGAGTTCCCACCCACTGATCTGTGATTGGTCTGTAGCTTCAGTGGTCGAAAATATGAGGAACTAGCGTTGTAGTTTCACCCCGCTAACCACAACAGCCGATGACCCAAAATGACTATTTTTGCATCACTGGAAGCTCCTTTTCAGACTCAGAAATACAAAGATTTCCCATCTCAGGAGAAAATGAGGGCGGGATGCATGACCCTTCAAGCAGGCGTTATCATGACAGTTGCAGAGCAAGATTTTGAAATTGAGGACGCAACATCGTCTTTTTTATTTATTATTATTTTATGTATATATACATATATATATATATTTTTTGTCTTGTTTGCTACGCCCCCTGAAACACAACAAGTGCAATCAATCTCCATGTCATCAAATCATTTATCAGATGTCTGCTTTTTGGACTGCCTTAATTTTGGAATTTAATTGTTAAAGACCAAATGAGTGTATTGGCTTTTAGGATTGTAATATTTGTAAAAGTCTGTGGTGGCTTGATATGACTTAAAGTCACTGTATTTATTGTTGTTGTTTCTTGTGTGTCTGATCCTGCATGTTTCTGCTAGTTTAAAGCCGTGGATGGAAAGCCTGGAACCTGAAACCCTGTATGTGCCACTGGAGCAGACTGGACAGCCCACACTCCCCGTCCCCAACTTAGAAGGCTCTAACTTGGAACTAGGGGGGTAAGAAGCCTTATCCGTGCATCTTATGATGTCCTTATTTCAGAATTCTTTCAGAAACAGCTGTAAAGTTACCCTGCATACACTGTCCCATGTGTGCATGTGATTGACATTATGAACCCAGAAACAGATTCAATATCAAAGTCCTTAAGGCGTGGGCGCTTGGCGTTATAATGTTTGTTCGTAAATTTTCTTAAAGTCATGCAGAAGATAAATTATGGAAATTATTCATTTAAAGTTAAACATAATGTTTTGGTCGTTTGATGACTGAAGGTAAAAGATAATGGAAAGTGGGTGTGCACATAAAGTTTGTAATGGGTAGTAAGATAAATGATCAAACAGATGGTAATAAATACAAAGATGTAAAACCATCCCTTAAAATGAGTGATGTTTTGAGTAACTACCGATAGGTGGAGCCAGTGCAGTGGAGGTCAAATATGGCAGCAGCTATGCTCACTGTGTGCTTTAATGATTACCTTCTGCTTATCAAAAACACCAAGAACACCGTCTCACATCACAAGGGTTGACTGCCTATCAGCCGACTAGTCAGATGATCATTTGTATCTATTGTTAATTCTAATAATATAGTTTGACTAACAATGATAACCTCACTTTGACACATCAGCATTTTGTGTGATAGAAACACTCCATCAATGGCATACTGCGAGAAGCTTCATAGGGCGCATTGTAGACTAATACATAATGATATTAAGATGTTTAAATGGGGGTAAAACAGTGATACAGAACCTGTCACTTAGAGAGAGCAAGAATGATCCATTTTAAATTAACAATGTTTCACAATAACATAAACATGAAATACATTTCCATATTGTGGTGGATTTTGTGATTGGCTGTTATGTAAGGTTTGTAAATGAGGTTAAAAAGGGCACTGATGGATTAGTAGTTAGTTTAAAACTGTTTTTGTTAGGCTTTAATTTGTGTACTTTGTAGCGTTCCCATGTTCTACATACAGAGTGTGAGCTGCTGCCCAGGTAAGGGGTTCAGAGTTCTCCGTTGTAGACTGAACAGGTTTTAAAATTAATTTATCCCTGTGTCTATAAAACTTTTAAATAGGCACTGGACTATAATTTGTCTTTGCCTTTTTGCACGGGTATTTTAAGAACATGATGTTATATCTTTAAGATATTTGTGGACATTATTTAATAATGTTCTTTGTTTTATGTTTAATGTGAATGATGTCGTCTTTTTATGGCTGCAGCACGGGTGAATAGCCCAAGACAAATTTCTCATTTTGTGGGACAAATAAAGTGAATCTTGAATCTTGAACTGTCTTAAGACTGAGGGTTCTTTACTTCCTGTTTGAATACAAACCTGTATTTATTTTGAAATAAAATAAAGAACTTCAAGCACAACAGGGTCATCTTCACCATTACTGTGACTAGGAAGACAATAAAGGCTTATTAACTAGTTAATGCTGACCGCCCAATCTGTCGTCAGATTCCTCTGTAGCCCAGCTCTAATCAGACTTTTGCTTTTCTAGACTTCTTTCTACTCAAAGCGCTTCTACACTGCAGGTCAAACCTATACATCAACCTCACACAAATTCTTACATTGATGACAGAGGCTGCTATGTAATGTTATCTATCTATCTATCTATCTATAGATATATCTCTATCTAGATATATTGATATAAGTATCTATCTATATTTATAAGTGTGTGTATATATATATATATATATGTATATGTATATATATAAATACACACCCTGAAGGCAGCCTGACAGATGCAGTGTTTGCACAGCTGGAGTTTTTTTGTTTAGTAGGTAAGGATGTGGATACACAAGTGAGTTTGCATGTGCTGCAGTGTGCACACAGACAAAAGCCTATGTCATTTAACATTGGCTCCTATCTTTTTTCACACACACAAATCACATACAAACCAGTGCAGCCTGTAGGACAACAGGGTAAACACAGCCCCCCTCAGGCCGGAACCTAATTGTCCGCCCCTGGTTTGGCTAGTCCAGGGATTAGCTACTGGCTGGGGAGTACTATTCACTCCCTCTTTCATTCCCTCTGCCCACTGGGCCTTATCACCATCAATCTGACACGCTGTTTATCTGACGCTGCAGCCAGATCTGCTGGTCTAGGAGAAATGTTCACAAAGGCTGTGGACCATCAGCATTTTGATTGTGGGACCCCAAATGGCCATTACTCTCTATGGCCTCAGTGATCCCAGCAGCCCTCTGTGGTTAGTCCCCGTCCCAGAGCCTGGAAAGCTGACCTGAAGGCCTGTCACTTTGTGTCTGTCATTTGTGCTCTTCTTGAGTCTCAAACTAAGGTGGTTTCTTGGCCAGTTGTTGTGTGCTGTATTTGTGGTCCTTTGGACAGCTTCTCTATGTGGATTGGTTTGTTACAGCACATTGTTTTATTGATCACCGTGGTCTGCCTTGTTATACCTTCGCCAGGGATTTACCAACAAGTGTACAATCTGGAGTTTACCACCTACAACTGATCACTTGATTCATTGTGTTCAAGAGGAAGAAGAAAAACAAAAAAACATTTTGCTATCATGGCTTCTTTCAAACTGGATTTTCTCCCTGAGATGATGGTGGACCACTGCTCTTTGAATTCAAGCCCGGTGTAAGTACCTCTCTGGTCAGCCTTCTGAGTATGGCATGTTTCTAGCTTTGCTCTTTGTCAATGTTAAAACAGAAACAGGGATTTTTGTCCTTGATCTGAGGTAGCCTTGCATATTTTTTTTAACACCAGTTATTTGGTATGGTCCACAGCTATGCAGTACTAAGTGCATACCAACAGTGACGATTCAAAGTATGAATCAGGCATCACGCTCCTTACTCTGGTGGTACAAAAATGAAACTTGTACTTAACTTTCCTCATGGAAGCAGGGTGAGCAGGCAGGGTTGGTTTTGGCATATTCCCCTTTCCAGGTGCCCTATATCGCACCTATGTGCACTGACGCACATAAGTTGGACTGTACTGTCTGACTGTGCTGAAGACGATATTGTCCATGTCTGGTAGCTGTAGCAAAGTGTTTGCTTTTCATCCCTGCACCGTTCACTAAAGGGAAAGGGTTGAGTGTCAAAGCCATTTGTTGAGCTCTGTTTGGTAGTATTGTTGTTGGATGCTAAACTTCAAGTTTTTCACTAGTTTTGTGTAGTGACTGCTGGAGTCCCATTTATAAAAGAGTGTGTAGCATTCCTACTTGATGTGAAATACTGTTGCATATTGATACTGTATTTATAGCTTTAGAAAGAGGGAGAGCAGCCTCTTATACATTCCGCTGCTGGTCAATTCAAAGCACCTCATCAATGATAATGCATATCGTTTTGTCTTTATTGTGAATCATGACAGCAACTCAAAAGAGACAAAAAAAAACCTTCCATGGCTTTGTTGGCCTATTTGGTGGAGGTGATTTAAAACAACAACATAGTAAAAAAGTCTTCTTTTAGCTAACGGTCAAAGAGTGACATCAGTATTAAACTGAAACACGTTTCACATCCAGTTTAAACCTCCTCATGGCCCTCTCACACTGTTATACCGTATTTTTGCTTCATGATAGTAAATAATTATCTTGATAAACTGTCTAATCTTCTAATACTAATTTCTGAAAACTTTACTTTTTAACATCAATTTGATTACTTGTGTTTCTATTTTACTGTCCACTTCAACAAAAAATGATTATGCATGATGATAAAAATGATGGGGTTTCCTTGTATAAAAAAAAGTTGACAGTGTTTTCAAGAAATTGTGAATAGTCAAAAACGATCTGCTGGCACGATTTGATAAGTATTTTATAAGTCATGTTCCGAAATAAGCAACAATAAGCTTAATTGTCACGGTACCAGGATTTGTAAGTTTGATACATTATGTAGGGTCTCTGTAGTCATCAGTCTTTGGGTGTGTCAGGTTTTCTATCTTTAATGCCGCATGTGAAGGGGGTTGTATGGATAAAAAATGAATTCAGTCAAAAAAATGTGCAGTCCTTCAAAAACAATCCAAGTCAAACTTTAAGATTTGTATGGAATTAAAATGCCTTTTATAAGATGAGTAAAGGCTGCGTTAGGAAGTTTAACAGGTCATAATTCAACCTGTAATATCTATTACATATTGCTGGGAAAATTATTCCAGTTTCTCAAATAACTGCAATATTATTTTTCTTGACATTACATTGAACACATCATGATGTTATTCGTCATTTTTCTGACACAAACTTGAACACATCATAGTGTAATCGTATGTCACCTCGATAAGTCAGCGAACTGGCTTTTATCCTGCCAATTGTAACACAGATTTCACCACTGGATTCCCGGTTTGCTTACCACTGTTTCTGTGAGTTGAGGAGGAGTTGACAGAGTTATTTTCTCCTAACCTGAAGATAGTCGAAAATGCTACATTTTGGTTTAATTTGATGCACAATGTTTATGTGCGCCGAGGTTTTGTTCCCCCTAGCAAGAACTGATGTTGTGCGACAGTGTTTGATTTAAAATACGTAACTCGACCTGAGATATATTGTTAAGTTAGAGGACCAGTGAGACTTGATGCAGCTTCAGCTGCAGGAAATCCAGGGTTAGGGTTCCTTCCTGCCCGTAAGTGTGGAGTTGTGGAAGTGTTTATAAGGTCTTTTAGTATTTAAGAATTTGACAATTATATAAAAACTCTTTGGTTCACTACTTTGTTTTACTTAGCTGTTACCACTCTGCATTTCCTCTCCATCTGTAACTTGAAACACAACATTCAGCTGAACACACAATGCTTAAAAACAACTATATGAATGAAATTTGATGATGGACTGCAAGCATGATTTTGATAAAAGCAGCTTTATAAAAAGTTCCTTGCTGCAACTGAGCAGTACATTTTAATCTTACGAAGATCCTTCTGGGAGGTCTTTGAGCTTTATTTTCAGGAAGGACTTTAAAGAAACTCACTCTACTCAAAGATGAACCACTAGTGAAATCCTGCGTTGCCTTGTGAAGCTTTCGATCTGGAATAAGTGATTGTAGTTCTTTTTAAACTGGTTTCTGTGTTTTTTTGCACTTATGCAACTTAACTGAAAGAGAGGTGATGATTTAAAGGGAGGAGCGGGTGAAATAATAGTAGAAGTGTAAGTGCTCTGTTCAGTGCTAAAGTACGCTGCACTCTCAGGTGTGCTTCAGCACAGTACAGTTGCTCATGCACGAACACAAGCACGGGTACACAATGTGATCCCTGCCTCCATTATGGAGGAAACTCAGAGTTGTATGGCTGTATCTGACCAAAATGACAAAAAAAAGCCACAAAGTTAGTAAGTACAGTCATATTCTCTGTTTTTCTTCGATGTGCGGTGACAGACTGGACTGCACGTCCACTTGTCTTGTGAATTAAGCAAGCACCATTAAATTAAATACAGCAGCCCTTGGATTATGGAAACCAGTCAGCATAGAAACCAGTAGGGCAATAACACGTGTACTGGGGGGTATACATGCAAGACTCCCAACTACATTTTCAGGGTGTGGTAAGTCTGGAACACACTGTGCAATTTCAGGCCAATTCTGACAAGATTTTTCAGTTGCACAACTGATTTTGAAAAGGGACCGAATTTCAGCCCGATTGCATGTTGTTTGATGTGCAGTGTACGAGTAGGCACGGGGGCTGACCACGGCTCAACAGCTGCTCCCGACCAATTGGATGAATTTCTGTTTGTTATTTCCCCCTGAGCAAACTCTCAGATAGCATCAGAAATCACCATGGCAACAGCAGGCTTGCGTATGTAGCCTTGTGCGTTACAATTGTGCAAAATGGGAGGGAACAAAACATCCATTAAACAGAATATGTATGCTACATGACCTCCCCTGACCTGGCTGTCTTCTGTGTTTTAAGGCTATTGACCAGGACCCAGAATGCTTTATTATTCAGGCTGTATGTCAGTTTTTTTAAATGTTGATGGTTAGTAATGGTTCTATGATTGATAATGTTAAACCATCAGATCATTAGCTTGATTATAAGTCGAGCAGTGACACTTCTAGAGTGTTTTGAATAGATTATATCATTCTGATTTGTTTACATGAAGGGTTATGCTCTTAGCAACCACTCCTCTAGGGACAGACCTCTTCTTAATATCTTGATTGTTTGATGCTTCTGACCAGCGCTGTGTCGCCTGTGTTGTCCTGTGTGTCATGCAAAAGTTGTGCTCGCAGTCGTGCTACGGATGACGGAGTAGGGTTCTTTTCCTCAGACATCACAGTAGTCGCCACCTGCATCGACTCAGAGGCCTGGAGGGAGAAGATGTCTGTGCTACTCTTCCACATTTCGGGAGACAACAGCGTTGCACAAATAGCAGGTTGTCATAAGCACTTTTCAATCCTGTCCTGATATCAGTCTTGAGTTTGTGGGTCGGGAGCTGTAACATTTTTCTGTTTTTGTTTTTTGTTTTTTGTTTCTTGTGCCATGTTTTGTTAGACGTCTGTAATGTTTGCCCTGATGTGACTTCTGTACTGCTTTAGTCTTGTGAGCGTTAGATGGCTGCTGCTCATCTGTCACAGAATGAGATTTTATAGTTGTTTGAATCCACTGCCTGTACCGTCCACACCTCGCAAGTGAATGCAACCCTTTCTGCTGTACTCAAACTTTTACTGCTCTATAAAGCTTCTGTACAGCTTTGTCCATGAAATAACATCACAAGAAGGTCACATAGCAGGCTTCCAGTGTCTGAAGCATGTCACTAAAGCCCAACATTGTATAGTCACAAGTCTCTGCGAGATAGAGGGTGGATTGTGTTGTTGTCTGTGCTGGCTCAGGGAGAGATGCAGTATACATGGAGAACTGAACAACAATGTTCCAATGGACTGTGCCACAGCATTTATAGCTAATGCTAATTTCCAATGCCTTTCCCTGAAAAGGCATTCAACATAAAATACACAAAATATATGATGAAAATATATGGAGAGCATGCTTACAGAAAGAGTCAATCTATGACACACTTTGTTGACAGTTAATCTCTTAATAGAGTGACAGCTTTGACAAGCTCAGTGTGTCAAGTGTTGGCTGTTTATTTGGCTGAGCTAATTTAGTGTTAGCTTTGCCCTCATCGGTGAATGCAATATCTGGATGGTGTTGATCCCAAAGTATTTTATATACATTCAGCACTCCTTGCAAACCTCATACGTCATATCCATTCCTTCTATCCCTTGCCTGTGGAAAAATACAAAATAAGTCCACACGTTTTATATAAAAGCACACAGTGCTTTCTTGATTTTTTTCTCCCTCTTTGGTGTACCATCTTCCTTCTGCAGACTGAATGTCGCCTCAGCTGACCTGATCTGGAAAAAACTCAACAGTACCATCAAGAGGGCTGAAAAAGCATTTGATGTTATTTCTCCAGTACCAAAGGCATCATATCCCGTTGCAATTCATAGATGATACATTGTGCTGTGAATCCATACGATATCCCGATGCAAACAATCAGGATACTATGCTTTATACCCATCCCTAGCACATACACTGTGGACTGTCTGATACCTGGGCTTTGGGTACCAAATTGACTTGATTAGAAATCTGCTCTACGATCTCAGTACCAATTGTTAGCCTCACTCATCCTCTACTGTCACAGTGAACCCACACTGAGCTGTGTTACATGTGGCCCAAAGCTGACGCTAAACTATAATGTGGTTCCAAGTGTTTGTTGATTTAACAATCACTGGAAACTTTCTTGCGTCTTTGCAATGCAGCTGACAAAGTTAACTGCTTCTTTCGTTTGTCTGCCTTCTTGTTTGGTTAAACATGTTGTTCTACCACCACTCCTCGAGAATAATCTTTACAGATTTAAGAGCTTTTACTTTTTCCTACATATGTGTTCATTGTTTTTGCACCAAAACACCAACTAAAATCCATCTATGTGTAGACCTACTTGGCAGTGAACCCTTTTCTGATTGTTAATCCCACCATTCTGACCTTTTTCCCTGATAGCAAGTAATAAGTGAGGCTTAACCCTCTTGTCTTGATCCAATACACTGTTGTTACTGCAATTGAATGAGCAGGAAATCAACATGTTTGTTTGAAGCTTCTTTCCAATGTATTTGTCTTTTCAGTGGGAAGAAGATGAATGGGTCTCTGGAGCACCCCGACCAACCAGACATTGATGCTATTAAGATGTTTGTCGGACAGATCCCAAGGTCCTGGTCTGAAGAGCAGCTTCGGGAGCTATTTGAGCCTTATGGAGCAGTCTATGAGATCAATGTTCTTCGAGACCGCAGCCAGAATCCCCCACAGAGCAAAGGTCAGCATATCATGCACATAGGGACACATCATTTGAATCTGTAGCAATCTAATGTCCATCCCTCCAATTTATATTGGAGGGACAGTAGAAATACTACTGTCCAACTTTTAAAGGCCTCAGCCTTCATGCTGTACAGGTACTGACTCTTTTTGTTATCCCTCCACAGGCTGCTGTTTTATAACTTACTACACTCGCAAGTCAGCCTTGGAAGCACAGAATGCTCTGCACAACATGAAGATTCTTCCAGGGGTAGGGGACTGCCTCCTTAAACACTAATTTTTAATGCATGCTGGACCATAAATACTTGTTTTTATTCTGCAAGTGGTTGCACCAGCTCTGTGTGAATTCAACCGTAGCCATTTTAAAAGTTATTTCTAAATTAGGAAAGAGTTTACACTCTAACATTTAAGGTCTTGCACCAGCTGAGATAGCTCCAACGTAGGCAGAAGTTACATCTTTCTCACACCAAATTCCCAGTAGGTGAACAGTCCTCCATAAAATTGGGTTGTCATTGTGAATTGTTTTTAAAGGTGGGAGACCTTTGAGGATGAGGAGGAGTAGAGGTTTTTACTGGCTGTTTGGTGTCGGCGGTACATTTACCATTCACCGCTGGATGCTACCTTTGTTATTTTACACTTTCTGTAGATCAAAGCTGTAGGCTTTCAGTTATCACCTAATCAAAATGCTTTGTAATATTGCATACCTTATCGTTTCTGTTTACCTATTTTGATGCCTATTTCACCATTATGAATTATCATGTGTTATTTATGTCTTATTCAGATGCACCACCCAATCCAAATGAAGCCAGCTGACAGTGAGAAAAACAATGGTAAGATTTTTTGTCTTGTCTTTTCTGTCTTTTAATACTAGTAGGTAACCTCCTCTAATGATAAAGCCAACCTCTATACATTTAATGAAAACTAGGGATGGGACAACTGTATTTGTTGAAGTTTATTGCCAAATCTAAATTTTCTTTGTCTTGACCTTACTTTTGAACCCATCATGATGATGTTTTATTTACCTGAACACATAAGTCACCTGGTTAAGTTTGTTTACTCACAGTTCTCACAGTTAGCCAAGTACTCTTGCCCAGGCTAACTGCAGGTAGACTGAAGTCCTCTTACTGTTTTGGATTTTTCAGTTGAGTGCACTCGCTCAGCCTTAACCGCAACTCACACATACTCCGAGCGCGCCGCGGTCCGTCAGCGCCACGGTTTTGCTCCGTCGAACGGCTATCGCCCATTCACACTGGATCCGTTTCTGGGACGTCAGCGCAGCGGAGCGCACCCATGACACATCACAGGAGAACTACAAGATCCCGCAGGAATAAAGAGAAAAACATTAAAACAACATGTTGCTTTGTCTTTCTGAAGATGCATTGTTGTTAATTCGGTTCCTGTTTTGACGTAATGTTGATAAAGTGATGAAAAATACGATCGTGTGTCCGTATATTGTGTTTTATTTTGAAATTGACCGGATGCTCTGTGCGTTTCCTTGTCTGACTTCCTGTTCAGGCTGTCATGTTCTGTCCAGCTTGACACGTTCCTGAAGTGCTCTCCAGCGAAAATAGACTCGCTGCGTATTTGAAACGGAGCAGAGCACAGTGCCAATGGTGGTACGCTCCGGAGATGGACCGCAGCACGCCGGTTCTGATCGCTTTAAGCCCAATTCACACATACTCCGTGCGTGCCGCGGTCTGTCAGTGCCACGCACTACGTTGTACTTAGCTGCCACTCTAGTCAATCATTGTGTTCACACAGCGCGCGCTGCGGTCCGTCTCCAGATCTTGTAGTTCTCCTGTGATGTGTCATGGGTGCGCTCCGCTGCGCTGACGTCCCAGAAACGGATCCAGTGTGAATGGGCGCGAGCCGTCTGACAGAGTAAAACCGTGGCGCTGACGGACCGCGGCGCGCACAGAGTATGTGTGAGTTGCGGGTTACTCACCAGTCTGCTGCATCTGGCATAGCCACTTTGATTAATTCTCATAACTCGCTACCTGTATGGCCCCTCTACATCGTATCGTTGGTATCGAGGATCTGAGGGAGGATCTCTCAGCTTTATGCCTTGTGCATTGAGGGCTGCTAGGTTGGCCGATGTGAAATGTTTAGCTCATGATGCATGCCTCCCTCTGTCAGAGGAACGAGGTCCACTCCAATCAGGCCAAACTATATGACGGGCGTCTGAGGTCGTAGGTGCTCCCCCCAGAAAGAAGGGAAAGTCCGACAAACTGTCTTCTGAGGTAGATCAGCTGATTGCTGAGTTGGCACTGGTGAAGTCCGTACTCTAGTGTCTGCACAGAGGGTGCTGGCTTACACACTCGACATATACCAGAGCTGGTCCCGGAGGCGGACGTCATGTCAGTAGCAGCTTTAGCTTCTCTTTCTATATTAGTATGTAGTGGATGGGCCCTCGCATGCATCTGAGCCAGGCTCCTGCTCCTCAGCCCTCAGTTCTATGAATGGGTCCGAGGACAACTCCATCAGATCAATCATTTGTGGGGCGCTGGCTCACCTGCAGCAAAACTTATGTCAATCAGAACCGCCACCCTTTTAACGCCTTTTTCATGTGCGTGTCAGGCCCTGTAAGCTTTTCTGTTCCTCCCTCAGAGGACTACCCGAGGGAGCCGCTGGAGAGACACCAAAGCTCTTCTGTGCCTGATGTCCAATAGACACACTGGGGTCTTGTCCGAGCCGCATGCCTGCAGTTGAGGCTGTCATTGCCTCCCTCATGCTCTCCTCAATGAGACTCTAAGGCCGGGTGCCAGGTGCCAGATGCCCTCAACCCCAGTATAAGGGGCCGAGCATAAGACACAGCAGCTTGCATTGGCTGTATTGGTAACCCTCCCTCCCACCTCATGCTGGCCCTCTCAGTTGCCCTGCAGCAGACTGTGGTGGACGCAGCCACAACCAGTCTGAGTGACGCTTCAATGTAGGCTTTTGCCCTCATTTTATGGGAACTTGGGCATCTTATGTCCTCTCTCGTCCAGACACCTGGTCAAGTTTGACTTGCACGGTTGCCCTCCATACTGTCCCAGTGGAGTGGGGGGGGGGGGGGAGCTGCTCGGCTCAGCCGCTGTACAGGTACTGGAACAGGTACAAGACCGGCCAGTCCATTGCCATCATGACCCTGCTTGTCTGCTCTCTAGGCAGTCCCACTCCTCTGAGGTTAACCGTCACCCTCCCAGGAACCGCAAAGGCGAGGGGCACAGCCTCCAGCTGGTTTAAAATGACCATCAGTGATCCGGTAAAAACCCTTGCCCTGAATCCACCCTCATGTCCAATGGTGCCAATCAAGCCAGTTGACCCCCTGTCACAATCAGAGGTTTGTACTCAACTATTTACTCATATAGAAGAACAATGGTGGGTATCTCCCTGTCCTAGACCTCAGAGGGCTCAACAGGTTTTTAAAGATCAGTTTGCGGATATCCTCTCCTGTCAAAAGCCCCCACCTAGGGAGTGAAGGCTTCACCCAGAGTCTTCGGGAAGTCAGAGGTCGAACTCTTTGCCTCAGAGGAGACAACCTCTTTTGGTTCCCACAACAGCCCTCTGGGCCAGGGTGCTTTGGCTCATGGTTGGCAAAAACAGCTCCTCTATGCCTTTCCACCATGTCTCTTGATATAGCCAATACTACATTGGGTGCTGCATTGAGGACACAGACTTCTTCTGGTGGCCAACCTCTGGCCAGCCAGGACTTGGTTCCCATTGCTGCACAGTACCTCCCCAGCAGAAAGGACCTCCTGTCTTAGCTAGAAGGTCAGGTTCAACATCCTGACCCGTCGCCTTCAGTTGTGGGTATGGCCACTGCCTCTTGCAGTCGGGCAGGGTGAAATAAACGAAGGTTGCATAGGTAACCACGATTCTATGAACCCTAGAGGTCTGCAAGAGTTCTAAGTCAATTGGAATCTGTGAGATTAGAGAATATTTCATGACATTTTAAGGAGTTCTGTGCAAGTTGCAATATATTTGTGCACCAGTGATTTGTTTTAAATTAAGTGATTCGACTGGCGATATAGCATTATGAAACGGGCTCCTTAATAGTGCTTCAATCTTAAAATGTTTCAAACCCCATCCCTACTTGAAATAGTCAAATACATTTTTCAATTTAGTTTCTTATATGACTTTAAGTTGATCAAATATCTAAATGTTATTACTTTCACCTGTAGAGATCATTGCAGTTGAAGCATTGTTGAAGGATGACACCTTAACATGTGAAGTCTCAAACTGATCCTCTGTGTTCATTGTATGGCTTGAGGAACTGCAAATGAGTCGCAGATTACTTGTTTGAAGAGCTATTTTTTTTAGTTTCGGGATTCCTTCAGTGTTAGTTGTTAAAAATGCAGAAGTCTCCTCCTCTCCAAAACAACAATACTAATGAAGCAAACAAAACTACTTTATAAAGCAGTTTCAAGAATTATTACATTAAGCAAACTCTAGATAAATGTTTTTGGACATTTTTATTTTTTTAGACATACTTGTCTTTAATTTCTTAATGTGGCATGACGCAGAGCAGTTGGACCTTACTGTCCTTATTCAACCTATGCCTCTTTGATGATGTTTTGAATTGCAGAAGAGCTTTAATTTATGTATATTGTATATGTGTAATGTTGTGTTAAGTCATTTACCTTGACATAGAGCAGGTGTGTTTGATGTTGTCTTGTGGTCAATACAGCAGTGGAGGACAGGAAGCTGTTTATTGGAATGATCTCAAAGAAGTGTAATGAGAACGACATCCGACTGATGTTCTCCCCATACGGACAGATAGAGGAGTGCCGAATACTTCGAGGCCCTGATGGACTCAGCCGAGGTATGACCATTTCTGCTGGTATACACGGGCACCAAAATATTCTGTCAGGAAAGATAGCTTTAAGACAAGGTAAGGTAAGGTAACTTTATTTGTACCCGTAGGTAGATGTGGTTACAGTGAGGGAGTCGAGCTTCCTTTTACATACAAATGACAGGACATGACAAAACATGACAAAGTGTCAACAGTGTTAAATACTAAAGGGAATAGCCTGGTATCCTTTGTAACAGTCTGCTGTATAGAGGATTCTGGGTTAAGCTGTGACTTCCAAACAGCCGACTAGGCCATTTCACATTTGATTAAGACAGTTTCTGTTTTTAAGAGACAGTCACCAAGCAAAAGGATAAAACAGATTAAATCACGATATAAAAAAGGTCATCAAGGTTCTGTCAATGTGGAAGGAGGACAATTTTCTCCAGCAGAACAACCGGCGGTGTCCCTTTTTGCACGAAGTTTTGCAGTTTGCAGCAAACTTCAGTATGCTGTTGATGATTGTGTCAGTATAACAACTTTCCTAACCACTGAAGTATTATCTCTCTCTGCAAAGTATGTCCTTTACATAATTTGGTTCATAAACACACTATCCTGTCTCCCATTGTAAAACAGGACTCTGTTAAGAAAATATAATAAGCATTTTCAAGAGCTAATGATGGAAGTTGCTTCATCCATGCAATACCACCCAACTTGAGTGCAACTTTGTACCTGGCTGTGCGACACCTCACTTCATCCTCTGCACAACCTCATAAAAAATAACTTTTCTTGTGTAACATAAAATAGCATATATTGTTCATGCTGTTTGAACAATAACAGTGTCTCTGCCTCCCCCTGTTGTAAAAAAAAAAAAAAAAGAATCCGAAAATACTAGAACCCGACAGATATGGGATTTATTGGTTTGATACAGATATCGATGTGGGGGGGAGAAAAAAAACGATACCAATATATTGACCGATATCTTTCTTAGATCTATCTTCGATCTTTAGAGATAAATAGATATAGACATACACATTTATTGGGTTGATCCCTCAGATGCAGTCATCAAACACTTGTAGAAAATATATCATTTAGAAAAGATGGTCACTCAACTGGAAATTAACTGTGCATGTACGTGCATCACCGCTAGACACTCTGGAGAGTAATAATGCTTGTTGTAATCCATATAGCGCCCTCTGCTGGTGAAAGAGAACTGTTTGGGTAATACAACGAGACTCAAATGAAACACTTAAAGAGCCCATATTATGCTCTTTTTGGGGTTCGTATATTTAATCTATGTACCTACTAAAGTATGTTCACAATAACTAAAGTTTGTCGGCACTGCCGTAATTGGTCCGTTGCTCAGCACTGTTCTTGGAAATGTCCCGCCTCTTTTACCATATTGGGAATGCAGCCACTGGCTCCGTCCGAGGGGAGCATAAACATTAGCACCTTAGCACTACTGTGCTACCGCAGGCTACGGCATATCGTGGGTGTGCTACAGAAGTTAACGGGCGTGCAACATGAGCTGCAGGGCTTGCCACAACGAGCCAATGGGCTTAGATCAGTAATCTCACACTGACAATGACGTCAGACTGACAAATTTTTATCGAGGGGGGCTAGAACCGAGCGTTACATGCAGCTAATGCTACAGCTAACAGGAGGACGTAGGAGAAGCTGCGTTTCCGCGGGCTTTGAATTTTTGCACATAGATGTGCCTAAACATGCACAGGACACTTGGAAAACACACTAAAGAGCATATAAAACCAGAACAAGCATAATATGAGACCTTTAAGGAAGGTCAATTACTCTTGTGAATAGTGTTTGTTCTGTTTCCTCTAGCCGTTCCTCCTCCTCTAGTCTGCTAATCTGATGCACACAGCCTCACATTTGTCAACAGAGCTGTCAATCATGGCATTTTATACGGTTTATTAGCATTAAATAACTAATTAAAAGACATCTCTCAGTTAAAAAAGAGTACTTGAACAAAATCTGTGTAAGAAGAATAAGCTATCACAAGGGCCAGGTTTTGCAGCCAGTCAGAAGGGGGGGCTCTAAATCTTTTAACTTCACTGGCCTTGAGCGGTACTGTCGTCCATTTTAATATACGGTCTATGGTTTGACCTTGGTGCAGAAATCTAACTTGGCTCTAACATTTGATCCAAATCAAATCTGCTTTAGAGCAGAATAGAACAAATCTGAGAATCTAAAAACGATTTCACCTCCTCAGAGTGGACAAGAGTGCAAGGGAGAGTGGTAAGAGGAAGGGATTTGGAACAGTGATGAGCTGTGAAGTGAGCTGTTGTAACATGTGAATGACATGCTATTTTTCTCTTTCAGGGTGTGCGTTTGTGACTTTCACAGCGAGACAAATGGCCCAGTCTGCCATCAAGTCCTTGCATCAGTCCCAGACTATGGAGGTGAACATCAGCGTCACAATTAATTATTATTATTGTTTTTTTTTTTATTGTGCAATTGTGAAATTACTACAAGTGCTAGATGATACAAACAGAACAATGCAAACAAAACAAAGAGTAACAGGACAGCAAACACACGACTTCAACCCACAAATACATTACAAAACAATATAAAATACATGAAAAAGGATACAAGAAGGAGAAGAGACAGAGAGAGAAGCGGAAGGAGAGATTGTGCTTTTTGTAAGGTTGAATTGAGAGGGAGAAGAGGGAATTGAGAAGGGTGTATGGTATGTGTTGAATATGTTGATGTGCGTATACATGTGCTGTGAAAGGGGAAAGTTTGTGTAATGTTGATGTCGTGGGGTAATGGACTACAGCTTGGGTTTTGGGGTCAAAGGTCTACTGCTGTTGATTTGAGGAAGTGGATGGAGGGAGAGGGTGATGCTATTATTTTTCTTTACATTTTTCGTTCCCTATTACTGCTGGACCTGAAATATGTCAAAAAACTGTGTAATTAGACTGCAAGTTACAGTTACTTCTTTCACAAATATTTACATTTTTACATCTCAATAGAGTACAAACTATTTGCTGTGTTGTGTTCAGGGATGTTCATCACCCATTGTGGTCAAGTTTGCAGACACTCAGAAGGACAAGGAACAGAAGCGCATGGCCCAGCAGCTGCAGCAGCAGATGCAGCAGCTCAGTGCTGCTTCCATGTGGGGAAACCTCACTGGCCTCAACAGCCTTGGTCCACAGTACCTAGCAGTGAGTGTGTTTATTGAGCCTCCTAAAGTTTTTGTGTAAAACATAATGACAGGCTTTTTGACCCAGCCATTTCACGAGTTAATACCCTTCTGCCATGTTTACTTCTCCATGTGTTTTTCATACCCTCCCCTGGCATTAGCTCTACCTACAGTTGCTGCAGCAGTCAGCTTCCTCAGGGAACGCACTCAACAACTTGCACCCGGTTTCAGGTAAACGCCATAATGCATTTAAGTAGAAAACTGCCATAAGATATCATGTAGTCATGTACGATTATGATCTGAATGTGTGAATATTAATTATGGGTTGAATGGCTCAAACCTCTCTCTGGATGCTTGGTAAGTTCTCACAATGGTACGCTATGGGCCTGATTTATTAAAGGTTTGCAAACTTGATACCACCAGCAAAAAAAGTGCTATCTGATCTACTAACGGCACGCAGTGAGGATTGAATCTTTCATATGAGCAAAACAACACGCATTGACCATTTAGTATGTTTGACTTAAAGAGCCCATATTCTGCCCTTTTTGGGGTTCATATATTTAATCTATGTAACTACTTTTGTACGTTCACAATAGCTAAAGTCTGAAAAAAGTGTCTGTTTTCATGTACTGCTCCTCCTTGCTCCCTCTACACTCTGAGTCCGTCAGCTACACTCTGTTGAGCCCCCACTGTTAGACCCCCCGTGGGCCAAGTCTGCTCTGATTGGTCTGCCGATCCGCTCTGTCGTTATTGGTCAGTTGCTCAGCACGCTTCTCGGAAATGTCACGCCTCTTTTACCATACTGGGAATGCAGCCACTGGCTCCGTCCAAGGGAGCATAAACATTAGCACCTTAGCACTACTGTGCTACTGCAGGCTACGGCATATCGTGGGCTACTACAGATTTAACGGGCGTGCAACATGAGCTGCTGGGCTTGCCACAACGAGCCAATGGACTTAGATCACTGATCTCACACTGACAATGACGTCGGACTGACAAATTTTTATCGAGGGGGGCTAGAACTGAGCGTTACATGCAGCTAATGCTACAGCTAACAGGAGGAAGTAGGAGAAGCTGCGTTTCCGCGGACTTTGAATTTTTGCAAATAGATGTGCTTAAACATGCACAGGACACTTGGAAAACACACTAAAGAGCATATAAAACCAGAAAAAGCATAATATGGGACCTTTAATGAATATTCAATATGGGGCGTTTCTGCCCTAGAAAGGAGAAAATGCAAATAAGTTAAGTTAGTACACGCATTGTGATTTACCAAGTGGACAAAAAGACTGAGGTGATTGTGATGGTGTCTGAGTTTAACACCTTTGAAAAGAACGTGCTAACCCAGGAGACCAGTGTTACACACAACAGACTGCTGTTATTGAAGTTAGGAGGAGACATAAGCGCAACAAAAGAAGACATACAGATCGCTTTATTCCCCATGTTAATATGTTTGGAATGACAGCAGGAAACACCATGATTAAACTATATTGTTGCCTATTTAAACAAAACTGAACATTCACAGCCTCTGCATTCTAAAGAATTTCAACATTGACGTTTATGTCTTCCTATTTCCCCCTTTTCACCAACATTATAAAGCTGCTGCTACTCTGTAGGACGCTTTGATTGGGGGACCTCACCACTGTTTGTACCCCCGTCTTCGATACCGCTCTCCATAGCATTTCTGTCTGATCAGATACAGCGCTGGCCAGCTGTCTGTTGCACAACAACGGCGAGTGTAGAGAGATTAAGGGAAGAAAAGAGAGGCCCTGTTTAATGCCAAGGTTTTCTTATAAGCCAAATTTTCTTTTTGTAATATTCAGATTTATCTCCTATAACTCAAAAATACTGTACGTTTATTTGCCTCTCTCACTGATACCTATTTTGCGCTTGCAGTCATCCTGCTTTCTGTCCAAACTCTCCGTGATGTAAACCAGTAGAACACGCAAAAACCTAACTTAAATAGTACCGCCTCCACAAGGTTTACACCTGGCGTCATTCACGCAAATTTTTTTGGTAGATCACCCGCAAAACGCCTACCAACCAAACGTGCAATTTGTTGAAACGAACACGCAATTTAGTACTCCTTACTTGGGACCTTAGTAAATCAGGCCCCAGGACTTTAAAACTGCTTTTATCTACAGCAGTGTTCTATTGAAGCCCTTAAAGGACATTTTTTTTTACTCTGTCTCCTGGGAAACAAGTAAACAAAACTCAGTTGTTAATTAGAATTTTATTTCAGCAAGTGACAGCAATAATTGCTATAATCTCCTTTTTGATTGATCTGATTCACAAGCGGGTTTACAAAGTTTTTATTAGGGGAGAGAAGTGCTCCATAGAAAAGGTTAATACAGAATATTCAACAATACAGAATAAGTTTTTCAATCAATGCAACAAATCAACTAAAACACTTAGAAAGAGAGATCAGCAGGAACTGTCAGGCTGCAGCAAACCATTTCAAAACTTTACACACAAACCTTTAAATTATTAAAGCAACTGTCAACTAGTGAGCAATCCTGATGGGGAGTGTAGCTGAAGTCTCCATCTTAATCCTCTGTGTCTGTTTTCAGGTCTTCATGCCATGCAGAACCTGGCTGCTTTAGCAGCAGCAGCAACTGCCACACAGGCCACGCCCACAGGAACCAACACCATGACAACATCTAGTAGCCCTCTAAGTGCATTAACAAGTTCAGGTAAATATATTTATATATATGGCTGTACAGTTTAGGACAAGTACAGACTGTCAGTGAGTTCACCTCTTAAACATACTCTCTAATGTTGTATTTTATACATACAGTACATATTTCATACTCTCTATGTATATTTTATATACATAAACTGTATTGTATGTCTAATACAAAAAAATAAATAAAACAGTTTCTTATCATACAGTAATGCTCTAGTGTTTCTAAACACTAGAAATATTGTCACTGCTGCCAGTAGTGGTGTGCAAAACTGACCAAATTGCGAAACGTTTACACGTTGGGCCAAAATGCGTTTAAACGTTTAGGTGTGGTGGCGGCGGCCAGCACATTTTATTTGTCAAGAACCACATGGCATCTGTTTCTGTAAACCAAATCAAAAATAAGTAAATAATAATTACAATGAAATAACTTGAACAAGTCCTTGCCAAAACCTTTATAAAATAAAAGATCAAACTTGTGGAATTAACGTTTTTTATTCGTCAAGAACCACATGGCAATTTCAGCCTGTCTATTTCCTAAAACTAATCAAAACAAAATAAATAACCTTTCCTTCAACTTGTAAACACAGGGACATCTGCGCTCGCATCACTGGACGTCACTGTGTTTACATTTCAAATGGTTCCTTCTTTCCCTTTGCCTTTTTTTTCCACTCATGACATTTGCATGACCTCGGCGTTAATCATAACTGTAAATCTGCTGAACTCTATAACCAATGATTTTATACCACTGCTTTTAATTTAAATAACACTTTCGGGTTTCTGATTGTGATGTACAGCTACATTGCTTTTTCTGTGATGTTCTTTTAACAATAGCTGTTTTCACATATGCAGTCCTGAAAATTTCTAAAGAATTTCAGGAGGATTGCTTCTCAAATCTTCCTGATCTAGTTGTTCACACATACACCTCACAGTGTGAAACTACTCCAGTCAGATGACGTAAAAAGAACAACACAGTACTGATGATAATGCAGCAGAGTGTCCTACATAATAATAATAATAATTTATCCTTTATTAATCCCGCGAGGGGAAATTCAGTTTTACACTCTAATTAACATGCTACACACACATACACATGCACAAACAGGATCCTGTGGACATGCACTAATGGAGAGGTCTCAGAGTGAGGGGGGCTGCCCACAGCGAGTGCTCCAGAGCAGTTTTTTGGAGTCCCAAGTCCCTACAGACTGAGCTACTGCCGCCCCAGTATAATAATATGTATAATAAATATAATATGACGCTTTAATGGAAATATTTGCCTTTATATTAATGCTACATGTAGTTTGTGGGGAATCACAATATCAACAAAAGAGCGGATAAGAACATCCTGGCAAACATAAAACTTAATGCAGTGGTTTAATTATGTGCACAGAGATCGTACCAGTTGCATGCATAGTGTCATTGCAAGGAATAAACGTCACCACAACCTCCCACTTGCACCAGATAAATTGTCCTGATTTACTGTCCTGTGTTCTCACATCAGCTCATTCGGACTTTCTGTGTAAAAATAGTTGGGGGGCTGGTACAAGAAACTCCGGATAACCTCTGAGTAATAAATGTTGACGTGTGGTTCACACATGCGGCTCACCCTGAAAACTTCAGGAGTTTTTCAGGATTTTGTGCAAGTGTGAATGCGCTTTATGTTTATCATTGTACATGGTCCCTTTACAAATTAAATACATGAAATTAATTATTCTACCTGCAGGGTCGTCCCCCACCTCCAGCAGCAACTCCTCAGTGAACACCATTGCTTCCTTGGGGGCGCTGCAGTCTCTGGTTGCTGGTGCTGGAGCAGGCCTTAACATGGGCTCCCTGGCAGGTACCAATCCTTATGCCTACAATACACCAACATACAGTATTACATCCCTCCACACCTATGTCACATTTCACATTACTTCAAGTCAGTTCTTGTTAGTTCTTCGATCTAATTGATCTAGGAGAAGTCCATCAATGCATGCATAGTACTATAATATTATGCCTAGGGCTAAATCCTCCCCCTTTCATAATTTAGAAGTTTGGTTCCCAGAGTGGAATTCTTTGCAAACATTTAGGGCGCAGTCACACTTGCAAAGTTGTAACATACCGATTGCAAGAGGAGGGATTTAAGGAGAGTGGACCTTATCACTCCCCCTCTCTCCTTCTCTCTCTGAAGCTGATGTGAGTCTGCGTTTTTGGTTTTGGAGTCAAGAGGGACTTTATTTAACGGGACTTTTGTTATGTTGCACGGAGCCGCCGGGGGCTGAGGCAAAGTTTAAATTCTGTGCGCTCAGTGAAGTTACTTATGCACCTGCACTCTCTCTCGAGCGCTCTATCTCTCCCCTGCCCTCCCTCGCACGCAAACTTGCGGCAATTTTATGAATAAATAAGAATAGGTCGGAAATATTCTTGGGCGGCTGTAAGTATACTTGGGCGGCCCGCCCAGGTATCATCTATGTGTGAGAAACACAACTTCACTATTTGAATGAATTATTTTATCAGAATGTCAAAATGAGAAAGACACAGATTTAAGACAGTTTCATGAATACTTTACAAGTAACAATCCAGACAATGGGAGGGCACAACAACTCCATCCAAACTATTTGTACATAAAGACTAGAATAGACAAGGTCCTTGGGAAAGTCTTTGTTAATGGGTAATGCACCATCTGTTTCTCAATGTAATGCTGTTAATACAGCAGCTAGAATTCAAACATAGTGCAGGCTAACTACTAACTTATTGTAATTACAGCCAGCCCCTTTTTACATTGTTAATTCTTTTTAGCTACAGAGATGGAGAGAAACCCACAGTGCTAAGAGCTTACAATGAACTCTTTGCATTTTTGTTTTTCTGATAACTCTCCAGGCATGGCAGCTCTGAATGGTAGTCTTAGCTCTGGAGGCCTATCCAATGGCTCAGGAAGCACCATGGAGGCACTGAGCCAGGCCTACTCAGGCATCCAGCAGTACGCTGCTGCTGCCCTCCCCAGCCTGTATAACCAGAGCCTGCTGTCCCAGCAGAGCGTCTCAGCAGCAGGCAGCCAAAAAGAAGGTGAGTTCTGAGGACTGGGAGGGAAGAGGGGTGTGTGTTTGGTAGAAAATACAGCTGTAAATGGAGATGTTCAATAGGTGAAAAGAAAACAGATAGCTATTTTCTGTATAACAATACTGTTTATATACTAAAAACAATCATCTTTAATCATCAAGGTGCCAAGTTTCATTAAAAAAATCAAACAAGTAGGATAAGTTCTAATTACAATCTGAGGCATATAGATATACAGTATTTGCTGCAACGATCCCATTGCATCAGAAACAATAAGTGTGTCTACTTTTATATAAAGAAGCTGTTTGCATGTACACATGAGCGGGGATGTAATGATCCCTCACTATATCCAATAAAAATCAATACAAATTAGGGACAATTGAAATCGATGAGACACAAAATACATATTGCGTTACTTGTTTTTGACCAGCAGAGAGCGCTATCTGCTTTGGACTTGACTCTTGTTTGTTCTCATTTGCTGAAGAAGAGAGGCGTACAGACACGTCAGAAGCAAGTGAATATTTTGAGGATGAAAATGCGCCATCTTGTTTCAGAGTGGGGGGGGGCACCCCCCGTGCAGGAGTGCAGGAGCAAGATGAGTAGAAAAGAAAAAAAAAATCCAAATATTGTAAGAGACTGATAAACATCCTTCATGATGAAGCATGTCAAATGGCACTACCATAGGCTGCAAAGGGGGATGTGACCCCTCCTCCCCACGTTTTTTTTTTTTTTTTTAAACCTGCAGCTACGTTTTAAGGATTTCGGCTGATTTACAAGTTAGTTAATTTTAGTTAATTTCAGAAAGTTTTAATTTAATTAAGTTTTAATTTCAGAAAGTTTTCTTTGCCTCAATACCATATTTTGTGTTTTTATCATCAGATAATTTAACTAAAAGAATCATATCTATACATTAATTGACTTCCATCTAAATGCTTTATAAAAATTTGAAAATCATGATAAAACCGTGTCGAAGCCTTTCGATATATTGACATGTAACGTATTATGAGTTGAGTGTCTCATTACATGTTGTTTCTTTTTCTCTTTTCACTTAAACAGGAAATGATCATGCAGGATAATAAAACAATGAGTTCCCTTACTTAAAAAAGTTAGGTGTATTAAATAATTGGAGGATAGTCAAACACAGTCTGCTGCTGCAAAAAAAAAAAAGCAGGATGATTGGATTAGAAGGTTGTGAATGCATGCGCTACTTTAGAAAAATATAAACCATCAAACGTATTTTTCTTTTTTAATGTCAGAGTTGTGACCAAATGAAACTGTTTCATTGTTTTCTAATCGTCATTATGTTCTTCTCCACTTTTTGGTTGATACCGCTACAATGTCGAACTACACAAAGCATTGATATGAAGATAAAAATTCTCATCATGGCATCTGCCTCTGTTGATTCTTTTTCTTTTTATATATCATATCTTACCTCCTGAGATGATCCCAGCACACCTGGTCTGAGAGGGATAGCCTCGCGCTGTGAGGTGCATGTGTGAAGAAGTAACTTAGGAAGAATTCCTGAATATTTCAGCTCACCCTGAATACATGCATCAAATTTACCCCAACTTCATGAATGATATTTAACAAGGGGACAGAAAATAAACTACTGGATGAAGTCAGTGACGATTTCAGCTTTCTTGTATTCACACATGCAGCTCACCCGTAAAATTTCAGGAAGTTTTCAGGAGTTTTTGTGTCTCTAGATTTACTCAATGCTTGACCTCAAACAGCTTTAATACTTTATAATGAGGGGTTTCCACCGTCTCATTCTGTCTTGTTTGAGAACTGTTGTGGACAGGATGGTAGAGATGTTTGTGCTGTGTGTTGGTCTCACCTTCTAAGAATTATGTCTTCTTTTAAATCTGCTGCTTCAGCTGGGGACAGTTACAGCACCGGTAAGACATCACAACCTTCTCTCTGACATAACCTCACATAATCATGTCAACGGCCTGTCTCTGAAACAGGCAAAACACCAAGTCAAATTCCTTGTATGTGTAAATGTACTTGGCAATAAAATCAGATTCTGATTCTGAATGTGGTTACCCACTGCTGAAAAACTAAATACTGCAGAAACAGCGCTGCTCCTACAAGAAACTATGCAGTTTGAGCGTAACATTTGAAGGCCAAAGTATGAATAATTTGTTTCACTTACTAGTAATTCTGGTGAAGACTAGCGAGGATGAGGACAGTCATAATGGTCTGTCTGGCTTTCTTGTAGTGCTTCAGATGGTGTATAAACTTCTATTCTATTGCTGCTTTAACACAGAAAGAGGGTTTGTATTTTTTATGTTGAAAAGTGAAATACTATTTTTATGGTGAATGTTTTAAAAGGTAGGATAACTTGGAGGATGAGGAGGAGTTTTACCTGCGTTTTGGTGTTGTCTTGTGATTGATTACAGCCTTCAGATTTGATTTTACTCCTGCTTTTTGTTTTCCATGAGTGGAGCCGGAGATACTTTAATCTGCCCAATTACAGAGTTAGTAGTTGTTGACGATTTTACCACTTAATGTCACTGTTGTTATTTTACCCTAACTGTAGATTAAGGATGTAGGCTTTAGTATGACCTCATCATTGTGTTTGTGGATAAACGTCACTCTGAGACAATTAGACACGAGAGGAAACAATGTAACAAACACTGCATTAAGATAAATGCTTTTCCCTGATTGGTCGCGTGAAGTTAGAATGTCATTTCTGCCACAATATTTTGGTTAGTACTTCGGACGTTACGCTCTACGACTTAAGATGAACCTTAGGTCTCAATGGGGAAAAATCATTATGAGACAACTTAAGTAACAAACTTACCAGTTTCAACATGAAGTTTAGTGTGGACTTCAAACTTCCAGGTAGCTGGTTCAACAGGCCGCAGGATCATATTTTACATTAAATGGGTCATACATTCTTCAAATTGTAAAACAGGATTGTTTGTAATGTTTGTCTGTTTGGTAAAAATGGTTAATTCATTGGCAGGTCCAGAGGGTGCCAACTTGTTCATTTACCACCTGCCCCAGGAGTTTGGTGACCAAGACCTGCTCCAGATGTTCATGCCTTTCGGAAATGTCATATCTGCTAAAGTCTTCATTGACAAACAGACAAACCTGAGCAAGTGTTTTGGTGAGTTCACTCAAATAATGAAAGATATGCCCTGTTTAGATCAATTTGTTTAGTTTTAATTACAATGTCAAAATAAGCTGACCAGATATGTATTAAAAGAAAAACAAACACAACTACAGCCATGTACAGGAAGTATTTGACTGAAAGTTGCCAGTTTACAGGGTCATTCCTTAAACTGAAACACTGACTAGAGGATATAGACACAAATCAGCTTTTATTGTATAGTACAATTTATGCCTTCAGGAGCAACGGCTCCACTATAAGGGTTTTCAGTTAAGCTAGCGGTTAGTAATAACGATTTCCAACCAAGACTTCCTTTTCTGTGCATGTCCTGTGTACAACCTGACCAGCAGCTTGAGAAGGGAAAATAACGATGGTGTTGAGAGAGAGGTCGAGATTAGTTCTTGACCAATAAGAAACATTTAGCGCGACAAATCCCTTTACAATGTTCCTGTCCTATTATGAAGTATTACGCCCAAAATGTTAAAATACTGTCACAGAAACTTATTATGGGTTTAGTCCTTACAATCAGAGTTTGTTATGTTTAAATCTATCTTCTGTTTCCATTCTGAGTGTTGTCATTTCTCCTTCAGGCTTTGTGAGCTATGACAACCCTGTGTCATCACAGGCAGCCATCCAGTCAATGAATGGTTTCCAGATCGGCATGAAGAGGCTGAAGGTGCAGCTGAAGCGCTCAAAGAACGACAGCAAGCCCTACTGAAGGTGCGAGGCACTGCAGACTTAGTTAGGCAGGGTGGTGTTATGGTAAGTGGAGTATGATTAATCAACTGAGAGCAGTCAGTCAGAACGAGTCTGTGCATTAAAGGTGATGAGGCTGCGCTGCCTCCCCTGGTCATGACTCTAACATGTCCAGGCAAAGAGACACTTGAAGCTATATGCAAGATTTTTCAAGCTATACTGGATTCCTTCTGTGTTTTGTGTGGTTTATGCACTTTGTTATTGTTTGAACAAATAAGACAAACAGGTGTATTTTTATTTAAGTTGAAATGTAATCAGTTTGCTGTGGTACATAATGCACATATGGGTTGATTGTTAGGATGTGTTGCATATTGACATTCAGGAGTCAAATTGATGCCTTTTATTGTTCTTCGTGTTGACCATCCCTTGCACCGCCCAGACTCTGAATAAAAGTCTGGAAAACACAGAGCTTCTATAGATAAGGAAACCAGAATAATTCATAGGTTTTCTTTGGCATTGTCACAAACCAAAATCTGTGTTACTGCTTCTTGTGTATATTAGGTGTCTGTTTTACCTTGTGAAATGGAGCCAATGGATGTGGTACATACATTGGACTGTTCAGGGTAAGGAAAGGTAAAGAAGCCTATATTTTTTTATAAGGAGGAGCCCCACCAAATCATGCATGGTACATATTGCAAAACACATCCTGTTAGATGGAGAAAGTGAGAGGCTGTTGTACTCAGATAGATGTTTCCATTTACTTTTCTCAGGCATATGTTTAGATACGTTTAAAGATTTGGCTCATGTGGATGGTACACATTTGGTTCTGTTGAATACAAACATTGTAAGGGCTAGTAAGGCACGCATTGCTAATACAATTGAAACTAAGGAATTGTTTGAATTAGAAGGTAAGGAAACACTTTGTCTTGTTGGACTAAGCAGAAGACTCACTCTAAACAGGTTATTACTCCAACATGGGTGTTGTTTTTCAGACAGCCATTCATGCTTTAGTAAGCTCTTGACTGTCACAGGAGAGCTGTTTCTCCTTTTCTCTGGAAGCTGCTGCTCCCTACTGTCAAACCAGATTATGTTGACATGATAGAAGTTGAAGTGACCCAATGCAAATGGACTTAAACACCCATCATTGCCACACACACTCTGGCTCACACCTTTTCAATTCCTCACAAAGAACCATGGTGTTAGGGAGTCCCAACTAAACAAACAGAGATTTGGCGATGCGCCTCCTGCAGATTGAGTAACAGGTCCGGGGCCTTATGAGGCTATGAAAACAAACCATCAGCCTAAGCCATTTTTAAGATGAACATCCCACAGCCACATCTTCTGTGATTGGAGAACTCGTATACATGCCAAAATTGCTCAAGACAAAACTGTTAGCTGCATAGAAACATCTGTTTTTTTAAGAGCTTAGAAGCAAGACAGTGAGATGTATATTTAAACTATGATGCCTTTTCTATTTTTATATAGGTTTTATACTTCCCCTTGTGTTGGGGAACTATTTATTGCCTAAATTATTTATCTGAATTGAAACTATTTTGACAGACAAAAGTCCAACAACACTGTTTGATATCCTGGTGTATGTTCTCCTCTTGCTTGTTGTGTGTTTTTTCTTTCAGTGAAGTGTACTTTGTGTCACTGCTGCATGGATTGTGTGTGTAGGATCCATCAGTGCTGCTACATACTACAAAAAAACCCCTCTCTGGTCAACTAGTAGGATCTGGTGTTTGTTTCTCTGGCTCCGTGCTAAGGATTTGTCGACTATTGTGCTTTGAAATTGTGGAGGCTTTTAGAAAGGCAGAGGGCATATACATTGTAAGATTGGCATTATATACATGTAATTGGAAAGACAATCGTTGCATCTCTTAAATCAAATAAACTTCATGAGAGCCCAACTGATACATTGGTTGATATCCAAAAGGTGTGTGCCAATAAGGAAAGTGTTTTTACAGAACATTTAATGCAAAAAAAACAATGATTGGGCTGTTTTAGACATTATCTCATTAAACTTGTTGGATTTGGATGCAGAGCTCTTATTACTCTATAGACTGATTACACAGTCTACAATCCTTTCCCAAAGTTGCAGAGCGTAACAGAAGATCGGTGGTTCACACAAGGATGATTGAGAATGTAGAGTAATGTTAACTATCCCTTGTGAAAAGTAAATTGTTTAAGAATCCTCCCAAAAAAATATGTACCATGTATGTCTAAAACAGGGCAATATTACTCAACATTTCTCAAACAGCAAATGATGTATTTAGTGATATCTTTTCTTCGTTTCCGTTAGCCATTAGTCTCAATTTATTTATTTCATGCTTCCAAATAAGTTTAAATTCTCGCTGAAATGATCTCGTCCATCCAAGTGAACAGCAAGTCTACATTGTTCTCTATCAGTTACATTTGATTTCATCCAGTCAATCTTTAGTCATTTTTTTAAAACTGTCACTGTCTGCAAGTAGATGTTTTCTAAAACTTGCAGCAAAGAATTAAAAACTAGTATGTCAACATACCAAAACACATTAAAGGATTTAAACAGACTTTCTCTCTATCCACTGATGATTGTTTGCAGTCCGACTGAAACTTGGAACGTACAAAAGAGCTTTATAAACAAGATTGTTAAAATAAATCCTGAAAGACACTGGAGGCAGAGCAGGTAAGCTAAAACTATGCTTACAATCAATCGCAGCTATGTTAGCCTTGGTAGCTGCGATGTAGCTGTGAGGTGGACAAACTATGGAGGCCCGGTTGGACCTGCATGTTGTGTGTCTCTCATTAGTTTTTGGTAGCATACGGCACGTCCTCACTCAATGGTTGAGTGTAAGGTGATAGATGCTCATTCTGTGTGTCTTTCCTCTCCTGTCTGTGATCCATTGCTGTTTAACCCAAGTGTGTTTCCCTGTTGTGCTTTGTCTGTTTGTTTTCTCCAGATCTCTCACCTGTTTGCCCTAACATGTTGATGTGGTGTCACAGTTCATCGTCCAATCTTTGTCTCCTTCACTTATCTGATGTTCCATATTCACCTTGACCCTGTTGGTTTTGACTTTAATAACCAGAAGTGCTTTTTTGTTTCCCGTATGCTGTGCTGCCACCTGGGGCGCTAGAAAGACTGCCATCAAACATTTTGGAAAGTTAGAAATATTAGAAAGAAAGAATCTATTTTTTCTAGAGCTGACTGACATAACTGCTAGGTTTTTACAAAATCATTTTCACATGAGTCTAACCTTCACTTTTGTTATTTTTCACGTGTGTTGTGGGACAGTCCTCCCAGTGCCCCATCCTTTTTTTTTTCCTCTTCTGTGTGAAAGCAGCTATTGTTTTTCTAGGCAATGTTTGCGTAAATGATTGTGTTGTGTGTGTGTGTTGATTGAGTTTTCATGCAACTTGGTGATCTTTTGTTGTTGAACATTTGCAATTTATTTTTGTTCTAGCTGAAGGTTCATCCTTTTAAAGTTCACATTTGGGTGATGTAACAAGGAGGCAGCATTGTTAATTGTCTGTGTAAATAAAAGTAGTTTTTACTTTTCGCCTCAAAACCACGAGAACACCATGCAGTTCTGCTCTTTTTTTGTGTGGAGGAATAAGACACAAAGACTTTTGTCACTATATATTTAGGATGCACGTTTTTTTTTTATAACTGCACTGAAATTCTTGGCAAAAATGTCATCAAGTTTGTGTAAGTTAAAAATGATGAATAAACTGGTGCCAAATGTTTTGCAGAATCAGTATTTTCCGCTCTGATTGTACTAACTTCACTGTTTAGAGATGATGGATAGTTATTGTATTGATAGAGAGAGTTCTTAAAATACATTAACTTTACATTAGTAACAATTACTGGAAATGAACACATGTCAACATGATATCACGTACTGTAGCATTAAATGGGACAACGTCAGTCACTCTTCAGTGGCAAAGTGAAAAAGAAGTTTCATTATGTGCACAGAAATCAAATCAGTCGACCGATCACATTTGGTCTATTAGGGATTTCACACTCCTGATATTTCCCAGGGGGGCTGTATAGGTGAACACAAACGGTCCAATTTGTTGCTCGGACTTCACCCGGAGTTTCTCCAGCCAGACCATTTGTATATTTTCCGCAGCAAGTCCAAGTGAGCTGATGTGAGAACGACCCAGATATTGTCCGGAGAATTCACCTTGAGGAGGGGGAGTGGTGTTTGTATCCTGTTACTGCTGCACGGAGTGTCTGCACGTGACCACTACGATCTCCGTGCTCTAATTAAACGTCTGCATTCTGTTTTCTGTTGGTCAGTATGTTGTTCTCCTCTCTTTTGTGGATGTTGTCATTCCATTGGATTACACATAGCATTGATATGAAGACAAATATTCTCATTATAACGTCGTGTAGCGGACTCGAACGAAACTGTCGCTGTGAATGAACATATATATACAATGTTAGAATTTACTGAGCAGAATATACATATATTATTTAATTTAAATGATCATATACACACATTTTTTAATGTAAGTACTGTAAAACTACTTCATGTTTACTTCAGCGTCTTTGCACTACTCACCACTGCACCATTATCTTATATTATCTTATTTAGCCTTGTACATATTAGTCTTTGCTTATTTTTTTTAAAATTTTGTGTTTATTGTTGATATTTAATATTATACCTTTGTACAAAGAGCACAGTTTACCAAAGTTAAATTCCTTGTGTGTTTAAGCATACCTGTCCAATAAAGCTGATTCGGATTCTAAATTTCAGAAGTTTGGGTCTACTAAAAGTGTTGATTAAAAAAAAAAAAAACGGTGAGTAGACCTACTAATATCAAAGCTGCATTATATGTGCAATGCATACTTTTTTTCTCTAGATGTTTGAGGTTTTCCATGTGTTCATGAGTTTGGAAAAACAGCTATCGTTTTAATACAAATTAAACTTCAGAATACTGAACAAAACGATTTCAATTGCTATATAAATTCAATTAAATGTAGGCTATTTAAATAATCAGTAATAAATACATTTAAATGCAATAAAAACAGTTGTATTGATATTTAAAAAGAAACGTTAAGTCGGTCATAAAACAACTGATAATTCATAGGTGAAACGTCTAAAATGTTTTTGACCTATTCGTTATTGACCTATTTGGAGCGGCGCTCAATTGACTCCGCCCCGAATTGACTTCACTAGGAGTTTTGTTAATGACTTTTTATCTGACTCACCCTAATAGATTTGCTCCAGGGTAGCTCTGCTTCAGTATTTGACATGGAACAACTCTTGTCTCGGTCTGAGTAGGCTAATTAGGGCAGAAAGTTTGGTCCATTGCTGTAAAGGAATGGTGGGGGGGGGGGGGGGGGGAAGTAGGCTAAAGTTAATTAAATAGCCTACAGTTGGGTTTTTTTCCCATTATTGGAAAATAATTATATATGTTAGTCTAGCAGCATCAATTTTAGGGTTAAAAACTAAATAGGGGGAAGTAAATGGGGTTTTAATAATTGGTGAGCCCTGGTTGGTTGAATTCCTTTACTAATGGTAAACCCCGCCCCTTCTTTCACATGGTGCCATAAACTTAGATTAAAAGTGCATAGTGAAATCTAATATTTAATCCAATCAGGCTATAGAAGCCCATTTCCGCCAGTTAAAAATATTAAAATTTAAACGTTGTTTTATTGCCCATATTAAGTCGAAATGATGAGATAAAAAGTCTGAATTATGAGATGAAAAGTTAATGCGAGTTGAGCCAGTTAAGGATCAGACCGGCCTGAGGATCAGACCGGTCTGATCCTCAGGCCGGTCTGAGGATCATCCTGCAGAGGGTCCCTGCAGCAGCCAGCTCTCCAGAACCGTCTCCACCCAGGTCCCCTTCTGTGTCTCCTCCTGCCTGTCCCTCTAACTGCTTGATCCTTGACCTTCAAGTGAGCTCCTCCTCTTCTTCCTCATCTTCCTCCTCCTCCCCTCCTCCTCTCCTCCCTCCTCTTTCTCCTTCTCTCCCTCCTCTACCTCCTCCACTCCCTCCTTCTCTCCCTCCTCCTCTCCCTTCTCTCCCTCCTCTCCCTCCTTCTCTCCATCATCTTCCTCCTCTCCCTCCTCTACCTCCTCCTCTTCCTCCTCTCCCTCCTCTTCTTCCTCCTCCTCTTCCTCCTCTCCCTCCTTCTCTCCCTCCTCTACCTCCTTCTCTCCTCCTTCTCTCCCTCCTCTTCTTGCTCCTCCTCTTCCTCCTCTCCCTCCTTCTCTCCCTCCTCTACCTCCTTGTCTCCCTCCTCTCCCTCCTCTTCCTCCTCTACCTCCTTCTCTCCCTCCTCTTCTCGCTCCTCTTCTCCCTCCTCTTGCTCCTCCTCTGTTAGGCATCATCAGAAGAGACCGGCTGCACGAGCAGAAGGAGAGCCTCCACGGAAGCGTCATCTTCCTCCTCTCACTCCTCTACCTCCTCTCCCTCCTTTTCTCCCTCCTCTACCTCCTCCTCTCCTTCCTTCCCTCCCTCCTTCTCTCCCTTCTCTCCCTCCTCTCCCTCCTCTCTCTCCTTCTCTACCTCCTCCTCTCCTTCCTTCTCTCCCTCCTCCTCTCCCTTCTCCCCTCCTCCCCCTCTTCTCCCTCCTCCTCTGTTAGGCATCATCAGAAGAGACCGGCTTACATTGTTTGGTCGTGTAACTTGGCTTTTGCCAGCGCTTCGCTCCTCTTCAGCTCCACCGTCATATTCAAACATGGTCACCTCCGTCTCCAGGTAACAAAAGGCTTTGACATGGCAACAAAAGAATGAGTTCTATTACAGTGGGATCATTTATTCATTTAACAAATCTATGGTTGTGATGTAATGTTTTGTTATCTCTATCTTTAGGCAGCTAATGAGTTAGCCACATGCTAAATAAGCATTTGCTAACCTCTGCTCCTCTCCAGCTCCTCCTCCAGCATTATACTGAACATCTCCTGCACAGTTGTTCTCATGTAGCGCTCCTCCTCAGCTCCACCCTCTCCTCAAGTCACCTGTGTCTCCAGGTAACAACAGGCTTTAAAAAGGCAACAAACCAATGAGTTATATCACAGTGACAGCATCTCTTCATGTTATTATGAACTTCTGGTTGCTCTCGCTGTAGCCACATATCAGTGTGTTTACTCACTGAACATCAGTCTTGTTTAGTGTTTGTCATTTATTGTTGCAGCTCTTGTTTGAGATTATCAACTAACAACGGGCTCAGACTGTCTGCTAACTTTTTGATATGTTTCTGTTGGTAACCTCTGCTCCTCTTTGACTCCTCCTCTCATCCAAATACAGTAAACTCTGGCTCTTAAGACCTTAACAATAGAAAACTGGAAACTTGAAAACATAGTCAGGGGATATTAATGTGATGTTGGGATTTTTTCAGATTTGATGTTTTTTCACATGATGTTGTGTTATTGTGTAAATATGTAATGTTGTGTTATATTACGTCATGTGTTGTCTTGTGTTTTGTTGTGTTGTTGTTTGATTCTTGTCAGATATTATGTTTCTATATTATATTGTGTTTGTGTTATGTGGTGTTATTCATGTCATGTGTTGTCTTGTTTGTGTTTTGTTTTGTTGTCTTGTTGTGTCTTGTTGTGTCTTTGTGTGTTACGTTGTGTTGTCATGTGTTGTCTTGTTTGTGTTTTGTTTTGTTGTCTTGTTGTGTCTTGTTGTGTCTTTGTGTGTTACGTTGTGTTGTGATGTGTTGTCTTGTTTGTGTTTTGTTGTGTCTTGTTGTGTCTTGTTGTGTCTTTGTGTGTTACTTTGTGTTGTCATGTGTTGTCTCGTCATGTGATCTGATGTGATGTGATGATTAATGATGTCACATAATATCAGGTCATGTGATGTGAGCTACATTTTGTTTCATCAAAATGAACTTTTTGGTTCATTGAATGTCCCAGCGTCTCTTTGATTCATTCCCTCAGCAGACAGGTGGGATCTAAAAAAGGTGAGTTTGATTCCTACACAATGTTTGTTTTCAGCATGGAATCCTTTTTGATTCTTTTTTTTGTTTTTTTTCTTCAGGAACAGGAGGTGAAATCTAAAGAAGAGCCGTGAACAACAGAACAGAGGAGACAGGAAGCAGCACAGAGGACACAGACAGGATGAGGCTGAATGAACAGACCGACAACGAGAGAGAAGAAAAGATGAGAGACAAGTGTCAATGGTAACTTCATGAAAACAGCTCTGAAGATATTCATAAGAAAACATGGCTCACTTTGAGGAACATTTCTCTGACATTAGATGAACTTCATTTGATTTGTGATGTATGTTCACTAAACCATTGTTTGTTTGTTTCAGCTGAGACCTCAAAGCAAACAGAGGAGTCCATTTACAGAGGAGATGGACGAGTTTGGAGACAACAAGAGGTCGGCACCACATTTAGAATCAGCTGCAAAAACAGAGTTTGCAAATCAAATCTGAATAAATATAGATCCATGAATAATCTCAACTGTTGGTATTTTCTCTTTATTTTGATGTAGGGGTCATTTATATATCCTTAATAATATCACCTTATTAAGGAAAAACAGGTTTTCTGAAAAATGTTTAATATCCTGACTCTGAATTATTTAATTTTAAGTTCATGTTTTGCTGCTGTTATCATACCCAATATGATGCAATCGTGAAATCCAACAGAGGAGTTGATCAAATTTCCAATTTCAAGTACATATTTGAGATTGTGAGAACACAAACATTGTGAGAACAAGGTGAGAGAGAGCGTCTGTCCTGAGAAGAGGATTATATGGATGAGGACTACACCGGGCCAAGGTGCAGCTCATCCCCTGATTACGACCCCGCCTTGACCTGAACCTGTAACAGAACAAACAAGCAGCACGGTGTGGAGGGCTCAAAACAAACAAAGAAACAAAGTGTTTTTAACGACACGTTGACAATATTTGCTGTAAAAAAAGAAAAAGGTCTATTCAATCTTCAGGAACTCTTTTTAACAACAAAGTCAAAGAAATGATTACTCGTGTATTAATCCTTGTTTCTTTCCAACACACACAAAGATGTTCTTTGTGTTCAAAACAAATAAACTTCTGTAACAAATATCCCCTTTCATAGCTCTGATTTCCAGGAAAATGATTGTGCAAGTCCAGGACATTACAGACCAACTGCATTAAAATGTGCACAATAATGGAGAAGATGATCAATTACATGTTTACATGGTAAATAAAGGATACATGTGTAAATGTGGTTTAAGGAGAGGATCCAGCTTAATGTTTGGAACATGATATTAGGAAAGTACATGTAAGCAGTAGATTGAAACTAAGACACAATAGGAAATAGACAATGGGAAAACATAAGATAAAGAAAGTTCAAATTACGAGGTAAAAAGTCATGTTGGCCAAATGAGAAAAGCCAAAGTCAAAACAGTGTGATAAAAGTCATAATGTAAGACAACAACCATCATTCTGAAATGTAAAAAAAGTCTGTGTCACAATATTAACTCACTACGGGGAAACATTTTCATCTTAAACAGGGTCCTGTGTTTTGTGGATATATGCTGAATTTTCAAAAATATTTACCCTTTATAGATGATGGTTATTATAAAGTGTTACCAATGTTTTAAGATGATGATGAAAATTATATTGGTTTTGAGGTTAATGCTTTTTTTGAAGGTAAGAGTATCTTTCTGTAAATGTTGTTAATCTGCGGTGAAGGCCTACCTGCGTCTTCAGTGAGAATAAGATTTAGTTTGATTAGTCATGCCAGTCCTGACCGGCAGGGGGAGCTCTCGGATTTAGACCGATTGAAACCCGTTTCAGGCCCTATATGATTCAGACGAAGAAGAGGAAGAAGGAAACACTTCCTGGTCGACGGTAATCCAAGCAGAGGCTCTCAGGGCTACTCGATTTTTTCTAGAAACATCTGTAACTCGAGAGGACTTGCAAGAATTTAATCCAACACAAATTGACGAGACAAGATGACGACCACCATCAGCACTCAGCGGGGACAGGTACACTACGGGTTGAACTCACTGTTGTCATGACGATCACAGGGAGACAGCACTGCGGAACTAGCTCAACTTTATCAACATCACTGACAGTTCACACACTCTGTGCTTTAAACATCAATATATAACAGTCACAGGGACACCGACATTACCATAGAGAGATTTAAATTGTGTTAACGTTATATAAGGAGGAAACCTCCGGGATTAATGACCCGCTGCAGCAGTTCATGTCTTAAACTGACATGTAAACAATTATCTTAGAATTAACTATACTAAAGATAACACTTGGGTGTGTAGGATGATTCAAATACTGCCACTTTAAACACCTTTTACATTTGTATTTTGGGCATTTGTCGTTTTCTTTCGATGGGAGGTTTCAGAAGACAGGAAATGGGAAAAGAGTGACCTGCACCAAGTGGATATTTAACGATGTTACTGTTCAAAGTATGTTTCAGTCGTATGAGGAAGTGGGTTTCTTAACCAAGGCTCTTTTGTGTATTTTCTCATTACAGACATATCTGGTGAGAATATTTGACATTTTAATAAGAGATAAACAAAGGGCTCATTCGTTAGGACCACTTTCAACATTTTTTTTAAACAGCAACAATTGACGCTTTCCGGCTGAAAGACACCAGTTAATCTGGTCACTCTTTAACCCGTAACACCGGTGTTGTATGTTGTCTGGTTTTCAGTTTAACTGGTTACCTTTGTTTACAAACGTCAAAGGTTTGTCATGGCGACAGCAGATGTTACAATCACCGAGAGGAAACGTAGCAGACCTGGCGAATGCCTGAATGATTAAGGTTATAATTTAACTGATTTCAAGTCGCGTTTTAAATCTACTGCGGAAAATATGATTGTATGAGTGAGCACTACATCCCAGCCACCTAATAAAAATGCAAAATAAAGAAAATATAATACATGTTCATGATCGCGCCGAGCTGGATTCGATCTCACTAAAACAAAATTAACACCTAATCACCTGCGTCCTGCCTTACAGCGTGCACCACCTGAACAGTGACACTTCATCAATTCCATTACGTATTCGTTTATGATGTCCGCCTCCTGGTCACATTTTAGTTTGGCTGCTCCTACAACAACTGGTTACCTCGGTTTATCTTCAAATACCAGCACATATAAAGGTTTTTACCCGAGGCTACAGCCTTACAGACCACAACATAACAGACCTCTACACCACTACCCATTTTGACAAAGAAATACTTTGAAACAGTGACGATGTATTTCAAAATAACTGCTAACACTGAGCCACTGTTTGATTCACATGACAGGAGACTGCTGGGTTGATCGTAGAAAAGCTACCTGAACATTTCCATTGCCATGCTTTTCAAATGTAAATGTCCACGGCCACCTCTGATTGTATAAGTGGGCACTATACACGACACTTGCGAAAAAATAAAATAAAATGTATGCATGATCGTGTCGAGCTGGAGTCGATCTCACCAGAGAAAAAATGCGTGTAAATAAATGCAAGCGATGTGATGTAGCTCACTTTCATTTTGTGAAAGTAGCTCTCAGATGAAGAAAGGTTGGAGACCCCTGGTATAACGAGTCAGATCGTTCTGGTTTCAAAGTGACTTTATTTGTGACTTTATGTGTACGGGTAGGAGAAGATAAACCCGAACCCGAGGTAACCAGTTGTTGTTGTTGTAGAAGCAGCCAAACTAAAATATGACCAGGAGGCGGACATCATAAACAAATACGTAATGGATTTGATAACTGTATACTGTTCAGGTGGTGCACGCTGTAAGGCAGGACACAGGTGATTGTTTAACTTTATTTTAGTGAGATCGAATCCAGCTCGGCGCGATCATGAACATGTATTATATTTTCTTTATTTTGTATTTTTCTTAGGTGGCTGGGATGTAGTGCTCACTCATACAATCATATTTACCGCAGTAGATTTAAAACGCGACTTGAAATCAGTGCAAATATGATCAGACAGGCATTCTCCAGGTCTGCTACGTTTCCTCTCCAAAGTCGGAAACATCAGCTGTCGGGTCCGTTCGGTAACCAGACAATGTGGGAACCAGACAACATACAACACCGGGAGTCGAACCCGGTGTTGAAGTCACCTGTGATTCTCTAGCTGGCAGATAATAACAATAATAATAATAATACTTTTTTTTATAGCGCTTTTCTAAGAACTCAAAGACGCTTTGACAAAATCTAAAACCATAAAACAAAACAAAAAACAACGAGGACAGTACAACGAAGAAGTAATGTAGGGGGGCATCAGCAGACCTAAGAGTGTGGGTGGGAGTGTGCTGGTGGAGGAGCTCAGACAGGTAGAGGGGAGCCAGGTTGTGGAGGGCTTTGTAGGTGAGGATGAGGAGTTTGAAGTGGATATGCTGGGGGATGGGGAGCCAGTGGAGGTCATGAAGAATGGGGGTGATGTGGTCTCTGGTGCAGGAGTGTGTGAGGAGACGGGCTGCAGAGTTCTGAGTGTATTGGAGTTTCTTGAGTGAGTGTGATATTTGGCAGATGTTTGGCAGGCTCGGCTTTTGAGTTCTGCATGTGTCATCAAAATGTCTTTACATTTCCTACTTCACCGCTCGCTTCAGAGTTAATCAGTGCCCTCAGAGACATTATTGTTACCGTCTACTGAGTCACCAAGCTCACTGTAAAGAGATGAATTTTAGTAAAGAAGGAATAGGTGACTTTGCTGATGCCTGTTTAAAACGTTGCCAATGGTGGTGACTTGTTAACAAACATATATTTCTACACTATTGATCTCCAAGATCATGAAAACTTTAACAACACATAGACCAAACGTACAGTACACTGATGAATTTAATCAAACATGAGCAGGTACCAATTGTGTCACTAGTTAACACAGCTGTATTTTCAAGCTGTGTATTTTAGGCCATAGACAGTAAATATTAATATTAAGCACATGCCTCAGACTGAATGCGTCTGTTTTACACTGTGTGTAGGAACCATAGACTGTAGGAACAAGCATACAAAATCCTCAAAGTCTGTGAGCATTAGCCTGTGCACTATCTGTTCTTGTTTACTAAACATCCAATATTCAAGAGTTTTTATTGAAAAGCGGTTAGTCTGAGAGCAGGTGTGGATAAGATCATTCAGAGCATCTATGGCCTTGATGCTGTTGATCACCTGTACATTAGATGCAACAGAAGGAAGCTGTTGGCAATATCATCACTTTGCCTGTTGAGTAGATTTCTCTAAAAGCACTTTCAATTTACATGAAGGATTTTCAAAAATCTTCCTCACTTTCATGATGGTCTCAAAGTATTTCACTCAAATGGCTCAGTTGGTAGAGTCGTCGTCTCTCTGGAAGGTCGAGGGTTTGATCCCCAGCTCCTGCAGCAACATGTCCAATGTGTCCGTGGGCAAGAGACTTAATCCTGAATTGCTCCCACTGCTTCGTCGTTGGTATGAATGCGTGTCAATGGGATTAGTTACTTTTGATGGTCTCACTACATGTGTGTGAGTGTGTGTGTGACATGCAGTGTAAAAGCTTTGAGTAGTCTGTAGACTAGAAAAGTGCTATATCCTCAAGTCCATTTACCATCTGTTTATTATCTTATCAGGCTACATTAATCCCTTATTTATATACCAATAATAAATCATTTACAAAATGTATGAACTGAGCACATGCAGACAAAAGCAAAATGATGTTATCCATTGGTATGTGAAAACATGTTAAAAAGAGTACTTTTAGTCGTGGATTGTTATTTTTCTTTGAATTACGCACTGAGCTGTATTATTTTTGATTACATGAAAAATATGTGTATCCATCAATGTATGTCAATGAGTTTTCTAATGTCTCATTTGTCTGCTCCATCCTTAAATTGTCAGTCTTTATCTTTGAATGTATGTTTGTGTCTTCAGGTGTATATTGGTGAGCTTCCCCAGGACTTCCTGCGGATCACTCCAACCCAGCAGCAGCAGCAGGTCCAGATGGACGCTCAGGCAGCCCGGCAGCTGCAGTATGGAGGTTCTATGGGCACGGTGGGGCGACTCAGCATCACTGTGGTCCAGGTAAACACATATTTGCTTAGCTGTAAAGTTTCATTTAATGACATCTACTATAGGCGGGGCCTATGTTATGAGCACAGGAAGAACCCTATTGGATCTTCCAGACCGCAGTAATTTGAATTTTATAGGGAGCATCATTAATGAAAACTTCCAGGTCAGCATGTATAAAAGAATTTTACACATGCTGACTTATTACGAGCTGCAGCCTTTTGGATACTTACATTTTTTCAAATTGCATGTATTTGTTTGCTTTAGCCAGTCTACCTTGAACTGTTTGTTTTTAGAAAAGAATGTCACAAGGGAAAGTTGTTCAAATGGAGAGGTTTTCTTTGACTGGGCAGTGTGCTAAAATCAGGCTTAGAAGTGTTTTGAAACCTGGTGTTACTTCAGAAACAAGAAGGTGTTGTAACTCAGTCTCCAGTCTGCTTGTGTGTTTGCTAAGAGTCTGGACCTTAACACATCTACATTCAAATAATCAGTTATGATCACAGAATGACCTAGTGGTAACATTCAGATTAACGCTGTGTGCACCCGAGCAGAGCTGTTCTAAGGGTCAAATTATAGACTACCACTCTATTGTAAGAATAGAAAAAGTGAATCACTTTAAAATAATCACAACAAACTTTAAAGAAAAGAAGAATAAAAGAATAAGTTAAACTTTGCTGTTGCGGCTCCAAAATTATGGAACGATCTGCCTCAGCACGTTAAACAGGCCTCTTCTTTGCCTGTTGACCCATCTCTTTTCCCTAACCTTTGACACACACTAAGACATCGACTTATTTATTTATTTGTTTTCCCTTTTTGCGTGCCTATTCATTTGACTTATGTTTTATGTCTTTTAACTTGATTCTGTATTTCACATGTAGTTTACTTTTATCTCATGTGAGCTGGTATGTATTTTATTTATTCTTCTGTACAGCACTTTGGTCAACTGTGGTTGTTTTAAAGTGTTTAACATATAAAGTATCTAGCTATCTAAACTAAATCTACTGAAATGAACTTCAAAAAGCAGATCTGTATTGCCTAACATAAGTTTTTCTAAACAGGCCAAGCTGGCTAAAAACTACGGTATGACCCGGATGGACCCGTACTGTAGAGTCCGACTCGGCTATGCAGTCTACGAGACACCGACTGCTCACAATGGTGCCAAGAACCCGCGATGGAACAAGGTGATCCAGTGCACTGTGCCTCCAGGGGTGGACTCCTTCTACCTGGAGATCTTTGATGAGGTGAGGAGGAGTGAATTTGACTGCTGCAACTCCTTCTGGGATATGCAGTTCAAGCTTTAATCTGCAGTCTGTTTGTGTTTCCAGAGAGCGTTCTCCATGGACGATAGGATAGCATGGACTCATGTCACCATCCCAGAGGGCCTGAGAGATGGAAGCGTCGTGGATGAGTGGTTCAGCCTCAGCGGCCGGCAGGGGGACGACAAGGAGGGCATGATCAACCTGGTCATGTCTTTTGCTGTGAGTAAACTGCAGACACCTCCAAAAGCAGCGTTTACTGTTTGAAGACTATTGAAGAGATGCTCCACACATGATATTTTTGGGGGAAGAAGGAAAAGAAAAAATCTGTTCAACAGCAGACACCTCAGCTGGATGTGGAGATGTTGAGTGGAAGTCAAGTGACATTTATTATTACAACATGAAAGTCTTAATACCTCATCTGCTCTTCCTGTTTTTGTTACAAGTTCTGTTTTTTGTTTATTATTGAAAGTCCAATCACATTTACTGACTAATGTGAACACATACTAAAGTTCTTTTTTGAAATATTCAATTCAATTTATTTTGTATAGCGTCAACTCATAACAAGTGTTATCTCGAGACACTTTACAAAAAGCAGGTAAAATACCTTACTCATTGTCTGTTAACATTACAAAAGAGCAGGTAAAAGACCTTACTTATTGCTATATTACAAAGATCCGGCCTATCCATCATGAGCACTTTAGAAAAGCAGCAAAAGTTTCTATTCTAGACTGTATAGGGAGCCAGTGCAGAGAAGCCAGGACAGGAGTAATGTGGTCCCTTTTCCTGGTTCTGGTCAGTACACGAGCTGCAGCGTTCTGGACCAGTTGAAGAGTCTTTGGAGACTTGCCAGAGCACCCTGACAAAAGAGAGTTACAATAATCTTGATAATCCTGATCTTGGATATATTACGAAGGTGAAAATAGGCTGTTCTTGAAACTTGCCTGATGTGAGAGCTAAAAGACATATCTTGATCAAAAAGAACTCCTAGATTCCTAACAGTGGTGCTAGATGCCAGGCTGATGTCACTAAGGACAGTCAAATCACTAGAAAAAGTTTCTGAGGTTCTTAGGGCCTAGCACAATAACTTCAGTCTTGTCTGAGTTAAGTAGCAAAACATTTCTGGTCATCCAGGTCCTAACGTCCTTAAGGCACGTTTCTAGCTGACATAACTGACTGGTGCCATCGGGCTTCATTGATACATAAAGCTGAGTATCATCTGCATAACAATGAAACTGTATGGAGTGTTACCTCATAATATTTCCCAAAGGAAGCATATATAATGTGTACATATATGTGTGCATATATAATAATAGATATGAGATATCATGAGATATGAGAGGACAGAAGAACATTCTTTCTTATTAGAATGATGCTGTTCAGTGAGTTGGGATGAGGGGTGTCTTCACTGGGCAAAAGTACCTGTAGTATCACATGAGTCAATGGCTGTTTCTGATGACAAGCTTTGGGAATTTCTGGATGGTGGACCGGGCTGACCGCTGGTTCAAACGAGGAGCAAGGAATCATTGACTAAGTAGACTAAGAGTTAAGCTCTTAATCTTGAATCTGTGTCTTTGTCAGTCCTTACCAGCAGGAATGATGACTCAGCCTGTTGTTCTGATGCCCTCTGTGTACCAGCAAGGAGTAGGATATGTGCCCATTGCAGGTGAGACACTCACTCACTCACTCACTCACTCACTCACTCACTCACTCACTCACTCACACACACTGAGAGGGCACAACCTTCTATTAGAAGAAATAATGAACCATATCAAAATATCAGTGTGATAATGCAGATTGCAAGTTGAATACTTTGAGCCTCGTTCACCAAGAGGAAGAAATCTTTATTTTCTTTAAAAAAGCCACTTGTGCTGTTTACATGAAGATTCTGACATTCTCAGTCTCCCCTGTGCCTTCTGATTATGGTTGAGATGCTGAAGCAGGAAAGTTCAACAATTTTATTTGAAATGTGTGGAGGAAGTGCTCCTTATTTTTATTTTTTTCAACTTATGTTTGTATTTCAATTTTTGGCACAGTACAGAAGAAAGAAATAGCATAAAACCCCCCCAAAAAAACGACAACAACAAAGAAAAAAAAATAATACATAATACATTTGTTTTCTGAATTTTTCTCAGCTCCATAAAAGACATTGAGATTCCTTAATCAGTTTGCATCCGATCTGATCAGACCGTCCTGAATGGAATTTAATCGTACCTAATCTTTGTACCAAAAGGGAAAGGAAAGATTCACACCCCTAACTCCCAGTGTTTTTTTTTTATTATTATTATTTTTTATATAGGAAAAGCATTCTTCACACATTAGTAATTACACATAATAGCAAAAATAATTGCAATACTCCGCCCTCAAACTTTCAAACATTGGAGCACTTTCTTTGCAGAAAGAGGGGGGGTACGATGCTCGCAGTAAATTTAACAATTTAGCTCTTCCAAAGATTTTTTCATCTTCAAGTAGCATGGCATTAATTAAATTGAAATTATTTACAAAATAACACAGGAAGCTTTCACCTTGGAGGGGTAGAGAAAGAAAAATAAGAAAATGAAATACAGAGCAGGTTAATGGATGAAAGAAAATGACAAAAATGAGGAAATAACACCCATGTACTCTGATAATCCCAGTGGTTTTTAAGATTCATTCAGTGGTAAGAGACTGACACTGGTGCTGAAGGGTTTATTAAAGGTAGAAGCATCTTTTTACCCTGTCCTCTCTACACGTTTGCAGTGAAAACAGGCTGCCACATGTATAAAACATATATAAGAATACTATCACAGTGATGTGTTTTTCATGTTTATTTATAAATCTTTTATCCGCTACAATAAAAGCTGAACTTATGTGTCGCTAGGAGTGCCTGCAGTCTACAACCAGGGTATGGTACCCATGGGAATGCCAGCAGCCATGCCAGCTGTTGGAGTCCAGGGACCAGTGTGCAGCGAGGAGGACCTGAAGGCCCTTCAGGACATGTTCCCAAACCTCGATAAGGAGGTGGTTCGCACTGTGCTGGACGCACAGCAGGGCAACAAGGACGCTGCCATCAACTCTCTGCTGCAGATGGCTGAGGAGCTCTAAACGCACAACACAAGCTCGTAGCAGACACACTTAGTGACTCATGCACATGCGCGCACACACACACACACACACACACACACACACACACACACACACACACACACACACACACAAATGCACGTATGGAGCTTGGTTGTCTCAGATGACACACAGCTGTTTGTCAGACTGACACTGGACCCTGAAAGCAACAAATGTGTTCACTCTTGGTGTTTAGAGGCTGTTATCCAAGGCCCTGTTTCCACCTGGCAGTAACATGCTGGCCTTATTAGTACAGAGGTCCAAATGTGTTAGAATCATTCTCCACCTTCCCCACACGTACCACATGTCATTTTCATGATATATACAATTTAAAATGACATCAATTCATTGGAGAATATATGATGCACAGTCACAGCAGACATTGAATATGGATACAAAAATCAGTTTGTTCATGGTGTCTAATGTTTCTTTATAGTTGAGCGGGTTATAAGTGAAGTGTACAGATGACACTGCAGCCTCTGTTGGCTGAGAGGTTGATAGATCTGCATTTAAACCATGAAACAACTGTATCCTCACTGGTCATGCTTAATATGGTTTCATTGAGCAGATAATATATTATTTAAAAGAAACGACCACATGCCAAGAGTAACATAAGGAATAATTCAACGTTAAAGGTGTGTTCAGACCAAAAGTGAATTCATTCTATGTATTATGCAGATTTGCATAGTTCCTGTCGTTCATGTACACTTAACACTTTGTTTTTTTTAAAACTCAATCTTGAAATTAGTGTTAGCTAAGCTGTATCTTTAAAGACTATAAGCTCAGCTGTTTTCCCTGACATCCTACAAGATGGCTTTAGAAATTGTCAATCAAAACTCCAATCAAAAACAGAAAAACATAATTGCAGACAGAACTAAAAAGCTGGAATTTCTTTCTTTAGAAATCTGTGTCATGATGTAGTTATGTCGGCATTCTTTTAACCTGTTAATTGTAATGAAATCACATTATTTTGGGTTCATTTCAGCCGACCTGAGACTTGTTGATACATTGAAACTGTCACTCAGTGGAAACAAATAGACGGGCCGTCTACAGGAAAAACAGAACGCCGGTAGTTGGTGTCTCTCAGAGAAATCTTGGTACTGATCCTGACTAACAGGAAACTGGAAACTGGTCGGCCCCAAGTAGCTGGAAGCAGCAGGAAAGTGCATCCAGACACAGGAGGAGGGAAACTCTAGGGCAGAACACACATTGTTTGGTTAAATATATAGAGTGGGGTTGTGTTGAAACAATCAAATATTCACAAATGATTCCAAATTTGCTTCCCTTTGGTCTGAACCAGCCAGAAATAGAAGAAAGGTCCAATAGAATAATCAGCAAAAATGACAAGGACAGTTAATCTGTCATTCACTGACAATGGTTGTCATGGTTACGGGGACTAAGCAATCTTATAATGCGGCTCTGGACAAAATGTATGTAACATGTTGCATTCTTTCAATGTGCCCTTAATGTGTCTCGGGTGTGTTTAAACTCCTCCTTAAATCTGTCTTATGATGAACAGGTGTAAACAGGGCCTAGGCTAAAAATATTGCAGATGTTTGTGGAAAATTCTTTTGTCTTGGCAAAATCACTAACATTGTTATCAGCAACATATTGAGTTTGCAAGAGTGTTACTTGATGGGTTCTGTAAATGTTACCTGACCAAATCATATAGGATTCCACATGATCCTTCACTGTTTCCATAGCAAACTTACCTAAAGTCAGGATTTGATTGTCACTGGATGAGTCATGTTCATTCCATGTTCTTTTCACCTGGATGTTGTTTTTAATAATATGTGGAGATCCTGCAGTGAGCTGCTCACCAGCTGCACAATGTTTTGTGATCTTACATCGGATCAATTTAAATGGATGCACTAAATAATTTAGAATGATTTAACTTGACAAAAAAAGACAGACAGAGCAACACTTGAGGCAATCAGGCTTGGAAGAAGTATCCCCCCCCAACAACATAAAGAGTCACTATTCAGAGATGTAAAATATCACTGTAAAAGTTTTAAGGTAAACCAGTGTTTCACTAATGAAATTGGGATGTGAAATCTGCAAACCTGAAACAGTTGGTTGAAGTTGCAAAGAATACAGCTGACACATCTGGAGTTTCTGCTCCTGCACAGATGTCTGACCTCTTCTGTGAGACGTGCTTTGGATGTTCATGGCCCCCAGAGACATGCTTTGTGAGGTTTTGATGACAGCGTTTCTCTACTCTAGCACCATCAACAGCACTGCTCAGGTGTGCAGTGTGAAGCAGGCGTGCTGATTGAAGCAGAGCTCTAACATGTTTAGCTTGAGTTTTTGTTGCGCTTAAAGTTTTCCCTTGGCGTCTGTAAATGAACAGGACGTTTTTGTTGTAAATCTGTCTGCCAAAGGTTTCATCTAAGAAGCACTGTATGTTGTGACTTAAACTTCAAAACGTACTTTGTTGAAATTATTTGATCTAAGTTATTTAAATCTTCTCTCTTGTGATTCTTTATGCCATTTTAAGAGCTGCATTTGAATAAAAGTCCAGGAGCTAAATCCACAAACATTGTGAGAAGCCTCTCTCTCTCTCTCTCTCTCTCTCTGAGAGCTAATTTAGCTTAAAAAAAACAAGGAGTCCTAGTTTAGGAGTGATTTAAGAACATTCTCAGCGACTCTGAGCAAGGAAAGGACAGAAACCCTTCTCTTATTGAGTCTCCTGTTTGCTTCATAGGTATGACATATTTTTCCAAAGCTTTGATTGGTTGATTAAAATAAAGAAATGCTCTCTCAGTGATAATGAAATCAATCGTAGAATTGTTTCAGAACTTCATTAATTTACCTTGTAATGAATAATTTTAAATGTTTGATAAAGCGTGCACACGTGTGCAGTATCCTCTTCACAGGCTGGGAGTTATTTAAATGTAATACTTAATATAATTGATATCAATATGATTGACAGTTGCAGCAGATCTAAGTCACTGATGCTGCCAAATATCTTAATGTTTTGTCTTCTTTTGCTTCATCTTCATTTATTCCGGTGATATTGTGTTGTTATGTGCATTGTCTCTAACAAGATCTACCACAAACATGATCCTTCATTATCCAATCTGTAGTGTTTAATGAACTCATTGTCATTCAGTGATTTTTTCCTCCTTGGCTTGAGAAACTCTTAAAAGTCGTCTTCACTACGCCCTACAGTTTTTCACCTTCGGACCTCTCTTAGGGGCTCAGATGATTTGTGAATAACTTTCATCTTAATCAGGATCTCTTCTAAGAAAACGTCCTGATTCTGAAAAATGTTCTCAGATTTCACAAGGAGCAACTCTCATGAATCCAGCCCAAGGCATGTAGGTCTTCAAGGTGATTCTCAGTTTTTTAACTTTTAAAGTTATTTATTGTAACTTTTAAAAAAAGATATTTCAAAGCTGGAAGCCAGAAAACAAAACAACAACAAAACAAACACACAGAAACAATACAAGACAAGGTTTTGGGTTCTTTAGTTTTTAAGATATAATGTTCATTATTTTAGGCGATCAATAAACATGTCCACACCAGTAGTTCTGCTGAAGATATCAACTTTATTTTTATTTGATTTGAAGGAAAGAAGTTTGCATTACAGTAGTGACACTTACTGTAAATAAAGAGACCATGAAATATAGAAGTATAAGAAGCTCTGACATTCTGTCTTGAATGGTGTCTGAAGGAGTTCAGACTGATCAGCGTCTCCTGCGGCACCTCGCTGGAACATTTGTTGTCCCCCCCTCACACTCTGCTCTGTTGCACAGACAGCTCTCCACTTTGGTGAAGCGATGCTGGATCGTCGTGCCATCTGCACACTCGAGTTCTGCTCGAGCCTCACTCGTCCTGGCTTCTTGGCAACACTCACACTGGCGCATCATCGCGTTATCGGCAGCAGAATACCTGCACAGACACACACACACACAACAGCTCTTAATTTTCTTCACTAATTACAACAGCTCTCCTGTCACATCCTTAATCTACTGAGAATTTTATTTGATACACAGCGGGACAATATTTCCAGTCAATTTCTGAAGTGTCTTTACAAAACACCTGGGTGAATATCACGTTAATATTAAACTATTAAGTGCAGGTATGAATAAAGACCAACATGAAGTTTGAGGGAGGGTTTGTAAATCAGTCATTGTTTTAAAGCTTTTCATCATTGTAGTGAAACGGAAACTGTTTGTGATCTACTGTAAAACCACTGATCTGAGCGGTGTAACAAGAAGCGAGATGGAAGGGTCATCCTGGTCTGTTGAGCCGAAAATTACAGTTTCAGTTTTAACCTGTGTAGATCACCATGGTAACTGACACTGAACATGACTTGGTGTGGACCAGGTTATAAAGTGTAAAGTTACAGCTTAAATCCAGCTGTAATGTGTTGTATTGGAAATGTTCTCTGCAGGCACTGTATGTCTTAACCCTTTGACTTGCATTGTAACCACGCGGTTGACCTTTTTTCCGCCGCCATATGGCTGTATTTAAAACTCTGAAAACCTATCTTTGGCTGTTTAACCTCATTCACCTCACTGAATGGTGTATGTAACCCTGATTATGTCCAATGGGTGGCGCTGCTGTACATAATTATCATTGTCTTAAAACTGTGGAAAATACCGGGAGTGACTCAGCACAGCTCCTCAGAAATCTCACAGAATAAGAGCAAATATCCGGGTAAAAAACTTTTATAGACCCTCTAACAATCATATTTTAGTTGAAGGAAATAAATTTGACAATAAAATATATATCTACGATTCCTCAGAAAACATGGCTGACTGCTCGGTTGAGTTGCCAGTCTACGCAAACGGCCTGGCTCAAGTCACTAATTTCTTATTTTGTTTACCTTTTCTAACCATTGCTACTCATTCAATTTGTTAAATAAATTATAGGTTATTTTAACAAGTTCTACTCTCTGTGATGTTTATATATGAGAACTAAACATTTTGATGCAGATATGAAAGAAATCCATTCATGCCCAAAGTAACCCTAAACATATATCTGCTTCCTGATTGGGTAATCTGAAAAATATAAAAAATGAAAATGAATTTCTTAAGCTGACTAATAAATCAAAGCTAGTTTCAAGTTGTATCGTCGATCAAATTAAATGTCATTATTTGGGAATGAATTGACTTTCATGGACATGCTTCCACAGTGTCCAGCACAGTATGTCATGTTGACCGGCCCTGGGCTCTTACAGTCCTTCACCTTGATGACTTCCTGCTTACTCAGGACTTCACAGATGCTTCTCAATGTACCTGTAAGACAAAACAACTTCCACTTCATACTAACAACAAACAACCTTGTCTACAGAGTTAGTTGAGTCTCAATATTTATATTAAACTTTCTAATTTACAGATTCTGCAGCATCCACTAGCGTCGGTCGTCTCTGTATCCTGGAAGAGGAAACCACGTGTTATGTGTGAGATAATGTACATTGTTTGATGAGACAGTGCGAGGCTTTCAGCTGCAGAGGTTTGATTAATTTACAGGTTCACAGTCCAGGGGATTAAAGGGGGCACACACAGCCTTGGTCTCCTTTGTCACAAGCTGCCCGTTGATATTCTCACAGGAATCACACACTTATTATCAGGAAGTGTAAACATTTCATTGACCTGTATAGTCAGAAAGAGAAGAAAAAAAGTTAGCTCAATAATTTATTATCAGTTTTCTGCTCATATGTCTATCCAACTTTAGATAACTACAAGAAAAAAAAATTGACTGATTCCCAAAACAATCAAAAATGAGAAAGGAGATATGAATAGCTTCTGGCATGTTGTTTAATTTATCATATTTTTGTCATTTCATTCAAAACTTTCATGTATTCAATTAAGGTAATAACTATAGCTACATAATTATGACTTATCTTTAGAAGACGTGTGAAAAGGCTTACAATTTGGCATGACTGACCTCAGTGTTATGTGTTGTGTTGTCAGGTGCGATGAGGAAACAGCTCTTCTGGACACACTCTCTGCAACACTTTTCAGGTACTTCCTGGTATTCAAAACCCTGGAGATGAAATGAGGGAGATGGAGAAGAAAAAAACAGACTGTTTCTCGTTTTATAGCAATGAGGTTATCCTTCATAATACATTTTAAAAACATTAGAGACAAGCGTTGTAATCTTCAGTTCTGTTAACTGGTGTGGATTTATGTTCGAACATTGAAACATAAGAAACAGTAAACGTCAGAAGCACAAAGTTATATATTTCCTTACTATTGTAATTATTATTTTTTTTACATGTTTTGTTCCCATTTGTTTATTAGTTTCATAGCAACTCTCTCCCTCATTTATGCTGCTTATAGTGCCCTTTTTAATTATTGTTTTTATCCAATCAGATTCCGCCCCAGTGTTGTCTCCAGTCTGCAGGTTAATAAGGACAATGTTGTCGATAGTTGCACGATGTGAATAAGAAAAATGTTGGCATGAAATAACTGCAGACTTCCATCTAACAGGGAATATTTGTTGAGTGTATGTGAGAGATCGAGAGGGTTATTGACGGACCTGACTTCAACTTCTCGTCTGTGGATGTTTTCAAGGGAAACTCCCTGACGGTGGTCCAGCTCCTCCTCCGGTTGTTCCTGATGGTTGTCCAGGTCCTGCTGTTGTTGTTTGTGATGGTTGTCCTGGTGTTGCAGTTGGTATTTTGGCACCAGGCTTAAAAAAAACAACCAGATTGATTATTGTTCATTTCTTTTTTAAATATAGTATTGTGTATATATTACATTACAAAGATCTGTTGAACTGTTGAAGATAAATCAGTCAATATACAAGACAATAAAGACTTCATACATCAAATATGTCAAAGACAGTAGAAATACACATTCTGATATGACTCCCTGCACACTACCAAACGACTGTCTCCAGTACCTTTTTTCATGTAAATAACAGCTTCCCCTCTAGTTTGACAGTCTACTTGTCAGCATATCCACCTGTATGCTGAAGCTTTTTTACTCTAACAACCTGTAAATCAGCATGCACTGCCTGTCTCTGTGTGTATATGGGTCCTCCACCCTTCGTACCTGCCCATAGATAAATTGGATTTTTAATATCTGGACTTGAACTGTACACTTACCAAGTACATAGTACCTTCAAAGACACACACGCCTATTGGTTCTGCAAAAACAAAAAAGGCTTGAATCATATCAACATGAACACGTTTATTACAAATTCAAAATATATTTATTTTTTAAATTAAAATGTATCAAATATTTGTCTTCCTGTTTTTCCTCTGAGGAGCCAGATTCCTCTTCATAACCTCCAGCTGCAAACAAGACCAAAAAAAGATGGACTTTCCTATAAAGCTCTAAAAGAACATTTGTTCACAGAGGTTGTAACACAAGATGAAAGTCCCTTGTGCTTTGAATTGCTATAATGATATCAGCTCATCATGATTGTTTTATACTGACACTGCCCTGGAACAATCAGCTCTCCATGCTCCTGAAAATGTTCATGTTTTTACCTCCAATCTAAGTCTTAGTTAGTTAAATGACTTCAGAAAACTACACGTACATAATTTATCTGCACATTCATCATATATTGCATACTGGCAGATTCTTTGATTCTCTGTTGACAGATGCACATTGATAAAGTCACATACCACACTGGAAGGATCCTAAGCAGGTGCCATTCGTGTAGGTGAGACGGAAGCCCAGTGAGCAGGTCATTGGAGCGGGACACAGAGCAACATCGCATTCTGTTTAGGATAAGAGTTTGTGTTGTAAATGTACTTTAATGGTTACTCTTTTTAACAAGTTATCAATCAATCAAGATATGAGATGAACAAAATGGTATTGTTTAATCCTGAAGCCTGATGTAAATCTTATCTCTGTTAACTGTGAATAACTCTTAACAGTGATCTCATATGTACAGGCCCTCAGCTGTTTGGTTCATTGGTTGATCCACGTATATCACTTTTTGATACCAAATTATTGTTGTGTGCATTAGAAACTTGATTCTAAAAGGTTAATTAAGCTCTTAAAACCCTGTTTCAGCTCTTCAACTCGTCCCAACAGCAGAGAGGACAGATTCAAAAGTAGGGATTCCCCAGGTTAAGTGTCAACAGGCTCATGAATATTAACTGGTTGTGCTTGAATATGAGAAGATGAAGGGTTAGAAGGTTAGTTATTTTGGAGATGGGCTGTTGTTTTACCACCAAATCAAAAGTTTGATAAAGGGTGGGCTATTGGTATTTTCGGCCCTTTTTTTCCATTAGAACATCTCAACCCTGAAGCAAAACGTTTCAATGTGCTACTTGAGGTTATATCACGATAGTGATGTCTCAATATGAAAAATTGTGAGGCTAAGCCTGCAACTTTTTTAGCAACTATTGAGTGAAGCAATACCTTTTTAAGTATGCTAAAATCATTCATTTTAGCACAGAATAGGAGGACCTGTGGTTGTCTGATGGCTAATAGGCAAATAGAAAGAAATGGTAGAATTTAGATAATATCCTGTAACAGACTGTATTAAAGCTGAGCAAACAACAGATCCATTGGCTGTGGCTCAGTTGGTAGAGTCATCATCTCTCAACCAGAAGGTTGAAGGTTCAATCCCTGGCTGGGCAACATGTCTGTTGTGTCCTTGGGTAAGACACTAAAATCCTGCCAGTGTGGTCTTTATATGGTTGCATTTCACTGCCTTGCTAATCCAAGGACGTCCTGAACTTTGCATCATCATGTTCTTTTTCATACCACTGCTGTATACCATTATTTTTATAATAATGATGTTATCCAAAGACTTTCAAGGCAACACAAATTACTCTAGTACTTTGTTATACTGTTAAAACTTATTTGATGCATTTAAATCGACAGACTCTTGACTTAGATGGGTGAACAGTGATATGAACTGTTAGGATCCTAAAGGATTGTGCCCCCCTCACCTGCTGGTCAGGAGTTCACAGATGGTTGCTTTACAGGGGAGCTGTGTTGTTATGACTGTTGTGGTCTCTGGTGTTGGTGTTGTCGTTGGAAACGGGGGAGGTGTGGGGATTTCACAGGGTGTTCCTGGGACAACCCAGTGGCCAGCACAGCCTGAGCAGCTTCCCCTCATCCCATTTGGGGAATGGCAGTCATTGGCCTTGGAGTTGTCACAGGTTCCTGGAGAAGGAGAAGTAGCAGATTACTTTATTACATTTCACGTTACTTAGTAGTTTTATTGTGTACTTGTACTTTTTAAATCGTTTTTAAAATCTCTAATTTTAATTTTACTTCAGTAGGTTTTGTTAGTTAGTTATTAGAAAAGATGGATGGTCTACAGAATCCACAATTTATGCCACCTTCAATGGTTGTATTGTTTGAAATGATTTCATGGGATGGTCTCAACTGAAATGAAACATTATACCTCCCTAATGGTTTTAAATGTTGTGTGTTGACATGTTTTAGTTTGATATTACACTTTAATTTGTAAAGATTTGATTAAAAACAACAAGTTTGTGATTGAAATCCTTGTGTCCTTTTTGCACTACACAGGAGAGATCTGTTGTTTAAAAAAGTAATTCAGTAATTTTTACTTAAAGTCAATTTGAAACAAGCCCATTTTTTACTTTTACTTGAGTACATTTTTAAACTGGTAATTGTAAATGTACTTAAAGTAAAATGTCATCAAAATAATAGTACTTTTACTTGAGTAGAATCTTTTAGTACTCTTTCCACCTCTGGCAGTATACTATAATGAAATGTGACCCAAGATATCTTCTTTTGTTCTATTGTCACTAAGGGAGTAAAGTTTTACTCAAAGAAAATAAAAATAAAAAATAAAAAAAATAAATCATTTACTAACAATATTTCTCAAGTCATGACATAAAAAAGAAGGACAGGAAGTGTTGGTGGCAGGATGTAAACATCATCATCTCTCCTACTTACTTTCCTTTATATGTCCTACTGCTTTCTTACATTTGGCTCATCGTTTGGGCAAAGTCAGGGTGAAAACTTTGGCTGTCTGCATTCACACATTTCCAGAAGTTTATATATTTGAGTCATGTTAATACAATTTGATCAGAGACAAAATGAAACAGGTATCCCTACTGTATTTTGCTCCAAGTCCATTGACTGTATTTAATCCTACACTTAGTTTTTGTGCAAAACATTGAATTCCATACAACCTGTTGTTTAGGTAAACACTCATTTCATCAAGACGATCAAAAACCACTTCCCTCAATTTGCAGTTGTTTAAACTGAGTTTCTCAACATCATTGCTAATGAGGGAAACCAAAATGATTTTCAGGGTTAAATAAAGTTGGACTATTTTATAACATTTATGCACAATCTCAGACACTAGTGGCTGTAGTGGTCTGAAAGTTGATGCAATGAACAACAATTTAGTACTAATGAAGAAGTTTCAGTAAAGGTATATAAAGAATATACAGCTAAGCATAAGAAGTGGAGATGCTATTGCTCTTTTTTTGTATTAGATACATTACTCAAAATAATCTAACAGGTTGGGTGTGGCATTCATTTATTTTCACTCTATGAATGCCTTATTTAAATTACTGAAAAGGTTAATCAAAAAGCATTGTACATGTCCTGGTTACTCACCACACTGTCCCTCGGTATTCCCACCGAAGTGAGTCTTATGAAGGTAAACACTGAAGGAATGGATTCTATAGACGACTGTTAGACCACTCACTGGTATATTCAATGTGATCTCCATGTTTGTTCTAGTGAAAGACGTGGGAATCTCTAAAGGCAGGATAGATGCGTTTTCCTCCCGAGTATACCTGTAGAGAAAAAACACAGACAAAACTGACATTTACAACTCCACTGCTACGACTGAAGGACTAACCATCCTATTTCAGTTAGATTCTGACATTTCAACAACATCTGTGTTGATGCTTTAAAATCTTTCTTACCACAAGACCCTCAGACCTCGACTGAGTCAAAACTATCTTGAAGGACTGGAACAGAACAACGACGGCCTGGGGACAGAACATGCTGTCCTGCGGGGTCACACGCCTGATTATCCACTATGATAGTCAGGTTTTGTTTTGGAATTATCTCTTTCACCAGGTAGAAATCGCAGTACTCATGGAAAGTGTAATCTTTTCCATCAAATGTGTTGTAGTGCAACTTAAACCAGACACTGCACGCACCTGCAAAATAAAATAAAAACTAAGAGGGAATTGGTCATTTTAAAACAGGAACAAACATCACATCATTACTTCCACCAAGAAACTATGTTTGTTCATGAGCAGAAGTTTCAACCTCAGAACACCCGGAGTGGTAAGATGGAGCTAGTAGTCGTTAGCAAGCAAGGGCAACTTATACAGAAAAAAAGTCATAGTAATGTTTACAGACTGTATTCATTTGAGGTCATACAGAGGTCACTGGAAAGTCTGCACATGAAATCCCATAAATACTGCAAAGAGTTAACACCAACTTTTAGTAGACTTTTCACTCTAACTTCTCGTGGTTGTATTTGTGAATAAGAAGTTTTTTTGCAATTAGGCTGTTTGCATTGAAGGGGGGTATTTTTCCCCAAAGGGCTCTAAATCGGCTAATTTAAAACACGCAAGTAACTATCACTGGGGCGGAACGATCCTGCTTTGTCGTTAGGGATGCATTTAACCCTTTGTGTGTGTTTTCTCAATTAGAAGATGTCTTTTTGCCTCACAAGTTTAGTGTGTGCAAAAGCTGCACTATCTTTTTGTCTTGAGGAATTTTTATCTTCATTTTCCTGGGAGTGAGAAGGGAAAAGGGGAAAAAGGAAGCAAGACAGTGATAGGTCGAGAAGATTATTCATTTGAAATGTTTTATATTAGAATCACTTGAGGTCTACACCTTGTTTCAAGGGGGGTTTGAAGCTATTGACAATAATTTACTGTTCATTATATTCCATTCTTCTCATGTGAACCTCCTCTTTCAGTAGAGCACAATTTTCTAAGCTATTTTGACTTTAAGTTATTTGATTATTTAAGTTTATTTGGTTCTATTTATTATTTTTCTTTATGTTTATGTTTTGAAAACAATATTAACACAAACTCTGAAATCAAAAAAAGTTTTGCTTTTTTTGTTGGTGTCAAATTATTGAAAACATAATGTTGATGAATGCTGGTTGGCTGGGCCCCCTGTGAATATTTGTCCTAACGCATAGAATCGACACTGTTTCCAAGAATCAGCCTTGGAACTCACTGCGTAAGAGCTGGGAAGGTAAATCTTTCGCTCATAATTAATGTGTTATGTTTATACCAGGGTAAAAATATAAATATTACAAACAACACATTTTTGTGTTCCTCAGTCTGTGAACACTGAAACAAGATTTTTTGTTATATGAAAAAGAAATAATGGTTGACTATAAAAATGTGATATTTACAACTTACATTCACAATCATAGCGGTAGCAGCATCCACTTTCATCAGAGCTCTTAATAGGCGAGCGTCCATTGGCACATATGGGTTGAACTACTTGTGGACAGGTATATGGTGTCTTTATTATCGTGCCATTATGGCAGGTATACTTCATGCAGTTGTCAACAGACCAGCACTCTCCATGCTGGATAGGTGTGGGGGATCAGAAAGTTACAAACTGTGCTGCCTTAAACAATACATTTTAATTCATCTATTTTACTGTATGCCGGGCTCGATCCTCTCTGTGCATACAATTTTGCAGTGTTATTATCCATACAGTATTCTGAAGTTAAATATCACCATGTTGCCATATGTGGTCTGGTAATATACACGGGTATTTGATTTCTGAAATTGTTCAATAATAGCATACTAAACATGTAAAATGTGATATACATATATATAATATACATTTTATTGGTCAACATGCTAAAATAACTACTCCTATATGTGTACATCAAAGTCTCCTATGTGATATATAATACCACACCTGGTAATGATCCACATGTAAATAAGGCCTAGTAATATTACAGATTTGTGAAAAATCTTTACCGTATAATGTTGGTATCACAGCTAAACATCTGTTAGTTACTTGTAAGTGTAGTGTACTTGTTTCCTTTACACAGAGCAGAGCCTGGTAAACAGTTATTAGAGACTTTTGTCAACATACTCACTAATAATAATAAAAACAGATCTATTTCATACCAATTTTGTTTCATTCATATAGATGCAGTCCTCGAGCGGAGCAATGGTTGTAGTCATAGGGGTGCCAGGGGTTGTGGTGATGGTTGTGGGACATTGAGTAGTATGTTTCTCAATTTGATAAGATGCATTACAATATGCAGCATAACACCACCCTCCCCCATCAGTCACATTGTACAACAAATCCCCTGTGAAATCAGAGTTCAGATAAAAGTTTAGTTCAGAAAACTAAAGACTTATTAATCAAAACAACAATTAAGAGGTTTACTGATGAAAGACTAGCCCTGCACAAAGGTTGCTCAGAAAAGCATGTCAGATTTATGTGGAGCCTATTTTTTAACATCTGTCGTTCAAATCCTGTGTAAGTATTTTAGCAGGAAAGGTTCCTAACGTTTAAGCACCTTGTCATGGATGGCTTCTAATTCACTTTAAAAAAGTTGTTTGTGACACTTGTTGGTTAGAACTCATCCATACTGTGCCTGAGAAGAAAGCACTCTGCAAGAATATACAAAATATTCACTTCATCCATGTGTATCATGGAAAATGTATGTATTGCATATTTGTGTGTAACTTACCAAGTCTTTGCTTTTTAAAGCCAAAGTCACGGCTCTGAGGCAGGTCTCACTGCTCGACGAGCCACACTGTTCCACATCCACGATCACAATGAACCTGTCTTCCTACCAAACACATTGAAAAAAATAAACTTCATTACTGAAAGATACATAAATATTTGAGCTAAATAATAATTGGACTGTTAGAAACTGCAAACATAAAGTTTTTTACATATAAACTCCTGAACCTCACAGTGGGAGACACCTTATAACTTACCATTTAGTGGGCCTATTTGCCTACTTGCACATAGCGCTGTATATTTATATATTTATTTCTTGTTTACTGCACATAGTTATGGTTACATCTGTTTACATCTGTCAGTCCGATCACTGTCCACTTATATCTACTCTTTTATATTTTGTATTTTTAAGTTAAGTTTAAGCTTTAAGTTGTATTTAAATTGACACTTTATATTTAGGTTAAAATGTTACCTCTATCTGCACTGTTGTTAATTTACTGCTCTGTGTGCCTTTGAATTGCCCCCCAGGACAAATAAAGTTTTTTGAATTTGAATTGAATTGATGTTGGGTGGGGGGCTGGGGTCTTCTGAGGCAAGACGTGACGTAAAAGAACAATGCAGAATTGGCGGACAATGCAACAGAGTCACCTTTACAATGCTCTAATGAGAATATCTGCCCTTAAATCAATGCTATGTGTAGGTCGACAGATCTTAATATCAACAAAAGAGCGTACAAAAACAGAAAACTTAATGCAGCAGTTCAACTCCATGCACAGAGATCGATGCATACTGTCTATGTTTGTGCACAGGTTTGCATAGAATAAGCATCCCCACCCCCTCACACTCGACTGAGGTGAATTCTCCTGATAATATCCTGTTGCGTTCTCACATCAGCTCACTCTGACTTTCTCACCCTTCAGGAGTTTTTTGTGTGTGAACAAGGCTTTAGTCTATGATAACAACATTGCATCATGCCATGTGTGTCATCATCAGCACTGATAGACACAGCTCATGCAGTGGTACACATGGTGTCTGAGGGATGTATAGGCTACACTAGCAGGTTTGTATATGATGTATGATGTGTACTACCTTGACAAGAGTGTAGGAACAGTCTCGTGGAATGTGCAGGGTTTTCTATCAAAGGTGTTGATGTGAGATCCTCCAATCACAGAGCAGGTTCCTGGACACTGATCCTCAGTGCACTTCCAACGACACACACACACACACACACACACACACACACACGCACACACACACACACACACACACACACACACACACACACACACACGTTTTAGTAAATGACTCCTGATTCTGTGTGTTGGATGGAAGAAAGTTTATTAGGAAGATTAGGTTGGACATAGCACAACTTTCATATAGACATGTTTCAAGCAGACCTGAGACAGCGGAATCTGAATGTGATTGTGACAATTCCTTAAAAAAAGAGCTATAATTTAATAAGCCATTTGGATTCATCATACACTACCAACATGTACCAGAACCAAGGCCAAACACTACAAACTATTACAATTTCATGGTTAAATAGATATCATAAGGATTCTAGACAGAAAGAATAAAAAGGCATGTGCTCAACACACATCATTAAAATGTGCATATTAATCACTCTTAACTCAACAGGCTGTTTGACAAATCTATAGACCGATTCAGTTGACAAGCCACCATTACTGCGGTGGCATTTCCCTTCTACAGTCACAGGTTTGAATGAGAGTTGTCCCAAAAAGGGAAGATTTGTCTACTTTTAAAATAATTGCATACATTACTTTACCTTTTACAATAACGTAAAGGACTTCAGGAAGAACCTACACACACAGCTGAGAGCAGACACTGTCCATGCAGAGGACGAAGATATTCTTCCGAGGTAGATCAAGGAAATAATATTATAATTATAATTAGTTTTTTTTTTTAATCAATCAATTTTTATTGATTGAAAAATAGTGTCTTGAGATGACAAGTGTTATCTCAAGACACTTTACAAAAAGCAGGTAAAAGACCTTACTTAAATATGTTTTTGGGCATTTTGTGCCTTGATTAGTGAGCTAGGACAGTGTATCCACTGAAAAAATGGAAATCAGGGAGAGAGAGAGAGTAGGGAATGACATGAGGGAAAGGAGTCACAGGTTGGATTCAAACCCGGGCCGCCGGCTTGGAGGACTACAGCCTCCATACATGGGGCGCACGCTCTAACCACTATGCCACCAGCACCCCTATAAGTAGTTTTTGACTCTCTGAGTGATGTGCAGATGGTTTTTAGTCGACCATCACTAAGATATTAATGAAATGATCTTGTAGGCTATATAACTTTCTTCTATTTGCCAGTATGTTGTAATCATGTAATCATTACAGACCAGCTGCTTTAGCAAAACAAACATGCTATATGAATGATCTACAGAAATGTATTTCACCATAAAACTAGTCCATGAGGATTAAATGCAGCAGTAGATTAATGAAGCTAACGAGCTTGTAGAATGATGTTATATGAAACAGCATGTCATCATATATTAGGCCTGTGTGTCCACTGGTTGATTTATCTTTATTTCTCCTAATGAAATCAGGTCGTTATTGTAAAAGATGTCTAATATCTGAAATCTAAATAATATTAATATTTCCTGATTAAGGTTCCCTCATCAGCAGCTATCTAAGGTTTTTTTAATCTAACCATGAAATCGGCTGCAGGAATCGCAGGGGTGATCGACAGTAGCGATCGACAGGTAGATCGCGATCGACAGGTAGATCGCGATCGACAGGTAGATCGCGATCGACAGGTAGATCGCGATCGACAGGTAGCGATCGACAGGTAGCGATCGACAGGTAGCGATCGACAGGTAGCGATCGACAGGTAGATCGCGATCGACAGGTAGCGATCGACAGGTAGATCGCGATCGACAGGTAGATCGCGATCGACAGGTAGATCGCGATCGACAGGTAGATCGCGATCGACAGGTAGATCGCGATCGACAGGTAGCGATCGACAGGTAGATCGCGATCGACAGGTAGATCGCGATCGACAGGTAGATCGCGATCGACAGGTAGCGATCGACAGGTAGATCGCGATCGACAGGTAGCGATCGACAGGTAGTGATCGACAGGTAGCGATCGACAGGTAGCGATCGACAGGTAGATCGCGATCGACAGGTAGCGATCGACAGGTAGATCGCGATCGACAGGTAGCGATCGACAGGTAGATCGCGATCGACAGGTAGATCGCGATCGACAGGTAGCGATCGACAGGTAGATCGCGATCGACAGGTAGCGATCGACAGGTAGATCGCGATCGACAGGTAGCGATCGACAGGTAGATCGCGATCGACAGGTAGCGATCGACAGGTAGATCGCGATCGACAGGTAGCGATCGACAGGTAGATCGCTGACTGATTCTCAGTCGATCGAGATGTTTAGTCAATATAAAATACAATTGTAAAATAGAAAAGTGATTTCAATTTCATCTCATTGCACTGTTTCCCACACACGATACCTGTGTGGGGAGCCCAAGTATACTTCCGACCTGTGTGTATTTAATTTTTCATTTATTCATGAAATTGCTGCATGCATGAGAGAGCGAGCGAGGGAGCGAGCGGGGGAGCGAGAGAGAGAGCGCGCGCAAGAGAGAGAGTGCAGGTATGCACAAGGACGTGCAGGTAAAACCGGGGGGGGTAAATGTTTTACCAAAAAGTCATATATAGAAACTATGCTACGAGTATAAAGCACATTTGATGAAGCTGCAGCTACTTTTCTCTGCTCCTCTCTGCTGTCATGACTGTGAGCATCGCGGGGCACGAGACACACCAACATACAACGCACACGCACACACATACAAACACACTTGCACTGGAGCGGCAGCCACACGCGAACGTTTTTACTTTTAGTGCTACAGCACACAGTTGATCCGTGATCCGTACGGACCGAGGTGGGAACACACGTGACCGGTCAAACGGTCGGTTGGACTTTACTCCGTTCACTCTCACCGTGTCTGCAGCTAATTTAACAAAAGCAAAATCATCTCACAGCAGCCTGCTGTAGTCTGTGAACATCTCCACACAGATTAAAGTTGTTTGTTGTAAACTAAATTAAGGGAAAAACATATGTGATATAAATACAAACGTAATATTAAAATGTAGCCTACCCTAAAATAAGAGTTTAAAAAATTTGCATTATTTTTTACAGAACTCTCATTTATTATATCTGAAATTATTTTCTGTTTGTTGTGTGAGTATTAAATGCATTTGGAGGCTGTCGGTAAAGGCTACGGCTCATTATGTGGACTGGTAGATCTCTGCAGACTGGCAACTTTAAAAGTAGATCTTGGTTTAAAAAAGGTTGGGCACCCCTGGTCTATACAGATGTGAATTTGTTGTTTTAAAGTTTTCAGGGGGGATAAGCTTTTGCATTAAAAACAGGTGCTTGATTGACACACAGGTGCAAAAAAAAAAACTGCACACAGAGGGAGAGAGAACGAGACCGCACAAGAATAAATATCGCCTGTAACACTTTTATTATCAGCCTATGTGATTAATGGCTATTTTTGTTATAGACTTTAAAAAACATGGAAGTATGTTATGTCACCCATCGGTTTCTGAAGCTGACCTTTAGAGCCATTTGATGGCGGTCGCTGAAAAAATGTATACTCCCATATGGTGTGTGCTGATAAAGAAGTTACTGATTCAGACTGAATTCCTTTATTGCACCCGCTGCAAACATGTTTATTACTGTTGTCAAATTGGACATTTTAGAATGAGTGTGCAGTTTTTTTTTTTTGCGCTGCCATATTGGCTTAATTTTTCAAGTTTGATGTATGTTCTTTTTGAAAAGACACTTTAAATGGGAAGAAAAGGCTAAAAAGCTTGTCATGGGACTTCACTCTCTAAAAAACATTCAGGATACAAGTTTTGTGTGAAAATGCAGATAGTGTTGTGGTTTAAAAACATATCAAATAAATGATCTACTCTTTGTGAAAAAGCAAGCAGTCATCATAAAATGTGTTTAAGCACAGCTCACAGGCTGAATGATATACACCATCATTAAAAACAATGATATGGAGTGATTCTTGTCAGGTTAGGGAGAGGCAAGCTCTCCGGGGGAAAAAAACTGGATATAACCAGATTAATTTTGCTGAGTCTGCATTTGAACTATCGACGGATAAGACATATTGAAAGTTTCCAAAAGGTGCAGTCACCTTTTCCGAATGACATCATGGCATATGCTTGGTTTGGTTTGGTTCACTTTAAAGTGAGTTTAAAGAGAGTATCAGAGAGAGTAACAGTGACAGGGAAGAAATGTGGGGATTAGGGGAAAAAAAGTTGAGGTTGTGATAAGGCAAATATGATTTAAACTGGAACACAAAGAGATGAATCAGTGATTGAACATTTGATGGAGTAACAAATGTCCTGTATCACAAAGCTTCTTTTTTAAGTTATTAGTTAGTCGGCCATGTTTGCCTTCATTAGACAGCTGAGCTGAAGAAAGAGGGCTGGAGTGATGTGCAACAAAGGGTCGGGTTTGGACTCACACCAGGCTCACTGGGATAATTGTTCAGCACTTAATCTGATTTGATTTAAAATGATCTTGTTTTTGACGGCTTGATAAAGGTGTCCAGCCTTACCAGGATCTGCAGCTGTGGAAGTAGGACTCTCCCGACATGTAGACCTGGTTATTGTGCACACATGGACACTGATCCACTGCAACACAGCCACTGTTACTGATGTCATCAAAGATTGTTCCTGAGGACGGAAGACATAATTATCCTTACTGTGATGTTTTATGTATGTATATAGGACATGAACAAGATGCACATGCATACAATATGAGCTTGTTACTGAAGTGTTCATTGTGTGTGTATACCTTTAGGGCAGCCGCATCCATCATGGCAATGGTTTTCACATAAACTGCTGGCCTGAGGTGTGGAGCAGGTGTCAGGACATGAACTGCCACATTCCTTAAACTCCATGTTGTATGGACACGACACATCTGGGGAGACAAAAGCTTTACTGTGGTGCTTAAGATGGGGCAAAAAAACACTGCAACTGATTAGTGAGTACATCCGTCCATCCCAGTCATGTTAGAGGTAAGCACTCTTACGACAAAAGGATTCAGTCCTCCATTATTCGGGCTCGCCGCCTGCATGGACACACTGTCTGGAGTACTCTGAGATTGTTTTGCAGAGCATTGGGTCCGTGTCGTTGTCAGAGTAGCACATATCAGCCGCACAGATTTCAATGAAGGCTTGAGTATCCAAAAGCTTTTCGCAGCTTTTGAATTCTTCAAAGGAGAAGAGTGCCTCACAAAAACTCTGAAAGACAAAAAACAAACTAATATGTTGTAAAAATCCTGTTCAGGGTTCTGTAAGTATGTGAAGTTTTAAAATCAACTTGTATCACACTACATTCTGGTGCAGAAGAGCCTGAGCTGAGTAGTGTTTCATATAGATTAGATTAGATGTGTAGTGAATGGCAAGTTAAAGTGACCAGTGACGATTTAAAGTGACTTGTGTGATCAAAGTTATGTAAGCAGCAATATGATATGACAGTATAATAATCACAGTGCAGTTATAAGAAATATAAAAATAATATATATGGTATATATAATATAGTGCAATAAAATACACTATTCTGTTATATACTACAGTGCAATGTATAGAATATAATAATAATAATATATAATTATGTAATAATGATTTAATATGATATAATATATAATATAATAAAAGAAAAGAGGTTTTCTTTGGAGTTTGTTTACTTATTTGTTTTCGAGGCCCGCGGTAAAACCCGGAGCGGAGTTTTTGTTTTGTAGTTTGAACATTGAACTGAAATGGACTGAACTGTGGGTTGTGGGTACACCGGAGCGGACTTTTGCCGGAAGGGACTGAACTTTACTTACAAACAGAGACTGTGAAACACGCACACACATTGCACACATTCATTTTGTTTGCAGTGTGGTTGTTATAAATAGTGAAAATATATTTTATTGAAATTGCCTTGCTGTTTTGTTTGATTGTTTTGTGGCTCTTGTTTATGTCATATTTTGTGCAGGTTGACTATTTTTTTGTTTGCATTTAATTTTTATTTGTCAGACTTGACTCTGACTGGCACCCAAATTAAAACTTTGTCAAACCTGCAACAACAGTATACATCAAGCGTAAATAATATTAACAAAGTGATCTGGCATGATGGGGGTATTGTTCTTGTTACGACAGATTGTATGTCCCACTGCTGTTATACAGCCTGATGGCGGTGGTCACAAAGGATCACCTGAAGCGCTCCGTTTTGCACCTGGGGGGGGATGAGGCGTTGGCTAAAGGAACTGCTCATCTGCCACAGCTCGTCATGGAGAGGGTGAGGGGAGTTATCCAAGATGGCAATGATTCTGTCTTTCATTTTCCTCTCAGCCACAGCCTCCAAGCTGTCTTGTTCCAGTCCACCACAGAGCGTGCCTTCTTCACCAGCTTGTTTAGCCTGCCTGCTCTACCAGTCTTGATGCCGCCCCACCAGCACACCACAGCGTGGCACAGAGTGTGCTGGCCACCACAGACTGGTAGAAGGTCTTCAGGAGTCTGCTGCAGACACTGAACGATCTGAGTCTCCTCAGGAAGAACATCCTGCTCTGTCCTTTCCTGAAGATGGCGTCAGTGAGACCAGTCCAGTTTATTGTTTATGTGGACCCCCAGGTACTTGTATGATTCCACCCTCTCCATCTCCACACCCTGCATGATGACAAGGGCAGGGGGCCTCTTCTTCCTTCCGGTAGTCCACTACCAACTCCTTTGTTTTGCAGATGTTGAGTTCCAGGTGGTTGCTGTTGCACCATGTGATGAAGCTCTCTATCAGTCCTCTGTACTCCTCCTCCTCGTCATCAGTGATGCACCCTAAGATGGAGGAATCGTCAGAAAACTTTTGGAGGCGGCAGGAACCAGAGTTATACCTGAAGTCTAACTGAAAAGTGTGAAGAGAAAAGGCACCAGAACAGTTCCTTGAGTTACCCCAGTGTTGCCCGTCACCACCTCAGAGACACAGCCGTCTGACATACTGTGGCCGGCCTGTGAGGTCATTGAAGATCCAGGCTGTGGTGTCAGGGTGCAGCAGAGCCTGCTGTGCACTTTGTGTAAACTTCATGGTCTTACTTTTTTTAAAAACATTCTTATGAGGGTTAGGGTAAGTTTTTTTGTTTCTTTTTTAAAATTAATTTAACTTAGAAACGTAAAAGTTTTTTTCTGTTACACTGCTGTAAGCTGGGAAGACACCGTTTTGTCTATTTTATTTAGGCAAAGGAAAATAACACAAAAAAATTGATTGGTCCTGCTGGTTGTTCCCACTAAGATGTGAGCTAATTCTAAGACAATATTGGCAATTAGTAATCTTACTGAAAGCCGTGTGCATAGTGCTCAGTAACGACTTTGTTTGGTGTCCGACTGACTATCGCGACAATTGAATTTAACTGGAGTTAAATTCCACAAATAGGACTAAAAACATTCTTCTTTTTGGCCTTCTTCTTTTATCCAACTAATAGATTTATTGTCAAATAAATTAATATTTTATATATTCATGTGCACCCCACTTCTACAATGTACCCCAACATGCACAGAGGTTCCCGGTCCCATTCAATGCTGGTTTGAAGCTTTTATTCACTAATGTATTCTATTTTTTTATCCATCCTCTAATCTATCAAACACCCTTAGCTATCACACTGATCGGAAGTTTAAAATGAATCTTAATTATTCTGATCGCAGTATCCTTTTTTCTATGCTCCTTTTTCTTTTCTTTTTTTCTTCCTGCTTTTAAGTTGATTTTGAATGTGGGTTTGCATCTCAATGATCTCTTGAGTAAAAGATCAGTGATGAGAATGAGGAGGATTATTTTGATGTATATGATGACAAAGAAGAACATGAGTGTAGACTGACCGTATCCCACATTTATCGACGATGGTCTCCTCAGGCTCCTCACAGTTCCCTTCTTTGAAGGCCTCGGCATAGTCTGTCACAGATACTTCAGCCCCTACAGGACAGAGAAGTCAGTCACACAAATATGTGGTCATGAAACTGTTTTTTATAAGCCATGGACAGCGCTTTGATTTAAAGGGCTTTATAAATTATTATTAGTAGTAGTAGTACTTGTATTTAAAAAATAGGGTTTATATCTTGTTAGAGATTCTTCCCATTTTCAGACACTAAAAATACTAAACTAAACTTGTTAGTGGCAATAAAGAAGCACTTTATATTGATGTATAGTACATTGCATTTATTGGTTTCATGATTGTAAAACATGGGGTCAATATGAATAATCCAGAAATCCCCTTCAGGAGATGGTTTGCAGGTTGAGTATGATTACAGACTACCCCTCACAGTGAAGAGTATCACTGTGTGTACCTGTACTTCTCTAATGTAAAGTGTATTATCTCTCCAAAGTGCTGAACAGGACCATACCATCTTCCATGAGATCATTGTCTTCGCCATCAAAGTTTCCACAGAGTCCACATGTCTGGTTCATGTACTTGTCATTCATGTTGATCTGTGAACACAGCCCAAACAGACAGTAGCTTGTAGTGGTACTTATCTTAGGGACATGCTTGAGCTTTTTGTGTGATGATATCCTCATTTTTTCGAGGTCCAAGGCATTGTGTCCCATGTCAAAATGGTACTGCAGAGACTTTTGCAGAACCAGGTCTATGTCATGGCAGAGAAGTGTGTGTTCCATGCCTCCACTGTAAGTTCCTTAGGTATATTGTGTCGCAGGGTAGTGTGAGAATGGACCCCAGCAAGGTCAAGGTAGTTTTAGATTGGCCTCAACTTGACTCAGCCAAACAGGTTTCAGCATTTTATGGGTTTCGCAAATTTTTATCGTTGATTTATCAACTCGATTGCAGCCCCTTTTTCGACATTGGCAAAGGATAATTCCTCACGGTTCCATTGGTCCCCTCAGGCTGACAAGGCTTGTATTGACCTGAAGAGGAGATTTACCACAGCGCCGGTCCTCATTCACCCAGACCCCTCCCTACCATTTGCTGTCGAGGTCGATGCCGCTGACGTGGGAGTTGGGGCAGTTTTATCCCAGCGTTCTCCCAAGAACCAAAAGCTACACCCTTGTGCTTTCTTCTCACGGCGTCTCTTGCCAGCTGAGAGAAATTATGATGCGGGTAATAAGGAGCATTTTGGTAGTTGTGGACAAATTCTCAAAAGCAACCCACTTCATCCCCCTTCCTAAGCTTCCCTCGGCCATGAAGTGACCGGCTTGTCCAGCATGTCTTTTGCCGCCATGGACTTCCCCAAGACATTGTATCAGACCAAGGGCCACAGTTCACTTTCTGCTTTTGGAAGGCCTTCTGCTCTCAGTTGGGTGCTTCTGCTAGTCTGTCATCAGAGTTTCATCTGGAGACCAATGGGCAGACTGAGCGTAATAATCAGACACTAGAGCTTACGCTCCGGTGTCTGGTCTCTGCCAACCCGACCACTTGGAGCGACCAACTTCCCTGGGTAGAGCACGCTTACAACACCTTGCTAAATGTGTCCACTGGGCTCTCGCCTTTTGGGTGTTGGTATGGGTATCAACCCCCACTGTTTCCAGAATAGGAGAGGGACGCAGGGGTGCCTTCAGCGGTGCAGTTCGTCCGTCGCTGTCGCCGACGTCCAGCGCCGCTCTATCAAGTCGGTCAAAGGGTGTTGCTCTCCACAAGGGATTTTCCCTTGCGGGTAGAGTCCCGCAAATTGGCATTGCGCTTTGTTGGTCCCTTCAAAATAGTTTGGAGGATCAACCCTGTCACGTTCTGTCTCCTGCTTCCCTGCTCCATGAGGATTCACCCCACATTCCATGTTTCCCTCCTTAAACCAGTCTGTTCCATTCCACCTCCTCCCCAGATTACACATTGTAAATTAGGCTCTTCAATGACAGTATAGAGTCAATACTTGCAAAGGTAGATGGATGCATTACAAAAACAAGGCACATCCTGTCTCAAAATGATGCAGAGAAACTAATCCTTGCAAAAGTTTCTTTTGTTTATTTTCAGTCTGCCCTCATAAGTGTAGTGACTACAATTAGGACTGTAGATGATGTCTCTCAGCTTCTCTTAATGGCAAGAAACCATCATATCTTAAAGATCTCATAGTGCTGAATTAACCCTCTAAAAGATTATGATTTCAGAATGCAGGCCTGCTTTTGGTATCTACAGTCTCTAAAGTATGGGAGGTAGAGCCTTCAGTTATCATGACCAACATCATCTACCAGTCAGGGTCTGAGGCAAACACCCTCTCTGCTTCAAAACGTAGTCTTAAAACTTTTATTTTTGATCAAACTTTTAGCATCTTTTTCAAATTTTTGTCTGTGCTTCATGGATTACGTTGAGTTGGGTCTCTGTAAATTCTATTGAAGAGTATGGTCTAGACCTGCCAGTTTTGGAATGTCCAAAGAAAACTCTTGTTTTGAAGAATTGGACCTGCTAAAGTTTGTGCTAATAGCACAAATTATAACAAATTATAAAACATTAGCTTTTTGGACCACATTTCTTTTTTTTGCCAGGTTGTGTGTATGTGACTTCCAGGTCTTTTGGAGCCAACTACAAGTGGACGCTTGTCTCTAGTCTTTCATTCCTTTACAAAAGTTAAATGTTGTGTATGTGTGTACCATAGACTGTAAATATGAACGCACAAAGCCTGAGTGATGTCATCCATCTGTTACAGCAGGGGGCTCCGGAGGCTCATCAGAACTTGGTGGATGTTGTCTGTAAAAACCAGTTAAATTCCTTCCAACTTACATTTTGCCATCGACCGCCACAGAGCTGTTATACAGCTTCACAATAACACCATTCAGCTTCATGTCTATGCTGCTGATGACGGGGAAACCGGTGACTGTTTCACGTTTCATTTGAATGTTGAAAGTCTCATAGGATTCTTTACACTGTGAGGCCAGGACATGGTTACAGTTGGATGGCAGCCTGAAGAATGTTCCATCAAAGGTCTTCCAGCGATAGTCTAATTGTGCACACGTTATCGATGTGAGAATCTATATGAAGAAGAACATATAAACAGCAGCAGAAGTTTGGTCTTATTCTATCAGAATTAGATCATTTCTAACACTGTTTAAGTATTTTTTTTGGTAACACTTTACAATGACTTAAACAAATTTTGCATAGTTAGAGTAAATAGAGTAAATAATTACCTAATAGAGAAAGAAGTAGGGCCTTATCATTACTCACTTATTTATTAACTTGTTAATATATTTTAAAGGAAGAAATTGTGCAACTTTTTGATCCAGTAGATATTGCCCTTGAGCACCAGCATGAAAACAAAACAAACTGCTATTTTGCCCCACCTCCGCTATTCTGAGGCCTCCACTCTCCTCCAGCGACACACCTCTAACCCTTCTCCACTGACATTTGCTCAAAGGACTTTTCAATTAGAACGCATCATAATTAAGCACCATTTAGTGCAAGTGGGGGACAAAATTGTCCTTTGCTTGAGCTACAATTGCCAGTGGCCTACATTGTTGTATTAGCAGGCTGACGTTAGCACATAGCTTTAGTTAGCTCATAGCTTCACATTACACATAAATTGACCCAGAATTACCCTGATCTTAACACTTACGTGACATCCAAATAAGCAGTGAGAATGTTATTTTTCTTTTCTCTAGTCCTTGACTTAAACAGCTTTATACGCAAGGTTGTCCAATCCATGTAAACATGATGTAAACATGGCTCCAACAATAATAAAGTCAGCGGGTTGTCTTTCCTTTTATTGATCAAGTTGAGCAGTGTGCGTGAGTGATTTTGTCTCTTTTACAGGTTAAACTATTTTTCCTATTTACTTATGTGGTATGCACATTACGACTTTCATTCCTGTTAATGTTGTTTGTTCATTTATTTATTCATTTTATATTTATGTTTGTCTCGTTAATTTTCATCATTATTATTTATTTGTTTTTATTTGGTTATTGTATTTTATTTACGGTATTTTTTCTGTGAGTTTTCCAATCTAGCACTTTTATTCTTGTCTTTAAACAAAAAGGTCTATTTGTTGGTCTGGAGGGTTGTTTACAGGGCGAAGTGATACTGGGTTTTTGAATG